GAGAGAGAGAGAGAGAGAGAGAGAGAGAGAGAGAGAGAGAGAGAGAGAGAGAGAGAGAGAGAGAGAGAAAAACGTTTAGCCAATGGTGCCGCATACATAATCGATTGTTTCCGAATTTTGCAACACCGACACACACCCAGCCAGCATCCGAATGAGAAACTGGGCTCTGGTTGTTTTATGTTTATTTGACTGCACACAATTGTCGACCACCGAAAATATTGCGCGATTTTTAAGAGAGACCCAAAAAAAAAAGAGTATGAGAGATTGTCAGGCGATGAGGTAACTTTCGGTGAAAGGTTCTCGCTTCTCATATTACCGACCTGAGAGCGGTGTGAGACAGGGAAAATGAAGGAAAAATTCATTGGAATGAATAGCATGTGCAATGAGAGTGCTCTTTTTCCACTAAGCTGCTGTTGTTGTCGTTTTTTGGGCGATATATATGACATTTACGTTCACGAAATTATAAGCGTGCAAATACAAAGTGATTAATTATATTTCTTATTCAACAATCAGTGGCTATTATTGGCTATTGTTTTTTTCTCTCTCCTGTGATAGCAGCAACCGCGATCCAGATAACTTTCATTTCTGCTCCCTTTCAATTTCAGCTCGTATTGCACGCCCATATCGTTAATCACTTGTCTCATTTATTGTGATGTTATGTAGTTGCGGAATTTTCGAACATAAATCGCACATTGATCGAAGACAGTTTATTTTCTCTCTAGAATGGCACTGCATCGTAGAATGTTCTCTCTCCGTCGCCAAAAACTGGTTGCACCGTGTATAATACATACAGTGATTGTTTGTGGACAACGGTCAAAATCTAGAAATGCGGAAACCAAAACAATCATAGTAAAATATATCTATTCAAAAATCAAGAAAGACCCATAAAAACAATAGCAATTAGAGAGGAAAAACCACAGAAAACCGAAAAAAAAGATCGCCACATAAACGTGCCAAAGCAAAAGAAACGAACAGGGAACAAAAACGTTTTGTTTACAATGATAATAATGCGGTTCTAGAACTAGAATCATTGAAAGCTTGATGTTTGCGGAGACAAGTCAACTACCGTAAATCCAGTGACGATGACGCACTTGGTCGGCGCGCTCTCACACCATATCGGGTCCATGCACATAATTATCAATCTATATTTAGATATGTAGAGGAACAATTTTTTTTAATGCATATGACGTCATTGCATCTTAAAGACAATTTAAAGACATGTCTCTCTAATTTCCCCGTGAGCTTGGAAAGTATGTGCGAACGAGATGGAATGGCAAGATTATATGCGACCGGTCGCTGACTGAATGCCTCGTATAAATTTATACATACATTGATGCTCTTTTTTTTCCATTTATCTCTCCCATTGGATGACGCGGGAATTTGTACAATCTACGCCGCGAAAATAGATGAGAAAAATAACTATCCAGTTTTTATCTTCTACTCGTTTGCAATCATGATTGATTCAATCAATTATTTACTAGATTCATCTGTTTATTGCTGATTACTATTTAAAAAAGATGAAAACAAAAAATCTTTCTATGAATTATCATTACTATGTGGAGCGATACGAATTTAGCAGAAAACAAAAATAAGAAGAGAAGAAGGAGAGGAGATAAAAACACACGCAAAAATATTAAGTATGCAAAGATCTGAGTCAAACTGGATTTAATAGCGGCATACGTATAGATCTGGAAAAAAAACAATGACAACAATCAATGGAATATTGATGACGACGACACAGCATCACATCATATCGTTTGAGTCAAACATTCATATGATCACAATATGTGACGTGCGAATGTCCACGATTTACGTCGATGTTTCGTGAAGTAATGGCGATTCTCCTTTTTTTACGATTTCGTGTATCGATTAGAACCTTGAAGAGATGGAATTGATTAACATCTTTAATATCATATGCAATTTCTTCAATTCAGAGAGAAAGAAAGAGAGAGAGAGAGAGAGAGAGAGAGAGAGAGAAAAAGAGGCGGCACTGCAATCGAGTCGTGAGGAGATGCACACTCGAGTCGCTAGTTTATGATGTATCGCGCGTAATTTATGCAGAAAACACACATCGCATGTGTACGCATACCATTAAATGATTGATGTAAATTGTGTACAAAAATGTGATATTCGATTGAAATCGGATAATCTAATCGAATGGGCGCTATAGACGAGAGTGTTTAACGAAAAATCGACTGCCTCTCGCTGTCATTACCATTATTATATGATTATTTTTATATTTATATTGTTTTTCTCCGCGTTCGATTATTTTTTCCTCTCTTGAAATTCTTTGTTGTTGCTGTCGCCGCCGCCTTTGCCGTCGTTGTCGTTGTCATTGTCGTTGTCGTCGTCGTGGTCGTTGTCGCTGTCGCTGTTTCTCTCTCCTTTTTCCACCATATTTTTTATGTGTGTTGCTTTTTTTTCGCTGCTGTGTGTTTGCAAAACGCGTGTGCTTAATCTTACTCGTTACATAGTAGTCGACGAAGCACAAGGTGGTCAGCTCTAAATAATCATACTGATTGTCGGAATATATACACATGTCTATATACATGCTGATTGGTTTCATATTATTTTCTATCTTTGTTGTCGTTCAACTTTTGCATCAGCCGATCAAATGTTAGAGAGAATAATTATATGTGTGACGTTTTTATCGACTGAGCGAAAATGGTGTATTTATTTAAATCGATGATTTGTAATTTAATGAAACTAGTATTAAGTTGCATATATGACACATTTACTTATTTCTGGACTTTTCTTTCCTTTTCCAACCCACCCTTTCTCTCTCCATTACAGATGAACTATGTTACAAGATTTTATGAAGGATGGCGGGATCTGATGGACAATAAATCAGATCCAAGAACCACAGACTGGTTTCTTATGAGTTCCCCGTTCCCAACCATTATAATCAGTTTAAGTTATGCATATTGCGTTAAGGTACGTACAAGAATATAACCGATAAATCTCACGAGATAATGACTTGAATAAAGTTCTGATGGACATTCTTTTAAAAAAAATCTCTCTCTCTCTCTCTCTCTCTCTCTCTCTCTCTCTTTATCTCTGTACATCTCAGTCTGGATATCCCCGAGCGTAAAGAGTTTTTACGTTGTAAATTGTAAAACAAAAACACATAAGAACAGTTGGTTTTTTCTCTTTCGTCTTTGAATGAGTCGAAATGGAATAGTCATTCGTGATGATGAGTGTGACCAAAATGGAAATTAAAATAATACCACGTTTCATCCCAAAATTGGCTACTCTACGATTAAACTAATGTTAAAATGGGGAATTCATGCCTATTTGACTATTTGTTATGAAGATGAAGTAACATTTGTTTCCTGTTAAAGATTTGGCTATTTTCTTTCGTCATCATCGTCGTACGGATGAAGTTTTTATTGATTCAAAACAAGATCAATATTCAAACATTTTTGCCATCATAAAAATCATACGGAACTCGGTAGGATGTTTCGTCATTTTATTTGTGCAATATGCAATATAATGTGGAACACCGGGGTCTGTATGTAATGAATTATGATGTTTTTGATCAAATCGCCATTCCAAGAAAATAACACCGTACTTAATGTTGTCGACAAGTCAAAGAGTAAATATAATTAAATTAATTGTAGAACAAAAAAAAAGAAACTAATACATACAATAAATTGTAAAAACAGATTGTGCAGGAAATAAATGAAATACGCTGGGGGGTCGGCATATAATAATCACATCACCTCCAACAATAGTTGTATATTGAATTTATGCATATTATTTATTTAGCGGTCACTTGATGTTGCCGCTTAGTGATTTGAAGCCAAATACTGCTTTGTCCGTTTGGGTTTAATGCTTCATCCATTTTGAGTTTGAAAAGTAAATTTGCCCAAAAAGAAATAAATTGATCGGTTCGCGACAGATCGCTTGTTTCATGAAAGTGAAATCAAAGCAGCATAATTTCAATATTATTTTGGCATCATTCTTATTTGGTTGATGGTCACACAAAAATCAAAGCTAGTTTCATTCAAAGTAACCAAAAAAAAAACACGAAAATAAGATTATTTGAATATGTTCAACGTAAAAAAAGTATATATGGATAAACCGCAAAATTACAGGCTTTTCGAGCATTCGTTTTTTTTCCTGTTGATTTCATATTTAAATTATTTTTCTCTTTTTTTCCTTACCTGAATATATCAAATAAATCTTAAGTTGGTGAACATAAAAGGCGAATGGAAAAAAAACAACGCAAATCCAGCGGTGTTCATTCACACTGTGACCGTACTCGATTGGTTTATTTTTTTTTTATGTAATTTCTGTAATTATATTATTTCAAAAATATGACCTTGAACAGAAATCATCGTAGAAATGAAGAGCGCGATGTATGTATGTGTGTATGCTTGCTAGGCTGCATAGAAATCATTAGGTGTATCATACATCGTAGCTAACGACATTTTCAGGTGGCTATTAAGCAGTAGCAGCGGTAACGGCAATATGTCGTCGACAACGGCAGCCACCAAGTCAAAGCAATCAAAGCGCACAAATAGTATATCTATGTACGCGCAAAATGCCATGCATTACCTGCAACGTGTTAACATATGCTGTGTACATTAACTTGACACAAACGCGTGAATGCGGCTATATGCACACATTCTTTTGCGGCTTTAAATCATGCCATTGCAAGTGTATTTAATACAAGACTTTGGTCGATTGCTGTTTCGGTTTTACGTTTGCAATGAATTTTTCGTTTTCAAATTTTGTGGTACACATACGCACATACACACACACACACCACCTCGCATATACTTCTTATGCATTACAATTTTCAACATAATTCGATCGTGATTCCGTTCAGATTGAACTAGACACAAAAGTTCTTGAACATTGAGCCTCTGCAATTTCATTTACGAATCACACACACACACAATTCAAATCCAATCAAGTGGACGGCACAAATTAATTATATGTACGAAATGCATAATCAGATTTCGCAACATGTTCACTTCAAACAAAACAATATGCAAAAGGGGAAAAAATAAAATAAAAATAATAATTTAAACAAAAGACTTTTAAAATAGAATGCATTTTCATCATGCTCATGCATTCATATTGTTGGTATTGCTGTTGTTGTTGTTCAAGTTCATTCACACGCTGTTTTAGTACTGTGGCCGGCCGATGTCATTAAGTATCGACGTATCAGGAATTATGAGCAAGCAAAAAATTTAAATCTGTGAATAGTTTCGATTGCATCGCGAATACTCAGAATTGAACGGTTTATTCAGCGATTCTCGCTGAGCATCGCTTAAGTTTACGCCGAGCAAGCAATTAATTCACTATATTTTCGCAAAATTAAATCTTGACTGAGAAAGAGAGAGAGAGAGAGAGAGAGAGAGAGGGAGAGAGAGAAAGAGGAGAGGAGAGATGAAGATCAGGGTGAGAGCGTATGAGTGAGTGTACGAGAGTGTTCACGCTTGTGAGAAGAAGAAAAAGCAGCGATTCATCATTATCTGTACGGTAACACACTTTTGTAACGATTCGTTCATCGTGCTTCGCTTTGGACACATCATTCATCGTGTTGTATGCATTTATTGTATTGGATTGGTTTCAATGGGCAATAAACACGGCTTTATGTATGTGTATGAAGTGTAGACACTGCAGATGCATTTTTATGGCAAACAAAGATTTTGTGGCATCAGATACTTGATTTAACCTTGAATACCTGATTTCTATAACATTTACAAAGGCCTGGAACTTTTTTTTTGGGTGCATGCGCTTTTTTTCTCGTAAACAACCGCAAAAAAATTCCTGTTTGAGACAAAACAGCGTTTCGATTTCTCTCTATTTATTCAGAATGAGCGCGAAATTTGCCGGTTCAAATTCAACAAAATGAAACTCAACGGAATGTGGTGTCGACTATTGTATATTAATGGTGATGCACAGTTTGATTTCGTTCGTTCTTCCTTTGTAATTCAAGTGATTGTACCAATTTGCATACGTTAACACTACACATGAGCAATTGATCTAATCAATTGTTGGGGAAATATTCAACGCTTTATTCCCAAAACCAGACTACTACTGAATCACTTTAATTTTTATCGCATGGTGTTCGCTCAAATACTCTCGCTCGCAACATCGATCAATCGACTTTGTTTCAATGCTTGAGACGCAAAATCACCTTAACTACACAGAGAAAAATAATGTTGTCAGAATCACTAACATGTAGTTGTAAACGAGCGAATTCCAACTAGGGTTGGACATTTCGCAAAATTTTCTGCACTCAGTTATAAATATGTGGAGAAAATTTTGCGAAATGTCCAACCCCAGTTGGAATTCGCTCGTTTACAACTTCATGTTGGTGATTCTGACAACCTCATTACGCTCAGTGTATGTGCTTAGCTTTGATTTTTTGCATTGAACGGTGTATTTTTGTACACAGACATTTGTAACAAACGGTGAATACGATGAAAAAATGCACGCACACACCAAATGAAAATAGCAACAAAATGAAAAAAAGAACTCGTTTCATGATATGCAATGTTTTTTTGATTCCATTTATAGGTACTGGGGCCCCGTTTGATGGAGAACAGGAAACCATTTGAACTTAGAAAAGTTTTAATCGTATACAATTTTCTGCAAGTGATTTTTAGTTGTTGGTTATTCAATGAAGCCAGTGCCGCAGGATGGCTGAATGGCTACAGTTTACGATGCCAACCAGTCGATTACAGCCGATCACCGACAGCATTGCGGGTAAGTGTCAATCATTGTTCATAACCGAATATGTTTCTATAATATAGCAGCCACTTTTTTGTTGGACAACAAAGAACAGAACAAAAAATGAGAAACCAACAAAAAAAAACCAATAACGCGAAAATGTCGACCATAAAAAGACACCTAAGAGATTAATATTCTGCCGTGTAATTAACTGAATTCTTAAAATAAATCATTTCAATTGCCGGTAATTTTCTGGTATTTTTTTTCGGTATTTTCGAGTAGTACATTAGACTTAGGATTTGATTCACACTCATAAGCCGGCGTACTTTTTAATTAATGAATCGGACTTCAAAAATACGCCATTCGAAATTTTAATCGTTCGAGCTTTGAAGATTGTGACTTGTGTGATTTTCGAATCGTTTCGAATGGTTTACGCAACAACATTTTCGTCTTGTCTGTGACGATCGATCTCGTTGATGCAGACAAAGTATCCGACCAAACTAGCTTCAGCTAACGATGAAAAAACTAGAAAGTTAATGTCGAATGCATATGCGGATTTTGGTCCACTCCAAATTCGTTGAGTGAGAAACATCAAATTCACCGAATTTGTTCAAGTGAAGGTGTCTTACTGAAATTTGATCACTTGACCAATCGACACGTATATACACAACACACTTCTAATAATTACTTCCCAGTCGTTAAGTTGAACTTTACGTGTCCAATCAATCAGAATCACTTGCACTGATGAATTTCAACATAACTGGCATGCAAAGCATGTTTATTAACCGTTTTTCCACCATTATAACGTCGATTGGTCTATGTGATCATCAAAATTCGAATTTATTTAGAATAGAATAATTTTGTTTGACATTTCAGAGATAATTGTTTTCAAATTGATTTTAATAATGTTTTATTTTATTTCGTTATGTCTTAAATAGATGGCTTCGGGATGCTGGTGGTACTACTTTTCAAAATTCACAGAGTTCTTCGATACCATTTTCTTTGTGATGCGAAAACGATACGATCAAGTTTCCACATTGCATGTCATTCATCACGGAATCATGCCAGTGTCCGTTTGGTGGGGCGTAAAGTTCACCCCAGGTACCTACCTATCTGTCTTTATTGCTTGTACACTTTACATATTTATTGTATATTTTGCTTTCGTCGCTCTATTTTGCATTAGCAATGGGTTATTGTTCTTTTGCTCGCTTAAATTTACTAATATTTCTTGGGAAATAGCAAAATAACCTGCGAACTGCTTTGCTTCTTGTTTTACATCAAAACAGAGCTTGGCTTCTTGCATCAGGTTACCGTATTTTCCATTTTTTCTGAATATTATCGATGACTTCTTTGCTCGACCGTTGGCCCGTTTTAAACTCGAGCAGCTTATCTCACAAGAAGTATGACACCGCGTGGAATTTTGTGATGTCAAAGTTGACGATAGTTTTGCTCATATCTGTGACTGTTAAGGCTCTTGCAATCGTTTTTCATTGTGTGCATTGCTTGTTGTGTGCGAATAATCGCGCTCTCAAATACCGAGTAAATTTGTGCCTTCTTCGGTACTTGAAACGCGATGCAAGTGACCTGTGTTCATCGAAACAAGCTGGACAATTTTCATATCGGGCAAACAACGGATGACGTATTTCAATTGTTCCTCAATTGAATTCTAGCAATTTGTCTCATAAGAAACATGACACCGCATGGAATTTGATGATGTCGAAGTTTGCGATGATTTTGCTCACATCAAGACCACCGGAAGTGTTCAAAATTTTGCCATGCTTCTTGATGGTACGCATCGCTCGTTGCGTGCCAATTATACAACGCCCAAACACCGAGTAGATTTTATTCATCTTTGGCACCTGGAATGCAATGCACGTAACATCAGCGTTGGTTTCGGTTTCATACGGATTGACCAATGTAGCCAATCGCTCGTAGCAATCGTTCTTTAGGCCAACCGAAAACTTTAAACAATCGGTTATTTCGTTCCGGAAGCGGCTTAGGTCCACCACAAGTACATCTTTCCCAAGCACCGGTTCGGACATAGAAATATGTTTACCTAGATATTTTATACTGTATAAATATGCAAAGCATAGACGCGTGCGGACGACCGTGCGACAAACGTATCAACGGTCGATCGTCCGTACGCGTCTATGCTTTGCATATTTATACAGTATAAAATATCTAGGTAAACATATTTCTATGTCCGAACCGGTACTTGATCTTTCCCCTTGTACATAACGAATAACTGCATGAGCATAGCCTTGGTCTTTCGAATCGTTTCATCGTCTCAACGTTGTCTCGTTCCATTTGGGATATCTTGTCCAGGATGAATTGCCAGTCGACTGATTCAAACACGCTGTAGTTCCCACTCTTCTCGGTTTCGTTGCCTCCCAATAATTTCCCAGTTCAAGTACTCCTCCTCACCAACTTGCACCATTTCGTCCCATTTCTCCGCATCCCGTCAATTCGCGCAGTTCCTCAAATGCGTCGTTTACAATTGCTTGCAGTTTAGCAGTCGGTGCCATTTTGTCACAGTACTCTACACCGAAATAACTAAGAAGAAAAAAAAAACACCAATCGTTGAACTCTGCCGATAGGAATTCGCAGTCACAATGATTGAAATCTGATGTCGCTGAAAAGAATACACAAAAATGACACAAAGTATTGCTACTTATAGCAGATTTCGAACGAATTTCAAAACTTATCTGAGCTTATATTTCGAAGATATCATCACCTCAGCCACGAACGTGTTGGTGAAAAACACAGAAAAAAAACAAATTTTGAAGAACAATGAAGGTACTAGAGAAACTTATAAACAAAACAAACTCGTCCGGTATTTCTTTTGACAGATCGAACGTGAGAAAGATTCAAGCGGCACATGGTTTGGCATCGAACACCAACTGATATACAGCTGACAGCGCCACACTTTCGAATTGAATGCATTAAAGTACTAAAATGAGGTTATTTTGTTTGAATTCAAATGAACAGAGAAATCCAGTAGCAAATACTGTTTTTTAATATTTTATTCATTCTGGCCGGGATTTCTTTGTCATGTTCTATACAGTAATATCAAATAGGACGGGTTTCAGCGCCACCTGTCGCACACTTGGTGAACTGTCATCGATATCATTTGTTCGCGCAAACTGAACGGGTCAAGTTAAACTGAACGGTGCATGAACAATTAATATCGATGACAGTTCACCTAGTGTGCGCCAAAGGCGCTGAAAATCGTCGTATTTTAATAAAACCCGGTCGACTCATTCCAAAATTACCTAATATTCTCGAGAATTTCAAAGTTCTTTCGTTACCTTTCAAGATTGAAAAGATCGAGTGCAATGAGAATAATGTTTTCATTAGAATCTATTGAAATATCTTTTTTATTGGACAATCGTCTCATTTAATACATAAAAAATGTGTGAAAAGGATTTCATGTTTGGAACACGTTTTCTTAACTTTTGACGATTATGCGCTTTCATTTGTCTTTTTTTCTGATTTGTGGTTATGCACTTCAACGGGGCAGAATGCAACTTTGTTTCCGGATGTTCGGGTTTTTCCGCGACATTTGTACTGTCTACGTTTCATACAACACCAACTCACACCTTCATGGTGATCATATTTAAAACCAGTTTTAACTTCCAAGACATGATTCGTGTTGCCGTTATCCAAATGGCGATATCATGCGGAAACTCTTCTGGCCGAAAGAAGATGTGTTCCATCGGTGTGGGCAGTGCCCTTACGTTTTCATATATCGCTACATCATATTTCGCCTTTAGAATGGAATCCAAAGAAAGAGACAAAATAAAGAAGAAATTTCAACTTTCAAGAGATAAAATTCCTGTACAAATTTCCCCTCTTTTGTTCCGATACAGAGTATTACGCATACACTCTTAACTGGAGTAAACATCAGTGCGACTACTCCAGTAGGGAATGACTTTCAACCTACTTATACATGCGTAAGTTTGACGATTGCTCCAGACTGGCATAATTGCGCGGATACTCCAGTATAGGGCAAGCGTCAAACTTACGCATGTATAAGTAGGTTGAACAAAAGAGGGGAAATTTGTACGAGTCCTCTTCTGCAAAAAAAAACGCACAGTTAATGAATAAAATCTGTTGAAAAAAAGAACAAAAATTCTCACCCAATTCACTAAATTGGATATTCACCGAAATGAGCTGGACCTTCTTCACGTCGGGCATGTACCGAATGGTGTACTTCAGCTTCTCCTCGATCACTCGCACGCATTACTTGAACGTTCGTAGGGTGAAGTAATATGGTTGATCCTGTGACAAAACTTCCACAAATTTCGGTACGGCAGCTCTTCCACTTGTATCCCATGAGTGCAACATCTAGAAATAGATTGAAGCCATTGAATAAGCCAGCATTCTTATTTTGATTTTAAATTGAGTGGTTCTCTCAAAGGACGACGAAAGTCTCCCGTACATTTGAAACATCATTTTGACGTCTCCATTTCCACCATATAGATTTGCATTTGAGACTTCAAGTCTCAATGCAAAAATAGACGGAGAAAGTGGAGACGCCAAAATGATGTAAAAACTATTTTCCTCCTTTGTAGGAATTTCTTTGGGTTTTTTGCATTATTTGAATATTTCAAGTTTCATTAATTTTGGGATAAAAAACTGTTTTCCACTTACTTGGGAGCAATAATTCAATATATTTCAACATTTCCTCTGAGTCGGGGCTTGGCAGGTATTTATTTGTTCGCTTGTGTAATTGTGCGCGTGTGGCTTTGATGTACAAAATATGAGACTCCTCGTCATCGAATTTCAAGGCATCGAGGTTACTTTGAGTGTTTTCCACATCGATCCATTCCGCAGCACATTCCATTGATTTTCCAGACTTTGTTGCGATTTCTCTCCGTCTAGAATAAGAAATTGCCTTCATTTGTTTCAATGTTTTAAACGAAAAAAAAGACCGCTAATATACCCATTCCAATTGTTCGCTAGCAAATCTTGAAATCATTTCATCATAGAAAAGATCATCGACGTCCATAGTGCCGTTTGTGATGAAACAACGAAATCAAAAAATACAAAACAATAATGCTTTACAATTCTATCTGTCTTTATTGTTTTACTGATAAGTCTGGATTTATCCTGTCATACATAAATAAGCAACACTTGAACGATACAGTTGATGTGAATTATGGCTAATTAAGATTGTATTTGTTTGTTCTTTCCTACAGGTGGTCACAGTTCATTCTTTGGTTTCTTGAACACCTTCGTCCACATCATTATGTACACGTATTACATGCTGGCCGCTATGGGACCAAAAGTACAGAAATACTTGTGGTGGAAGAAGTACCTCACCGTCCTCCAAATGATTCAATTTGTATTGGTGATGGTGCATGCCTTCCAATTGCTATTAGTAAACGACTGCAACTATCCAATCTACTTCGCCTATTTCATTGGTGCTCATGCCATCCTCTTCTACTTCCTGTTCTCACGATTCTACAAACAGGCTTACACATTGAAGCAAAAGCAAAAGGTATGTGTATTGATGATTTGACCCGAATCCACTGCATTGAAATTTAGCCATTATTTACGGTTATTTTTCGTTTTTCATCTTTATTTGATTGACAGGCTGAAGCCGCTCAAATCGCAGCCAATGACAAGAAGAACGATGATGCTGATGTTGACGCTGATTCGAAATGCGATGCCATTAAATTTTTAAATGGTCAAACAAACATTTACAAGACCAAGATCGATACAACGGTGACCAGAAGCCGTCATTACGTTGGTTCAGCCAATTAGACGATCATCCGTGTGTTTTTCATTCAAACGTAGGGAAATGGCAACAAAAAATTCTAGCAAATTTAAGTGCAACAAAAAAAAAAATTAGGCTACAATTATCTTAATTATACGTTTCTTTTTATATGCAATGATGATATTTTAATACAACACACACACACAAAAAAAACACTCACATGCGCGCACAACTTTGTTTATGTTTGACAAAGAAATCCATTTGCATTTGACGAACATAAAACAAAAGCAACAACAACCAACACACACACACACACATAAGAATAGAAGATAAATCACATAAATCAATTCGACAATTGATACTTGAGAAAGAACAAAAAAAGCAAACAAATAAAGACTACAAATTGATATTGTGGTTCATTCGTAGAAAATTATGGATGGAATTAACGCGGACATTTCGATTAAGCATTGATATAATTTTATTGCGAAATGAATGAAAAATTTCATAAATGTAATTTGTACAGAAAAAAAATCGAACGAATAAATTTATTGTTACAGAATAAATAAATAAACAAGTGCATTGAGAACTCTATTTATAATACGATAATCTGAAAATAGAACAATTCATTTCTTGTAGTTCGGCATTCTTTTTAGACGAAGAGATAGGTTCGTTCTAGAAGGATAAATGAATACTTTGCATTGCATACGATTTCAAAATGAAGTGTGTTTTCCATATGGTGTCAAATTGCTAAACGAAAAGAGCAACCAAAGCAATAAATACCGATCCAAATGTAAAACGATCGCACCGGTGGCCAGAGGAAAAATGCGAATACTCGTTTATACACACAAATCTGTTATGCATTTATGAATTTCGTTTTGGTAATTGTGCACTATTTTGAAATGAATATGGTAAATTAGTATAACAATTGCTGGGATTTCGACCCATTTACAACACTAATATTTCACTTTCAGTGGCGACATATTTGTCGTGTAATTGTTTTCTTTTTCTTTTTCTTCTTCTTCTTTCATTTATTTATTACTTACTGCCCCGTGCCCGACAAACATTCGACATTGTAAAGGTAAACACTGCATTTCAGGTAGAAAATGTTACTGTAAGGTGCGTTTGAGTGATGATTGCACAAAAACCCACTTTGATGATGTTTGCAACGCACCACTGACCCATATATCATTAGCTTATTGAATTGTTCAAGGCCTTCGATTTTAACTAACGATCAATGCAGATTTACCCACAACTAGGTCTACAAATGGAAGGATTTTGATATTGTTAGAAATTTTGATTATCGAGAATATTTGATCTTCTGACTCATGGCAAGTCTTTTCAATTTCATTAAAAAAAATGCATTTGACCGAGTCATGTAATACGAGTCAATAACGATAAAGACGAAGACGAAGAAAGAAATTAGCAATATGCCAAATATGGAGCAATATCAAAATATGTATTCCCATTTTCACGGAATTTTTGTTGTTGTTGTTCCGAACAATATGACAAACAAATTGAATTCATAACAAATTTTTGATACAAAAATGCATGAAAGTATTGGGTTAAATGTATGCCGATTTGGTTAGCGTCTCTTTTCCATCCGTCTCGATCGTATTAAAGAGAGCAAGGTGAATCAAAGACGAAATATAAATCCAAGGAAAATAACGAATTTCTTGGACAAAACGAATGCAAGCCAATCGCAATGAGCACAATTTAAAAAAAAAATTATAAAATCCAACCAATTCAATTGTGTTCAAATTAGTCGAATTGATAATTGCCAATGAATTGGTAATGAATTGGTAATGAATTGTATTATTGAACAGTGGTTCTGTGAATGAACGAGTTCAACTACATTAATTCTTGGTCGAAGCAAAAAAGTTCAAGTGAATGCAAGCGCCCTCTGTTATGAAATTCAAACGAAAAAAAACAACAACTTCACATCGTGTTGTGGACTTTTTTTTGAAAGCGCAAAATCTTGCGTCATCGTTCAACTTTAATCGTTTCTATTTGCATTCCAGACCAACAGAAAACTCAAAATTTATTTTAAAAACAATCTACAAAATGTCATGCACAAATTCCGTTCTGATTGTAAATTTTATCGCATGTTGTGTATTGTGATAAATTAAGATGGAGACTGTTTGTTCTTCGAATGGTGTTTGGGCGCAGAGTTGGCATTCAATTCAATGATTCATGACAGAAGATGGGTATGACTGGGCCCGGCATTTTTATCTAATGTTACAAAACGTCATTCGTTGACAAGTGCCGTACTTCTTTTTTCTTTTTTTTTTATCCAAGACCTCCATATGCTCTAGAACCGTCAAAAATCATTCATAAAAATGCACATGTAGATGTGAAACGTGATTTGAATTGTTTGTGCAAAATGAAATTGACCAGCAAAAAACGAGATCATTCGAAAGTCAATTGAGCATTATTTGTAGTGTTATTGTTGTTGTTGTTTTTGTTTTTGTTTTATTGGTTTGACCGATTCGTTCAGTACACAAAACTCGAAAGCCGAAATCAGAAAGAGAAAAAACAAATTCTTGGACCAAAGAATTTTTTCAGTTGTTGTTGTTGTTGTTGTTGTTCTTGGTGAAACAGAATTAGAAGTGTTGCTGGTGAGTGTGTGTTATGAATCTAAATTTCCACGGAATTGTGATTACAAATAAATTTTTGACATCACTGAAAATTCCAATAATATTGCTCCGGTTCACAATTAAGCGCGCACACACCATTTCATGGCATACGTGTAGATAGCCCGTTGTCACACATACAATGCCGCACCGCACACACCGTATATACATACAGACCTACGGAGCGACGAGAAAGCAGACTAAAAATCTACACGATATATTTGATATCTGCGATTTTTTTACTTTAAGTAGGAAAGTTGCCTTAGAGTAGAGCGGAAGAAACACGCTTGCTAGTAACAAAAAAAAATATATTTGTGAAGTAACAGCACACAAAACACATAACAAAATATTTTTATAGAGAGAAAAGTAAATCAATCTTCTTTTTTTTATTCTGTTATACTATTGGTGATAGAAAATCGATCGATTTTAGGCGAAATAAACGCATAAAACAAACATTTAATCAATCGAACAAACACGAACCAACGAACCAAAAGGGAGAAAAATGGTTTTGTCCCTCGATAAAACGAATAATAAAAGAATTTTTTTTTTCATTCGACACATCTTACGAATTGTACATAAGTAAACTAATTGGAATTGACAGATCCGTCAAAAGTTTTGTTTGTTGGAGACCAATTGGGATTTTGTCCGAAAATAATGTCGTTCAGTAAAAGTTCTACAGTGAAAATTGTGTCAAATTATTTGAGAAGCTATCGGCTTTTGGTTTCATGTGTTTCTTGAATGGTTTTCGTTCCGAAGCAGTTTCACCAAAGTAAAATTTGATTGATTCGGTTCAGGAACAAAAGAAAATTTATTCAATAGTTTTTTATGGTGATGCTGTAGCGATTTGTTGGTGCAAAACAAAATTTAAAACAAAACAAAAAAACAAATCCGAGAGTTTTTCGCTCTTTCTTTTGCTCACAACACGAGACGAAAATGAAATAAGAAAAAAAAACGAAAGAAAATTAAAATGGAATACACATGAATGATTTAAATTTCAATTTTTTGCGGATTCAGTAAGTTTTGATTGGTGACTTGACTGTTAAGTTTTATTTGATTGACGTTTTATGTTCTATTCGATTTGAGTGAAATTTTTATTCGTTTTTGTTCTTGTCAAAACATAAATTGTATGTTTGCTGTTTTTTTCCCTCTGTCTCCTCTTGTTTATGGAATTACCGTTAATCGATTGACACTATTAATAAAAACGCACGAACAACAAACAGCAACGAACGCGTGACACTTAAAGTATGGTATGCAATCCAAAAGCAAACGCAAAAACAAACTCGTCCAAAAAAAAAACACACACACAAAGGTAATAGAACATTTGGTATGCTAAACCATATTTTGATCTAACCTCAAATGCAAGACATTAAGAAAATGGAGTGAAAAGGGAGGTAATCATCAATAAAAGAATTACAATTTGTAATTACTGGTGTACTGTGTTGTTTTCGACGCGACGTATGCCAACGGGATTCGGATGAACCTCAACGGGTTTCGTCGAGCATCGACGGGTTTTGATGGCAACAGCAATGAACAGCAACAAATGAAGGAGGAGAGAAATTCGTACAAAATATCGTGTGTGTGTTTGTGTTGCGTTTATTTCAGTTAAAATTTTATTCGTGTTGAATTGCCGATTCTGTCTTTTAACCAAATTTTTAGCTTTCGCCAAATATTATCATCCGCTTTGCCTCTGTCTATCTACCGCAGTGCATTGGCTGGTTCGCTGGCTCATTTGTTCGTTCGTGTGTTGTTATTATTTTGTTGCTCACTTTCTTTCTGTCGCCTGGTCATCTGTCTCTTTTTGCCCGTTTATCGGATGCCGCTGTCAAGTATACTTCAACGGTATCATTCATATACACAGCAAAATACCACGATTTTTTCTCCTTCTTCTTTTTCTGTTTCGTTCATTTGTGAGATATATAAACAATACGTCAATATGCGTAAATATTATATGCCGAACACTTTCTCTCGTCCGGGCCGATAAGCATTGATACAATTGATAGCAACATTCATTTGCACATTGCCAATGGAATATATATCAAATGGGAAAATACAAATTTGTGTAGACAAAATAAACGCATAAACCATATCATTTTGGGCTATTTCAGTTAATTTAATGAGAAATTGGGCAATAATAGTGTTATGACTAACCAAATAGTGTATCCGTGTGTGTGTGTGTGTTTTGCTTAGAGTGCTCTGACAAACGGTCATCGTTACTTAAGTGACGATCTATTTGTCACTATGCTTTGTCGTCGACGTTGTCGTTGTCGTAACACATAAACCCATGGCAAGCATATGAACACGAGCAAAACAAAGGCGTATGGTATACTGTAAAAGGTGATTACGTAGAAATGGGCCTCCACACAGTCCACAACGTTTCGTGATGGTATTGGTTTCGGCGTACGCATTTATTGTTGTTGTTGTCGTCTTCTTCTTCGACATACCATATCAATTTCATTGCATCTTTTCACCCAGCAAACGGCCAATACAACCGACTGTCGGCACAAATGAATCGAATGGAATCACATTATATTATATAAACATCCGAAAACTATGCTTCATACCCTTCGAATGAGTGTAATCGAATCGTAAGCACGCATTATTTGCTATAGTATTTTATGTATGCTTATGAGGGCATACATTGGTGGATTTGTGTACGCTGTGAATTATTGATATAAATTCTTCTTCGTTCATATTTTTTTTTTGTTCAAAATTGAGGTATGAGCTATTTGCTTATGACGTGGAGTTTAGAGTGGGAGTGTGCTGCGAGCTCTTCACTATCGTGCCAAGAGATTTTTTTTATTAAAACTCACTGAATGACTGACTGACTGACTGACTGAGCGTATATACAAACATGCAAATACGCGCGCATTAGCGCGATAAGCAATAACGAATCCACTGTCCAAATGTTACTATGTTCAACATTAGCTTAATCCCTAATTAAAACAGGAAGGTTAAATCAGACGGGATTGAAGTATGCATTCCACTTCTCGTCCACTGCACATACATAATAATTATTAATTTTTCTCCATTTATAAATTAAATAATTCCGAAAACGTAATCATGATTATAATGTGTGTATGTACACACAGGCCGATCGACCGACCGACCGACATTAACGTTGTTCCATTGAACATAATCAGTTTTATTTATTTGTTGCTTGTTTTTTTTTATTGTTAGAAGCCTATGATTCATTTAACATTGGGCGGCTTTAAAAGCTGTGGCGAGGAGGAAGTAAATAGCAATGTGTGTACACACACTTGCTTTTCGGAATGACTAACAGTTAGATAATATTTGCTACTTTGAACACGGACAAAAAAAAGTTGGCACTTGAGAAAAGTGGCTGTATTTAAACGAAATTTATTTACAATTTTCGCGAAAAATTTGTCAACATTATTAATTATCGAGTTTTGCGTTGAATCTAATCTCAGCCACACTCACAATCACATCTAGCTACAAGTCAAGTGGTACCTTTTTTTTATTATTCGATGATATATGCAATTATTTCGTGTGCGTATGTATATCGGCGTGGCACTGAACGCGCTGGACACGCGCTATCCAATAATGCGCTACGCACTCTATGTTATCGTCTGCTTCTTCTGCTTCTTCTTCTTCTTCTTCTCTTCTGCTTCTTCTTCTTCTTATTCTTTTTGTCAAAGCTGTATGAAAAAAAAAGGTGATAGACGATTTTGACTTTCACCTCGTTAATCGTAGTGTGATATCGTAAAATCGTTTTTTATGGCAGTTTTCTTAATCTCTTTCGGTTTTTCTGCCCTGTCTTCAATTCCAATACGGCGATTGCTGTCGCTGCTGTTGCTGTTGCTGCGAGATCCAGCTTTGCGACTAAATGCTAGATTGTGCGTTTCGTCAAATGCAAGCCATATGATTTCTATTGCATATTCCGGTCAATGAATTGATCGATATAACCGACAAGCAATCGAGAATTAAATAATAACGCTAAAATGTAACATATACATATATCACACAATCAAGGTATTCAAGACAGAAGAGAAAAAAATATATATTAAAATGAAATTGAAAGCGAAATTACAACATACATACGAAATCAGTAGACACACATCTATATATATCTATATGTATCGAATCCGCTGGATTACGGTTCGGCTGGCATTACATATTTCTTTATTATACTCTTTTTTTTCATATATTTTAAATGGTTTCTCACTTGCACACTACCACCACAATCGCACAAGTATGATTGAAGTATTACGAGTGCAGAAATAGTCAGAGTTTATGTGCATACACATTCAACGGTGTGTTGCAAGGGAAGCAAAATATGACGTTGATAATTGTGTTCCACGAAAATTTCCATTGCACACTGACGACATAATTAAGTGCTGGCAAGCTCACTTTCGCTCCGTGAAAGACTCCTCAATAAAAACAAAAGCGAAACATTGACGAGAAGAAGAAGAAAAAAATGCCAAGGCATTCGATGATGAAAGAAATGTCTATATCGGCTTTACTGGTTCCAAAAAAAAAAAAAATATTCGTATATTTGGTAATTTTCTCTTCCCTTTTCGTTTGGATTCAATCAAGACCCACACACATTGGCATTATTGGTAATTGGCCACACATTATGATTGGCTTCTCCATATACACATGCACACACACATATATATATATATACACACACACGTACGAACATACCAATTTGAGCATAATTTTTTGTTTTGAATTTTTTTTTTGTTCGGTCGGTGTAATCGATCCAAACGCGTGTGAAATGACAAAACTTACCGTATACATTTTATTTCCCCCCAAGAAGAGACACACCAAATAGGACTTTCAAACGAAAGTTGATCACATTGTTTTCAATGACACACACTTTGAATGCAGCTCGGGCTACGAATTGTTGTTTCCAAGCAAAGCTTCCACATCATGCACGTATATAGATATATTTTGAATACGCGTATGCATGTAGTCATGTATATCCATCCAATCACAATGATTATATTTGTAAACCCATCGGTGATTGTTGATTTCGTTTCAACGCATTTATATGTAAATCGGTGCGGCCAATCAATTCATACAGATGATCTTTTTAAATGATAATGACGCCGACATCGAGAAGTTTTCTCCAGGCTATAATGACTTGGGCTTTAATTTTTTTTTTCTCTCTCTCTCTCTCTCTCTCTCTCTCGCGCGCGCTCTTTCTCGAATATAGGTGAACTTCTGATAATAAATACTGGGTGTTGCATTCAAATCAATCGGTATGGTATGTTCAACCAATTTACGGTCACATACACACGAACGGCAATGCGACACCATAAGATCAACGCTGATAGAGTGTAAACGATTCAACTTTGATTCATGAAAATTAAATTTCAACATCGAAACGACGACGACGATAAATTGTGGAGATCATAAGTTGAAAAAAGAAGAACGATCAGCATAGATTATGCGCTCGTATGGAATGCTGCTGATACGGTTGATAACAACACGTACGATTTTTTTTCCGATTTCGTTCGCCGTTTCTTTTTTTTCGACATTTCATTTTTTTCGGATGTTGTTGTTGTTGCTCAACGGCAGGTTGTTTCGATGAGGAAAAAGTCGTTTCCCGAATATTCCCCTTTCACATGAGCCGAAAATCATGCGAAAATGTTTTTGAAATGTTGTGAAAAAAAGTGACGTAGATTGATTCACACTGAAATTTCCCATTAAATACAAAATATAAATGCTATGCACTTGATGCGATCAGTGATCATGAATCGATTTCCGAAACAAACGCACGTATTGCTCGGCAGGAATGTAAATTGATATCGATACGTGCTGAAATGATCGATATGCCGTCAGGCACAATGCAACGATGACAACAACAAAATTTTCCAAATAGTCCTTCCCCAGATTCGTTTCATTCTATATCATTTCGACTAATACGACTATCCAAAAGTATTCGGCAAACAGCACTCGCTGTCCAGGCGCTAATCAAATAATTTGAACGAGACACATAGCAGGAAAAAAACAGTAAACGGATAACACATCGAAAAACATCGACAAACAGAAAGCAAATTCTTTAATGAATGCAAAAATCCGGTAATTAGAAACACATCATAGATAAGTCAGTTTATTGTGGTACAACACAACACAACACAACATATGTGTGTATGTTATATATGCAGAGGCAGGCTAACAGCAGGCACAGGTATACAGCCAGCTGAATACATTAAATGGCAATTTGCGTATACGACTTTAGCTTTGATTCCAACATCATTAACGTGTTCATGTATGCGCGTGTGTGTGTGCGTGTGTGTAGAGAAACACATTGTAACAAGAGCAGAACCAAGGGAAACACTGTAGCAAAGACGCTTTACGAGGCTCTTAAAAAACAAGAAACAATGCTCTGGCCATAGTTTAAGCACACATTTTGAGCTAAGCGCACGCTTTTCAACGTTAACGTTAACGGTGATATCAAAATTTTACCCATAGTTTTGGTTTCAGAATATTTTTTTTCTTACTTATTTCATTCACTTACTTGTCGGCCTAATAACAACATACAATCGAAAATCGTTTCATCTTTTAACTTATAAACACTACAGGATAACGTTGTAAGTCTTTCGATTTTTTTTCCTTCACGATTCGATCGATGTTATTAATAAAATTTTGTGAGCGAATTCGTTGGTGTGACGAGTGAAAAAAAAACATTCAGCTCAGCACCTTTGATTTCAGTTTCTGGTCCGATAAGAGGCCGTAAAATCCATTTGATTGTCCAGTTCGAAATGAAAAGCCATTCGTTGTGTAATGTTTAAATGCAACAAAGCAACGAAATAATGAAAAAGAAAAAATCAAGTGTACGTGATGCAACTTAAGGTTACAACTGTAATTATAATCCAATCTTCCTTGAAAAAAGAATGCATTTTTCGCGCGAATTTACGTATTCAATCGTAGATTATTAAGTGGTCAATACAGTGGCGATGTGTTGCTTTAATTTTCCTCTGCGTCAATCACACACACACACACACACACGAAACAAAACGAAATATACTCGTACACTTGACGAATTAAAAACAAAACCAAACCAACCACAAAAAAAATATTAAAACATCAACTCATTAAAAAAGAGATGGCTAAGCGGACAAACAAGTGCGAGTACAAAAGTTAAAGCTACGGCTATTGCCAACCCAGACAGCAGCAACAGCAGCAACAGTGACAACAGCAGCGCGATATTGTTCGTTGTCTCTGATAGAATATCTTGATTTGAAAAAAAAAGGAAGAAAATTGCTTGAATCATATATAAATTGTGTTTATTTATGTGATGTTCGTGCCTGTGTGATTCGCAATCAAATTAATTGTCATTTTTGTCGAATAGACTTGTTGAAAGTGAGGAAGATAGAGATTGAGAAAAAGGAATATAAATTTATATCAGGTTTATAATCAGTCGTTATTTCAATCATGCATTTTATTAGTATTTCATTCACTGCACCGTGCGCACATGTTTGAGAAGTCAGATCGAAAACATTTCACCAATTCTAACCGATCGTTTTGTTATTTGTACTAATCGAGCCGATCAACTGGCCATTTCACTCGAAATCCGCTCAAATAAAATCGAAATAGTTGTTTTCGTGTGTGTGTGTGTATGTGGTTAGTGTAAAAAACATTCGTTACGTTCGTTTGCCGTGAATATTTTATAATATTTTGCCTATATTCATCTGTTTATTATTTTGTTTGGTTTTTTTTTCTTTTTTTTTCGTTCTCTATCATTGATTTGTCACATCCGTTAAACTTGGATCCGTTTTGTTTCTTTGGTTAATTTGTTTGTTATTACCCGACCAAACGACGCACCAAAATTGTGTACACTTATTTATCGTTGACGTTCTTTTTTTTGGTTTTTCCTCCGCAGACCTATTGACACGTGTTACGATGGCGTACGTTTTACACGATGTATATGATTGGTATCGGGATCTGATGGATAATAAAAGTGGTACGTATGGTTTTTTTTTCTGCTTCGCAGTTGAAATGTTTGTGTCGTACAAAGTCCACAGACACTGAGAATCATCGAATAGACATCAAATGTTGCTACTTTGGCAGCACGGCACGCGGTCTTTGTTTTTCAAATAACAAACAAGGACACACGTAGCTCACTCAGTCTTCCTAGATGGAAAACCTGAATGTTTTTTTTTTGTTCTGCTCGAATTTTCAGATCCACGGGTGAACGATTGGCCGATGATGTCGTCACCTATTCCAACGATCGGTCTCTGCCTATTTTATGCATATTTCAACAAAAGCCTAATGCCAAAAATAATGGCTAATCGCAAGCCATTCGACTTAAGGAACATTTTAGTAGTTTATAATCTTTTTCAAACCGTATTTAGTATATGGATATTCTATGAAGTAAGTAACAATTTACGAAAAACAATCATCTAATAGAAATTTTATCAAAAACCCGTTAATTATTACTAACTTGGGCAAGCCCCCCAAAAAAAGAAACAATAGCATCACGTTGTTACAATTAAATTTCATGATGAATACACAAAAATTCCGTTTCGAACGTATAGGCTTGTATCCAACTCCGAATTTTCTTGTGATTTACACCATACGTAATGTTTCATTTTATCCGCATTGTATTCGGAATTTAATTGCAATTACGCGAGTTCTTGACGTTTTTCGCAGAAATCGTTTTGTATGATAAATAAGCGATTCTTTTGTATTTCGCGTGAAATTTCGTGTGATATTGATAGACTAAATTATTCACTGACTACATTTTAATGGATTTGCATTTTTTTTTCTCCCTATCTCTCTCGCCCGTGCGCTGTACTTTATTCTTCAATTATGGATTGATTGACGAAACATTGTAACAGTATCTTGCAAGCGGATGGTGGGGTCATTATAGCTTTAAATGTCAGCCTGTTGATTACTCGAACAGTCCACTAGCCTTAAGGGTAAGTTTAATTATCATTGAACTCTATGCTATAAGATTCTTCTTTTAAAAAAAAACAGATTTATTCTTCTTCTCTGTGAATAATTTTTTTTTTTTTTGGTTGTAATTGCTTTTAATTACCACAATGTCGAAAGTAATCAAGCTTCACGGATTTTCATGTTACTCATAAATTGATAATTATCAAGCTTAGCAATTATCTGCATACAAAGAATGATGCGAAAGTGATTTGCATGAATAGCACTCGAAATAGTCGTTGATTATCCGTTGCAATTTGTCGTTGTTGAGCATTTTGATAAAAATTTGAACGGTGTGGCTTCTGATGCAAACAAACAAATAAACGAGCAAACAACAAATAGCACTACAATTCAAGTTGAATTGTTACATTAAACAATGTGATGGGCGGCATGAGTTGCATTTACCGATTATTATATTGTGCAGTGAAGAAGGAGCCGGATGCGGGACGCATCGATGACACTTCTCATCGACTGATCGCAATCCGTGATGATAAATTGTATGCAAACAATTGCCGTGCGTAATAATCATATAAAGTGATGATCAATGATCATGTTCATATTTCGCCTTCCTCTGGTTGCGCGCGCTCTTTTGTTCTGCTTTGCATGTTTTCCCCGTCGTCAACGTCGCCGTCGTCGACGTCGCCGCCACTCATTGTGCTAAATATTTTTCGACACACATCGAATTATTTGAGTATAAAATTTATGCCTTTTTCTCTTTTCTCGCGCGTTTCGATTTAGATGGCGGCTACTTGTTGGTGGTATTACATAGCTAAATTCACGGAATTCTTTGACACATTTTTCTTCAATTTGCGAAAAAAGACTGAGCACGTTTCAACTTTACATGTTATTCATCACGGTTGTATGCCTTTCTCCGTGTGGCTTGGACTCAAATTTGCACCAGGTAACAAAACCAATTCATAAAGAACTTAGCTGTTGTGGTCGCCTTTTTTCGCAAACGGTAGCAAATAAATACACACGCACATCAATTGTGTGTATGTGTGTGTACATACGTAAAAAATCAATGCTTAAATTTATACGCTGATTTGAATTTTTATGGCGTTTACCCAGGTTGGATACTCGCTTCTTCTTTTTGCCATTATTGGAGTAATTTATTTTGGCCGCAATTTGATTAAATGTTTGTTACTTCTTTTGATATCTTCAAGAGTCGATTTAACGTCTGTCAACGAGTTTTGAAAGTGTTGAAAGAGCCAACTTTGCGACAATTATATGTGTTTGAAGAAAAGTCTGCACATTTGATGTTACTTTTGAAAGTTTCACCTCTTTTCGTTGTAATGCAATCAAATCAATTGTTTGTTTAACATTTCAAAATGGAATAACCAAAATAATTCAAAAAAAAAGAAGAAGAAGAAATACAAATCGTTGTATTTTCCTTTGCAAATGCGATTGAAACGTAATGTGTCCAAATGTAACCTTAAAAATGGTTTTATTGACACCGTTCTTTGTGCAAAATTAGCACAAAGTCACATTTATTTATATATATTTATTCATTTGCCACATAGGAACCAATTTTGTCATACACTCCGTTTGACTAAATGTTTTCATTTGCTTCTCTTTTCTCTCTGTCTCTCTCATTCACGTTTTCTTTTCGATATTATTTTCAGGCGGTCACAGCACATTCTTTGCCATGTTAAACACGTAAGTTACCAAACACCTCTATTGTACGCTGCCATATGTATCTATCATGTCTTTCAACTTGTATGTATGTGTGTGTTTGTGTCATTTTTATTTATTTACGCAGTTTTGTGCATATTGTTATGTACTTCTACTATATGATTGCCGCCATGGGACCAAAATACCAAAAGTACATTTGGTGGAAGAAGTACTTGACCGCATTCCAAATGGTGCAATTTGTGGCGATTTTCATTCATCAATTCCAGCTGTTGTTCAGAGAATGCGACTATCCAAAAGGATTCATGATCTGGATCGGTTTGCATGGTGCAATGTTCTTGTTCTTATTCTCTGACTTCTACAAAACCAAATATACATCGAAACCCGAAAAAGCATCACTCAAAAATGGCAAAAGCAACGGCACTGCCAACGGCGTAAGTATTATTTCTTCTTTTTTTGTGTTGTGTTGTGTCCCTCTAGCCGAATTTTTATTTCCGATTCGGCACACATTTTTCGAATGGCTCATCAAAATCCAGAGACGAAATTGTCAAACAAACAAACCAAGAAAGCAAAAAAAAAAAATACAAAAATTCCAGAGTCGAAATTGTCACACACCAAAATTAGGTCGATACTCTCGAAATTTTAATGCGCACAATTTCAATGGTCTCATTTATCCTTTTTAACATCTAAAAACTTTCCGATACATTTCCGAAACGAAAAAAAAAACATTCGATTTCATGTTTTATACTCGATTTTTTAATCGTATTTTTTCTTCTGTTTTTTCTCTCCAAAAATAGCATTACACCAACAACAAAAACGGTAAAGAGACGACCATTGCCAATGGATATAGTCAATTGGCAAACGGATCAAATCCCAACAATGGCAATGGCATCAAGAATGGCGTTAGCGAGAATGGTCAAAGCTATTTACGTAATCGACAAACGGCTGTTAAATAAATACAATCTGTCTACAAAAATGAATTTGCATAAATATTTAATTGATAGTGAAATATTTTTTTTTTCTTTTCTCTTTCGAAGCAATTGTTCAGTCTTGTAGCAACATGATAATAACTTTTTTTTTGGAAAATTTTTACCGAAAGAAAAAAGAACAACAACGAATTCAAATATTTTAATTCATGTTGAAAGAAAAAAAACTTGAATAAAAAAAGTGAAGAAAAAAAATTCTAATTACAAAACATCTAATTCAACTCAAGAAATGAAGAGCTTACCTAAACAAAACAACTGGCAAATTACACTGGAGGATTTTTTTTTATTAGCTGAATGTGTCTTGTCATTCAAGCAGCATTTATTTTGTAAATCGGAATGCGCAACTATGTGCAGACGTTTATACTTTTTTACAATTCTTGAAACACATTTATGCGAAACAATGAATCCACACAATCATTTCGGGAAATAATCACATATTATACGCATTGGCATTGTACAGATTTATTTAAAACAAAATGACAAATTTTATAATTCGTCTGCTGTGTAGTAAAGCTCTAGCAACAACCGCAGAAGAAGAAGAAGCAAAAAACATCAACATGAAATATTATTAAGTAGCATAAATTGCAAATTCAAATCTAATATTTAACAATGTAAAAGAAAATCTATTAATTTATTTAAAGAAGAGAAAAAACGAGAAAAAGAGAGAAACATAAACAAACACACACATAAAAAATGTAATAATACTTTAGGGATGACAATGAATATAAATACAGCCTCTTTAGTTTTATTTACTGTAAAATAAAAACAACAACAACAACAATGGAGTAATAAAACAAGATCAAAAATCAAATATTATGAAATCCCAAAATGAAAGAAGAAGAAAATCTATATTTTTTAAAAAGAAATTATGTTTTAAAATTACACATATAGGCTTAATTTATTTTACAACTATTCAGAATGGGTGTTTTTTGGTTAAATCAATCAAACAAACAAACAACAAAAAATATCGATGGTTAAAAGTGAACAATCACAGTGCATTCACGCATTCACACACACACACAAAACAAAAGTACGCAAATGCAACACAAATTCATATTTATAAATGTGTAATTCATTAAGCTGGAGAAAAAGAAAATAGACATTAATTTAAACGAGACAACCTAAAATAAAAGGAAGGAAAATGCTCTTTTTTATACCCATTTAGAATAATGTTTAGAAAATTTATATACAAAAAGGATGGATAAATATACAATTCTTGTGCTCTATAGCAATTAAACAATTTTCATTCTTTTTCTTTTTTTTAATTGCATTTCTTAAGCCGGTTTTTTCTGTTTATTTATTTTTTTTTCATTATTATAGTTGCTTAGATAAATCAGTTAATCCCGTTTGTGAATCTTTTTGCATAAATCAAGCATGTCCCGAAAATTGACCAAAAACATCCGCTTTAGCTGCGCATCTTTATTGAAACAGGTTCATCGCGTTTAAAGATATTAAACAAATTTATACGTCGTCATTAAATAAAAATATTCATAATCTTTTTTTTGTGTTAGCCAGAATGAAAAAAAACATAAACATCTTTATCGAAAGATCAAATTAAAACGCAGCTTTATTGACCATTTTTGACAAAATTTATTGAATTATCGGCGCTGTCATAACAATAGAGAAGTAATATTGTTGATCAAATCCACATGGAGTGCTTCTCGAAATTTATTACATTCGACCATAGTTCAGGAACTGAACTTTTAACCGTTTAAAAAAACTAAATCTAAATTTTTTGCTTCAAAATTGAAGATTTTGATAAATGTCAAATTCGGAAGCAATTAAAAATTTATCTACAAAACTGTGCTCTTTAGACAAAACTGTGTTCAAAAAGCTTTAGTAGTTTGTTACAATTGGTGTATCGTACGCGGTCGCATGACCAATAATTATTTCCGGAATCTTTTACTCGTTTTTTGTTTTGTCTACTGTACCGAAAATTGATTTGTCTCACTTCTGTTTATAGCAAGAAAAAACAAAGCAAAATAAAAATTCTTACCTTTATTTTCTTACGAAGAAGAAACAGCGTGTAGTTTCCATTATATTAGATCTTCAATTAAAATGCAGTAACAACAACAGTAGCAGCATCGGTAGTAGCAGCAAGAGGGGAAAAAAACCAGCAAAAGTGTTCACTGTACACTTGTCAATGACATTGAATTTGGCCATAAAGTTCAACAAAATCGCCTTATCTGGTGTATGAGATCTTGTGTCGCATTTGATATGCCGACAGTTTCATTATTATTTAAAGTCGTAACAACAAACCGGACATATCTATTGTCTCGCTCCCGCGCTCTCGAAATCTAATTATCTAGTTCATTATCAGAATTTCAATGAGACGCGGTAATTATATTTTGACGATCAAGTGGAAATCTTATGATTCTCATACAAAATGAACGTGAAAAATCCACCGCACATACACACACAGAGAGAGAGAGAGAGAGCGAGAGAGAGAGAGAGAGAGAGAGAGAGAGAGAGAGAGAGAGACTCAAGCACTTTTGTATTTATATTTCCAGGCAACGTGCTCAAATGGCATGGCTCATCGTTCTGCTGTGACTATCAACTTAATTAAGTGTCATCATATTACAACTGCCGTAGTAAAGCATTTTTTACCTCTTTTCTTTATTCGCTGTGATCTATTGGCGTAAATAAATAGGAGTAAAAGGAGTGAATACCCAATGAAATTCGAAAGAAGACAAAATGTAGGAAAAAAACAGAAAAAAGAAAAGAAAAACACAGCAAAGCAAAACAAAACAAATGAACATTAAAAAAAGAAACGGCAACAGCATTGAAAATACCGAAGAAATGTCGCTTGGTCACGTTTGGATAAAATATTAAGATACTGTGGAGAAAAATCGACACGACACAAAACGAACACGACGATGACGATGGCGGCATATTGAACAAGAGAACGAGAAATCACTAAGTCACTGTCATGGCCTTCACTTTGACCAGACAATAAAGCGCACAAAACCATAAGAAGACTGGACTATGTACGAAGACTGGACTATGTACGAAAAAAACAAGAGCTACATTCAAGCATTTTGGATAGGTATTGAACAAATTTCCTTTCATTTTTTTTTAACCATACCACAAGAAAAGTCATCGCGCTCATCGAGCATTCGATGTAAGTCGGGTTATGCCTTTTCTTTGGATCCATGCTTACGTTTTGAATCGTTTTTTTTTCGTTTTTCGGTGCATTTTGTTGTGATTGAACATGTTACGTACCGAAACCAAACCTCGTCACATAATCATTTTCGTTTGATGGGAACGCAGCTGACACATTTCACACTGATTCAGCAACATTCATCAAATATTTATTGCCATGTCCAAGCAGAAAAACAATTCAAAATACACTGTATGGCCAGAGCACGCAACCAAACCCAATTGATATAAGTAAATGTGTATCATATACACGAGGTTGATTGATTCATTCGGAAATACCTCCGATCGAAAAGACATTGCGATTGATACCGCCTGATTTGCATTCGTTTATACGCACTTTGATCAATACATCTGACAAACGGGAAGTTCAGCGAAGAGGTATTCAATGTTTTCGGGTTTTTTTCCTGTTCTCATTCCTGTTCTCATTCCCGTTCTCCTTCTTTGCTTGGTGAATTGCTTATTGACGCCAATGAACACTTGAATTAGATATATGTGTTCACCCTTTAGTGTTTTTTTTCTCGTTTCGTTTCGATTTGCATGATTTGCCGGCTTCTACTTGTTTCCCACTGAAAGATGAAGAAAAAATCTGCTCATTAAATCGATCATAAATTATGTTCATGACAACCGAATCCCCAAACAAGTTTGGTATGTGTACGTTGTTGGTTGGACGGTGGTACGAAAAAAAGTGCGCAACACCATTTTTCATTGTCATCCGAAGTGCTTTCCATTTCCATTCTTGTCATTGGCCACATTATTCTTCTTCCCTTTGCGCAAATGATCTTGATCAAACTCGATCCGACCGAACTGTTACACCGTCATTACATCAATTTGCAATAATGCACGGGCAACATTCACCTCAACGCTCCTCCGCTCGTTTGCTCGTTCGCTCGTTCGCTCGTTCGTTCGTTCGTTCGTTCGGCTTTGAACTGGTTCAGCCTCTAAAATGCACCACAAAAGCCATTTTTCCCCGCTTCATCTTATTAATTTAAAGTTGAGATGAGGTCGTCTTATTTTGATTTTTCTCTTCTCTTCCTGCTCACTTCTGGCGATAGCGCGTGCGTCTTTTTCCTTACATTTCGAATAAAATTTGCCAACTTTTGTTATTTTTGTATTTTTATCTCTTTTGTCATGGCTTATCTTTTGTTATGGTTTTTTTTGCTGCTGCTGCTGCTGCTACCATCGCGCTTAAAATCTATTTTTAACTCAGCTTTACGTCTTAACATTTTTTTTTCTCGCCCATATCGCTTTGGTATTCTTCATCTTGGTAATTTTCATCCGTATTTAGAATATTTACGTCACAGATGAAGCAGGTAATGAACCGAAACCAGAATAAAAAAAAACCTATCATCAAACTGTTTACTTCCATGGCGAGAGCAGATTTTACGTAAACATTAATTTGTGTGCCGATGTTTTGTTTCTTGTAATAGTTATACAGCGCGATGTCGTCATCGGAAAAATAACCACAATTCATTATCACTGATGGTTCTAAAGTTCAACCACTTTGCTGGAATATGCGAAAGAAGTGGCGCGCGAATGAGTATCGAGTCGCGAGCGAGCGAGCGAGTGAACGCACGTTTGCCATGCTGCATCATTTTTTACGCCTGTCTGGCCGGTCGTATTTTTATACCGCATATTAACGTCGTGCGTGGAATTTTCGTTTTTATTATATATAATTATTCCAGGCGATTGCAACCACTAGAATCACAGGCGACAGGCAATAAATAGAGTACTAAAGAGACCATCGGATATGCGCAGTGGCATCGAACACGTTTGCTATTTGATGGCTGATCGTCCATGTAAATAAATAACATTGTGAGTGGCGGCTAAGCAAATAATGGATAAAGAGGGAGAGAGAGAGAGAGAGAGAGAGAGAGGCACATAGGATAGAGGAATCGAAATGTGTCTTGTTTTTTTCCCAATTAAATAGTTATCGAAAACGTGATATTCATATGCGCGGGAATGAATCGGCTTTTTATTGCGATGACGTCGATGTGGGTATTTTATTCCTGAGATTAAAACCACAATTAGATTTTGAAGACGGAACACTTACAAAGCTAAAATAAACATATCAAACTCAAGTTGCATTCTATTTTGCTGCTCGATTATTGACACGCAAATGCTCTGTATGCACTCTCGCTACTGTTCGAATGGAGACGAGGAAAATGAAAATATGTTGCATTTTTAATGCAATCAATAAAACACCCATTAAAATCCAGAGTGTGCTCATAAACGCAAATCTGTGCGCTGAAACGATTTTGTAGTGAGCACACGAAACGCAACCAAAATTTTCTTGGCTTGCAATTTTGCAGCCAACAAAAAAAAATAGATATTCAAAAATGAATATGCAATGCATATGCAGTTCTCGCAAAAATTTCAGTTATTGAACTTCGCACCGGTGAAAAATGGGAACAAATTGTTGATTTGAATTGAAAGAGTAGTAAAAATCGTTACAGAAATGTTTCGTACTCGAATTGGGCGCGTACACACCGAATAAAATGTAGCGGAAAATTGATTTGAGTTGCGCTAGTATATATAGTTTTTTTTTGCTATTGCAATATATTGAATTCCATTGGGTTTCAGGGAATTTTTTTTTATCAACATTTGCACTATAATCAGAATCAGTGTGAATTTTGTGAGTGTTCGTCAACGTTTTTGTCACTAAACCAGTAATATGTTCAACACAACTATGGTTGAAGCGAATGGCGATAACGATGACGATTGTTCGCACGAAAAATGCATAAAATACGGCGAATGAACAGGCAATGATAAAATGGACAGAAGGAGCATTAGCGAAATTAGACGGAGCGATTACTTGTGATTAATTTTGATTATAATAGAATTGTGTCGTTGGTTTTTTGTTATTCGTCGCTTGGTTTTTGGACAGCAAATTTTGTAACTGGAAAATGACAAAGTCCTGTGTAACCATGCGTCACCGCTCGGAAATTCGGATGTCGGTTTTGGTTAGAGTGTTTTTGTACACGTCATTGTTTGACGCAAATTTGATGGTGAATTATATGTTTGGTTGGTTAGTTGGCTAGATGTTTTCGGTTTGGTTGCTTCATTATTTACTCTCTTTTTTTCTCCAATTTCGAGGTTTGGCTCATAGTTTTCGGAAAGTCCGATGCCGGTACATCATCTTGTTCTGTGAGCAAGTTGCTCGCAAGGCTTCTAGAGTATTTAAAAAAACCGAAAAAGAAACTTGAGCAAAATACCTAAAAGCGCTAACATATCAAACATGTGTGGAACACACACTCCTTTATTGCACACATTCAATTATGATTCGTATGCGTGTTGCCGCACGATATCGTGCTGCTGTTTTTGCGTGTATAAGTGGTGTGTGTGAATGCACAGAGAGCATTTTGGTGTTTTCATGTGGATTTTTCGTACGCACACAATGTCATAACAATAATGAAATACATGATGACGGTTGGCCAGTGTGGTGTTTTTTTTAGACATTCAACACGTTTATCGGCCACAAATACACAATATTATTTTGTTTTTTTCTTCGGTTGTTATTGTTGTTGTTTCTCTTCACATATCGCATAGATATATTTATATTCTGTGTATATAAATTTGGTTACTTAACGATATGACGAACAACACCAATGTGGTGTCGATTTGCCTCTTGTATGCTATCCGTACCGATATTTGCCGTATGATGCGTATGCCACAGTGTGAATGAACACAAACGCATCCACATCGTTCGCTCACTCAGTCGCTCACTCACACAAGCGCACGGTCCCCGGTTTCAATGTATTGCTGGCACACTATAGGGAAAACGTGCGCCACAATGTCGTACACATTATTCACCTGTGTACATGTACACTACCACATACAAGCGAGCACATTTAATCGATAGAGGGGTTTTGAGCAAAACTTGACATGATTATAGCATTCAAATTTAGTTTCAATTTAGTAGTGTTTTAATCAACTTAGGTGTTCTTTAGCTGTAGAAATAAATTTAAATTAAAAGAGTAATTTTTTTTCTTCCTTTTTTTTCGCGATACATGAAAAAAGAGGAGTTGCAAAAAAGTTACAAAAAATTTGATGATTGTTTTGTTTTTTTTTTTAAATGTACGTGTGTCAGACTTGAAACATTTCAAGATAAATTTCCCACATAACACAAATTATTAATCCGCTTCGAGCGCTAAACTATATCAGTAAAATATCTCATATATCATAAATAGTTTGCAATTTGGGTTCGGTTTGCTTTTGAATAATATTTTTATCGCGTTGTTTGCATCAGTTATGACATTCGATTGCTATTCTAAGTAAAAGCGAAAGAAGAAGAAAAAATATGCATAAATAAATAAAGAAGAAGAGCGCTCATGGAAGCAAACGACAGGGAGAAAGAAAAATACTTCGCGGCATTATTCGCATCGAAACCAATCGAAAACCACCTATCATATCAAAACTAAAGTAGATTAGTCGAAGTGATTGATAATATCTTTCTACTCGTACGTTCAACGAACATCAACGAACTTAGACACTTTTTATGGATATACGCGCGGCAAGGCAAAATGTCGTCAAATCGCATAGAGCAAAAGATATAATACACTATTATTTTTTTTCACTACCTCCGATAAATGAAATATTAAAATTTTGCGTCCGAAAACCAACATTCATCGATTCATTCAATTCAATTGGAATCAAATCGTTCGTTAATATTCATTTGTATACATTCGATAAAGTACGCGTACACATCGTCCAATCAAGTGTTTAGTCGTTTAGTGTGTTTGTACTAAAAATTATATCATGCCTACAGTGATATCGGGCTTAGTTTTTCGTCCGAAAATAAAAAAAAAGAAAGAAAAAAACCATTTCATTGGCATTCCAATAAGCAATTTCATTGAATTTCCTTGTGCAATTTTTAGTGTGTTTTGTTATCGCCTTTGGATGGCTGTCATTTTTGCGAATCTCGTATTTATTTACTCTTTTCTCCCCATTTCGGCATATGCCTGTAATCGATTATACCTGGCTTCACTTCATGTACACTCCAATTCGATCACATTTTTTCCTTCTTTCTCTTGCTCTCATACGCAATCACACTCACACATATCGCCTCTCACTCACCTTCTCATAGCAATTCGTTCAATCATTATAGACAAATAGTGATCCAGACATCATTTTTTCTAAAAATAATACATAACATTGTTAATTAACAGATATTCATTCATTTGAGTGTTGTTGATGTTTTTTTTTTCTTCTCTCGTTTCTCTGTGGCTTTTCTCAAACTCATCTCCAATACCACACCACCACACGAAGATAATGTTTTGTTTACTGCCATATCAATAACACATCAATACACCAACATAAACAAATAACCGAATGAATAAATCATAAAAAAAAATGAATTGCAACATAATACATGCATGACAAGTACATAACACTTGATTATTTGTGTATGAAAGAAGAAGAAGAAGAAGAAGAAAAAAAAGAGCAGTTAAAAAAAGTAAATTTTTTTTTAGCTTGTACCTTGTTTTTTATGCTTTCTATATTCAATCGTTAAATCTACTATGCTCAATATAGTAGAGCGTCAGCCAGTTATTCGCATTTCAAATGACCGATCATTATATCTGTGCGTATTTATGTGGCGCACATACCACATATCACCACACATATCGAACTCACTTGAAAATTCACCTATGGAAAATCAACTTGAAAACCACAAATTCGTACTCAAAAACGTGTAGATTTTTTTCTTCGCTCATTTTCTTTTATCGATCGTTTATGGGCTTGTATCGATCGTTTATTGTTTCGTTTTGTAAATTGAAAAACAAAAATCAATTTTAATCAATCGGTTGCGATAATTATTGTTTTTATTTCTTCTCTTTTGCTTCGGCACCTTCATACAATTTTCTGCGGTTTGATTACAGGCCCCCGTCAATGTCGTTGTCGTTGTCGTCGTAGTCGACTACGACGCTTAAGCGTTGTTGTATACGTACGTTTTGTGTGCATTGCATTGTCCATCCTTTTTGCTCTTGCTCTTACCTCTTGATCGTATCATATAACGAAAATGTTGGCCCGATTCATTTCTCTACCATATAAATTACATATAGGTGATTTTTGCACATAAGGCTAGTTTTTTTCTTACTCTTTCAGTCTTGGTGCTTGTTTAAACACATGAGACATTCATAGTCGAAAATCAAACAGAAATCTTGTTTGTCAAATCATGTTTTTTTTTGTTTTTTTTTTGTTCGTGTATTCATTTTACACAGTTTAAATCATCTCTCTGTTTCTCGGCTCGTTCTCTTTCTCGTTTTTGTGCGTTACTTCTTTCACTTTCAATTGAGTTATGTAAAAAATTGAAATGAAATAAAGAAAAAAAGCGCACACACACACACACATTATTAATCATAATAACAACAACAACAATAATAATAATAAACGTAGCAACAACTACTGGCTACGATTACGATACGATCACGGTGTTTGTTATTGTTAGTATTTAAAGTAGAAATGTTAAGGTGTCTTTTTTTTCTTCTCTTCATTTTTCACGATTTTGCTCTAAATTCAGTGTGAAGAATTCCCGCATATACATATTTCATCGCTCTAACGTGTGCCGCACACACTTACTCACTCACACGTATCGCAGAGAGTCGAATGCCGAATCGATCAGACACATCGTTTGGCTGCACATCGATCATTTCACACTTTCGTTCCATTGATGTTAGCTAATACCGCTTTCCGCTAGAATATTTATATTGTTGGCTGTTTGTTTTCTTCTTCTTCTCCGTTTTAGTTTTTAAGGTTAATCGCTCAAAGCAATTGGTATTAATATAGATGCTTTTTTCTCTGTGTTGTCATTGTATTATAGGCGATTGTGCAGCCGAAGTGAAGGAGACACGAATACACTACCTTTAAATATATATAAAGTTATACCACGACGAAAATACGCTGAAAGTGTGAAATAAAGAAAAAAAAAGAAACAAAGACTAAATCACAAAATCTACTGTGACAGTTGCGCTTGAGCAACACAGTAACGCTGAGGTAAACGCAAACACCCGCTATATAAATTGAATCAATCGCGTGCAAAAGAGACAGAAAAAAAAGAAACACAAAGAGATAGAGAAGTAAAGAAAAAAAAACACAAGCAAATAGTTACACACCGACGGACCAATATATTGAATCAAAGCATTTTTTCAATCAGTTCAATCGATTCACACATAAAATTGCAGTCTCAATAAACAAAAGTGAAACTCTTAAATAAAGGAAATACCTAAAGTACGTGATATAAATTCTAATCGGTAAGTTGAACACAATCCAATACAATTTATTAAGATGACACAAATTTTGTAGTCGTTTGTTTAAAATCAAATTAGTTTACTGGTTGTTGCTGTTTTTTTTCGTTTTAAATGCATTTCAAATTGTTTCAATCGAATTTCCAATGATATCTCTCGAATAGAGTTCTATCGAAAATTCTTGACTACACCGATAAAATGAATGAACAATGATACAAAAGCGCATTTTGAATTCGCGCCGTCCGATTTGCTCTGATGGAGACTGGGCGAGCAAAGCGGTCGATTAAATCTATCTCCTCAGTTGTGCACGAGGTGAAAGATATACGAAACATAACGAAAATATTGTATACATATGTTTATAGAAGAAAGAAAAAAAAAACCTAAAAGAGCCAAGCATTGATTATCATTTTACATGCGTAAGCAATGGACGCATGCAGGTCAAATACATGACGCAACCGAGCCAAAAGGAACAAAAAAACTTAACTGTTGTATTTTCGATGATCATTCATTTGTTTCTGATAAGAAATCAAATCATTTCAATCAAATTAACAGTCCAATTAATTCAACATAATTCGTAAATAATTTTGAATTTAATTTAATGGACATGGAAAGCTATTTCTATAATGCAAACACGTACGAATTTCGTACAATCAATACACATACACACTCACACACGAAAATTTCGTAGTTTCGATATGAAATTGCATTTATTTTATTTTGGCCACATTATGCGAATAACGAATATCACATCGCCAAGATATGTGATCGGACACCATATGTGCACTCAATTATCGCACGAGTTGTTTCTTTTTTTTCTCTTTCTCTCTCTCTCTCCCTCGCTCTCTCTCTCTCTCTCTCTCTCTCTCTCTCTCTATCTGCTCCCATTCAGCTATGATATGTATATGAATTTTTATCATTCGAGAGAGGAAGTGAGCAATTTGTAAACGGTTTTTCCTTGCTTATTTGGAGAAAAACACAGAACGAAGGAACAATATGAACGGACATTTTTCTCTCGATGTATAACAACCGGCCCGATTAATGTAGCTCCAGTTTCATCGCAAATCGTCTATATGACATAGACGATTCTGTTAAAATTGAAAGCCAGAAATACGAGAATTCGTTCGGCATTCCCGACACATTTTCGATGCGTCTAGCAGGTTAGCCAGTAAAATTGTTCATTATGTAACCCTTCGTTCGACGTTCAAAGTGCGCGCATACACTTGATCGGTCGTAAAGCACATTATACTACCGATCAGCGTCAGATTACGTAAATTAGATGGAAAAAAATAGAGAATCGTTACGATCTAGACAATTGTCAACCGCGAAAGAAAGAGAGATAGAGAGAGAGAGGGAATGAGCGTGAGAGAGTGCATGCAAAAAAGAGTAAAAAAAAGAGTCACAAATGTCGATTATTGACACAGAATTGTTTTTTTTTCTTCTTCTAAGAATATGAATTTAATTCGAGGACATTTTGTCACAAAACTATGTAATAATAAGTCTATTCAAGTAAATCAGCTCTAAATACAAGTAGATTTGAGTGACCGGTATATGCTACTGCTATTGCTACTGCCGCCGCTGCTGCTGCTACTGTAGCACCAATAAAAGTTCGAGCAATTTGTTCTCTGTTTTTGTAATTCTTTCATTGAAACAAAGCTTTCAATTCAGATGCAAGACACGAAAGAAAAAAAAATAAAGCAAATCAAAAAACGTGTTTTCCACTGCCTTTACGGATGCCTCTTTAATCGCTCTCTCGGTGTTGTCTCGCACAAAATTGCCCACTTGCAGCTTATCGTTCAATCTGATTCCAAGTGTATTTAAATAATTCTGTGCAATTTAAAAATAAAAAAAATTTGAGCTGGAATCATTCATAAAGCATTTCGCTTTCAAACAGTTGGCACACACTCTCACATATCTAACTATTATCGTCTCTGTTCGTCCCAATTAAATGTGCATACTAAAGAGCACATTGTCATAATTATTTATTTTTACTCGGTTTCGCTCGATCTCTTTTTGCTTTGAATGCGATTTGAAATAGCATGTGATCTCAATTTATTTTTACTTCATTTTTTTCATTCACTCACTCTCTCTCTCTCTCTCTCTCTCTCTTCATAAAAGTGGTTTTTGCTTGCAAAACATTTGAAAATTCATTCCTTTTCGTCAGCATTGTGTTGTTGTCGTTGGAGCTGACGCAGTAAAATAAATGATTTCGTTACCTTTCGTACGAAATACACACAGCACTAAAATGAATAATTGATTATGCGTAATTATGTGAGGCATTTTGTTGCGTACGCACGCATATATTTATACTCTATATATATACATCTGTGTGCACTTGATTACTCGATTACTCAAGTCCACATTGAGCTTTATAAAGTAGATCAGAAGTATCAAGTCGTGTGCGCGTTCATGCGCGTGCGCTCTCTGCATCTGTGATCATACTGCACCGAAATGAAAAATAAAAAAATAAAATTCAATATCCAAGTTCGAGGTAAAAAATTAAAGAAAATTTTATGAATGAATAAGCCGAATAAGAGGCGAATGGTTGTATATTTGTTGGGTTGTGTGTGTATGTGTGGATATAAGTACACGCTCGTTCGCGATTTTTTTTGTGCTCTTTTGCGCTGAGTCTCGACGACCTTTCATGTCCTTATGAAACTTGTTTCTACTTATGTGTGCGTTGCTTTGCATTTTTTGTGAATATCTATTACATTCCAAAAGCGCTTTTGAAAGACTCGAAAAAGTGCTTCGCTGAAGAAACCTTCACGCGCATACTCATTCAGCTGCTGACGATGTGTTTAAATAAATGCGCAAATCGCGACAAAAATGGAAATTGTAATTTTCCAACAAAAAGCTAAAACACACGCATGCATGCACACAAAGCGAAGAGAAATACAAATGCGAGGAGTAAAACAAGTAAGAGCATTAAATTTGTAAAAGAATGCAAAATCATTGTTATCAAAAGATCGTTTCGGTGCCATTGCCTCTGAAACATCAATTCTACGTGATTTTTCTGTTTAGTTCTCGAAAGGTGACTTTAGATAATTTGCTTGCAGCGCCAGTCTCCTCCCAATCAAACTATCTCTATTTACATTGTCTCAGGAAGCTTTGCTATTTTCGCATCACATCACAATAAAGGAAGCAACAAAAACAAAACAAAAGTAGCAAAAAAAGCGTCTTAATAAATAGTATCAAAGAGCGGAGAAAAAAAAACGTCTAATCATAACGAGGCAAGCTACTTATTTCATTGTATTTGTTAAAGCAGTGGCTACCTTTTTTTTTGTTTCATTTTATTTCACGTGGCTGTAGCAATAGAGCAATATGAATAAGAATCATAGTTTTCTATACAAATATTGTTGACGATCATTCTAGCTTACGCTCGGCCTCACTTGCTCTCTCGCTCACTCCACTTCGTATACCGAAATTTCATTTGCGACAAACTTTGAACAAGTATTCAAAGTTCAACTCTGCCAAAAACGAGAAATTAAATCGCAAAAAAAGTTGCTGAATAATGTATGCAATAACAAATGACAAAAAAAGCATATAAACGAAGAATTCTAATTGGTTGAATTTCGTCGAATCTTTTCATGCTGGCATCATTAAGCATCGATCGATCTTGCGTTCGTCCGATTGTTTTTATCATTCAATTTGAATGATATTCATTGGCGCGTGGATATCACTTTTTCCATTCGGCAATTATAATGGCTAATAGATTGGACAGCTTAGTTAATTGGATTCCATGCGGAACTCATTGGAATCCCCTTTGATTTTATTTTCATTCGGTTTCGATCAGAACATTTCAATAAAAACAACATTTGCAAATGCCAATCGTATCATCGTATAATGGGCAATTTCTACACAGGCAGCTAATAAAACAATCAAAGAAACAAAGTCTCCCAGATAATCAACATATTCTAATGGATTCGCTTCAATACATCTAATTGGGTTTAAATCAAAAATCAAACGATAATAATCGAACGTAATTTAAAGTCAGAGCGGGGGTAATTGTGACGGTTATCAGAGCCGCATTCAATTCAAGTGATAAACTATAATTTCCTTTTTTTTAAATTCCAACGTATACGAACACTGCCACTGCATGTGACTAGCGAACAAAATGTGATGAAGCATTTGTATGCTCGAGAATACACTGAATCATATGCTTGTAATTTATCAGATTTTCGTGACATGAAACACTCACGATATTTGTGTGATTTTACTGTGAATAAACCACTTAAAAACCCCTTTTCAACCATTGAATCCAATCTTATCCGTTGGTGATTGAGAAAAAAGCCAAAATGTCCTTTATGATTCAACTAAATTTAAGTATGACGCACAATTCCGTATGTTTTCGTTTTTTTTTACAAAGAATTTTTCCGAGATAAAAAGACGGATACACGTTTGATAGAGCCGATGGGCGCCGAATTTTCATACTCCGTCCCATTTGTCATCACATTTAATCATATCAACAGTCAGTCAAACACTTGACAATTGGCTCGATTATGGAGTTGTTACAGTGATAATTACAATAAAATTGGATTTTATTTGAGCTAAATATTACGAACTGGCCATAAAAACGAAAACAACAACAACAACAACAATTCCACGATTACATTAATCTAACCGCGAATGCAATAGCAAGTATGCAACACACGCTACATCAACACTGGAGCTCGTTACATATGCAATAGGTTATAGTTGAATGAAGTTGAAATTTAAATAAGCAGCTGAATGATGTTTCAAAATCAAAATGTGAATTTTAGCGTAGCAGTTTGATCGCATATCTTGATGGTGGTTCGAATATACATTCAAGAGCAGCCAATAAAAGTTTCCATGATTTTTATTAATGGAAATGATAGGTAAACGACATTTGATGTATAAACAGCCTCGATGTCGATTTGAATGAAGTCAAGATCAATGGACTTTTCTAGATATTCCATGTGAATTGATTTGCGTGGTCTAGATGGTTTTTCCCCACTGTTTTCTTCCCACCATCATTCAGTTAATTTCCGTTCCGTTCACCTGTTGCAGTGCAATATCAGTGGTGGTTCCGAGACAAGATTAAACGCCCATAAAAAAATTCCACACACTTCTTTTTTCTTTATATTCATATCTTAAAATTGATATGAGTAATTATATACGATGTGATGTCATTTTAAGACAGCAAACCGCATGGGATAGATAGTTGAGGCTGGTTTTGTTGCGACAAGTTCTAGTTGTTGGTAGACGTATTTTGGTCACTTGATGTTGATGTTGTCACCAATACAACTGTAATTGACGTTTTTTTTCGCATCTGTAATGCACGACGTAAGAAATTGTTAACCGAATATATGCATGCGCGTATACGCATTTACCTTAGATAGCCCATTAGGATATGATTGTTGAATGAGTGTATGTGTGCACTAATGGTGTTTACAAGTGCATAAGTGACATTAGATGAAGAATGAAATAAAAATAGAAGATATAAATAAATAAAATGTCAATAATAATTGAATGAAATATTGCAGAAAAAAACGCGTTCTGCGAAACAAGTGGCCATATTTTTTTTCCCTTCCATTAAAAAAACTGATCACAATTTGTTACATATTCAACATTGTAACTCCTTATAATATGAATAATACGTTGATTTAAAAATGTAATGTATATTCTCTGAGCCGGTTTCTCTTGCATTTCGGATGTTTCTTTTATCTCTCTCTCCTGCAGCGGCACAAACGTTGACATTTTTTGTGTTTCTAGTTTTACATTTGGCGCGTGCGATGTTATTGTTTCGGTTGCATTCATATTATAGTATTATTGATTATTTCTTTTTACGCGCCATAAACATAGTGGCTTGGCTGAATCAAGGTTCTGCACACACAAATTACAATAACAGTAGTTGTGAGTGGCTAAGCAATGATACCAATTAAAATCCATAGACAATTTCAAAAGGAATCGAAAAAATGGACTTAGTACGGGCACCTTTGCGCGGTTGCTACTGTTGCCACTAATGCAAGAGTGAAGGTGGGAACTGATAGATAAATGTAGATAGAAATGTGGTGACAATAGCCGACAGACATATCGTTTGCATCGCGTACCATCGATCAATAAAACTATAAAGTTTGTTTATTCTTCATATTATTAACCCCAGCCCACGAGACCGTTGCGTTCAATGTCTGCAATTCGCATGTATATACACACACACACACACACAGAGAGAGAGAGAGAGAGAGAGAGAGAGAGAGAGAGAGAGAGAGTGAGAGAGAGATACACACAATCATAAACATACCATTGTGCGTGTATGAGGTATTGAAAAAAAAGGTAGCTCGAACACACGCTCAAACCGACCGTTAAATGAGCGATATGAGTAAGCTTATCAAAAATGGAACGAAAAAAAAACATTCCCCCTGCCGTTACCGTCACCGTTCTGCCTGCAGTAAACGACACGCTCGACATTTTCAAATAGAAAACCATACCACGATATCCCATGTTTAATATAATAAAAGTTCGACACATACGAACACACCGTCACCCAGCACCACACAGACTATAAACTGTGGCACGGCAATATTTCCACCGTTTCTAGTGCATATCATATATACACAGAGCGACAATTTTTTCTTTTTTCATTTCGCGCTCTTTCCATCAAATTTTGCTTATTAGCAAAAAAAGGGTAAAGCGGTTATTTACGACTAAGACACGTCCTTTTTATTGCGTTTGCCTAGCAAAAAAAAAGTGAAGTCATCTGTTTTTTTCTTCGACGTCTTCTTCTTCATCTTTTTCACTTTGGTTTTCGTTTAACTTGCTTCATAGGAATATTTGTGGTATTGCAGCAGAATAATTGCGTCACAAAGCGTTGATGATATGCAAATGTGATGGGTCAAGTTGCTTGGCATCTTGATGGGTTTTTGAGAAAGTGTCCGAAAATTCAAGTTTGAGTGAAAAGCCGATGTGTGCTTGAGAAAAGTTTCGCCATCGATCGAATTCAATAGATGTATGAACAATCAATCGAGAACGTTAGAAACGACTTGAGCTTATGATCTCAACATACGAAACAAGTGGTGCGCATTTCACTTGCAAGTTAAATATAGATTTCATCACAAACCTGTTTTGATAAAAAAAAAACAAAACAAAACAAAATAAAGAAGAAAGAAATGAAGAAAAAGCAATAACTTTTATTTATTCATCGAACATTATAAAATGGACAAACACGTGGCAACTAAAGATTAGTTTGTGATTCTTTTTCTTCTTAATTTTCTTTCTCTTTTGCTCACGCGCGACACGCATCTGCTGAATGGAATTTTTTTTAACTTGACATGATATATTCCAGCATTTAACATTCTTTCGCTTGCGGCCAATGAACGATTATGACTTATTCTATTATTATATTAAAGGATATCTTTACATACGTAGAAGCAAATTGATTGAGAAAATGAATTATATTCCATGCAATTAAGTTATTTAAATTTAATTCACCCGATATGTGGATAAGTGAAAAAAAAACTTAGTGCTCGAAACAATTGATTGACAAATGGAAACTTCTGAATTGAAAATAATAAAAATAAGATGTCGTGAGAGTCTGTATTGTGTAGAGTTAATAAAACACGTACACTCTCGTTCGTCGTCGTCGTGTCGTTGTCGCCGACGACGTCGTCGTTGTTGGAAGGTCATTTTTGACGGAAGATTAAACAATTTGAAATATCTTTGACAAACTAACCGAGTTCTGAATATAAATAATTCAATAACAATTTTTTTTCCCTCAGTATTTCTAATCGATGTATGTATGCATGTTTTTTCTCCTTATGTTTTAGTTACACTATGGCCTTAATTATGCGATATATTGACAGTATGCAAAGATATATGGATTCTACTGGCGGTAAGTGTTTATGTCGTATATTATTTTAAAAGTCAATTTTATTTAGTTTTCAATCGTGTGCAAAATGCAATTGTTTTGTTTTTTTTTTTTTGAAAGTACAACACAAAACAAAATTGGCAAACCGAGAAGAAGAAAAAAAAGTTGGCGATCGAATTTTCTCTCTACCATTTGCATAGTCAGTTGGAATGCGGTGCATTTTGATTTGGGCTGCACATGCGATAAATGCAACAATTGGTATTGCGTTATTGCGTTGCACATGACGAAAATTGATTTATTCAAATTGAGTGCAAACTTGATACTTTGCAATAATAAACAAACAAATATCCAAACACATACGACACGTACAGGTTAAGCGAAAAAAAAACTATGTAAAACAGTATCAAGAACGAAATTAACGGAACCAGTAATAAACGTGTATCAATGCAAGCAAAAAATGAAATCATTTCCACCAATGAAAACATTGATAAAAAGTAAAATTGAACGTTTGTGGTTCAGTTAACACGGACAACGCAAACGACACATCGGAAATGTTGTCGCTCTGATTACAGACGCAGTGCGCTCTTAATGATCATTATTGGTATGATGTTGATGGTGTCTACACACTCGTTGGTAATCTTGTTCTGTTTGTTGTCGTCGTCGTCAATAAGCATGTGGTATGTGGTGTGTGTGTGTGTGTGTGTGTGTGTGTTGCCCAATTCACACGTTAGGGATTTTGGTATATGTTACCAAGGAAGTTTTCCGCAATCGAATCACAACGCAATTCGGATATTTAATGATGATGGAGATTACAAAATACAACTTTTATTAGACCGGAATTACAACCTTGGATACTTGTTTATTTACGAAACACCTTTCATGAGCAAGTATGCTAACTCAAAGCACCAAATTGACGTGATTCGACACCGACTTGACTCGACTCGACTCGACTCGACTCGACTCGTTTCTCGAACGCGTCAGACAGAAGCATCAACACTCAAAACCCATACAGCATACAAACTCTAATTTAAACGAGTTGCCGGTTATGTTTCGAACAAAAATCATGTTTTTGAACTTATTGTATGGTGTCTTGGTAAAAAATATTCGGGTTGAAGGACGAGTGAAAGTCAATTTTTGTCAATTCAAGAGAGAAAAAAAATGTCTGTGAACAAAAACATTTTGGTGTGTTTTTTTTCGTCGGCTGAAGTTCCGCACACGAGAGCTCCAAAGTCTAGCTGGTTTTCCGTCATCAAAAAACATGTTTCTCTCTACGTTGCTCATCTCATTTTCTGACAAACCTGATGTAATTGAATTGATTTGTTTGAATTCGATTCAATTGAACGTATTCGACATGCTCGTGTCTCACACCTTTTCTACATGACTACCAATGGCAATTCACCGATAAAATATGTTATCGCAAAATTGCACTCCGCCCAGATATTATATTATGTGAGCGACAGAAAGAGAGAGAGAGACCTTTGCCACATTTGCGCCTTCGCATGATGCCATTAGTTTCCAAAAATTACCATTGAAATGTGTCAATCGCGTAATGTAATCATTTTTACGAATGGTTTTGATCGCTTGCCTCTAATGACTTGGTTGCGAATTCTGTCGATGTATTGGTACGATGTGTGAATTTTGTGCACACATTTTCGTTCGGATATTGTGTAACCGAGATGAAATAAAAAAAAAAATCAACGTTCAAATGCGTGCACTGTTTTGCACACTCCGTTCGCGCCAATATGATGAATCGAGTGAGATCGCCACCGTCACCACCGCCATCATCGCAAATCACACACAAGTACATCGCATAAACATGACACACATTATGACACACATTACATCAAATTAAAAGTCAGAAGTGATTCTCTTATAATGCAGTCGAAGATTGCTTGCAAGAAACACGAACTTGTGTAAATATTGTATCAATTTATGCAAACATGCATCGCATACGTATTCAAGCACATGCAATGAAATTAAATGCCAAATGAACAAATTCTATTGCAGGAAAACGAAGATTCATTTCCGACAATTTTTTTTTCATCTTCTTCTTCTTCTTTTAAAGCTTTGTAATCGACACTTGTTTTTTTCTCTCTATGTTTGTGTTTTTTTTCAGATCCCAGGACAAGGGATTGGCCAATGATGTCGTCACCATTTCCAACTTTAGTAGTATGTTTAGCTTATGCTTATTTTGTTAAGGTAAGTCACTTTTCATGTGTATATTATATGTTTTTTTTTCTATATCGGTGTACAGCCATTTCATTTGCACCTTTCAGTATCCCACTTGAAATATGTTGGCCTCTTCTTTTATTTTCAATACACAATAATAAGATGCTCGTGTACATAAGCACTTTGCTATATACAATGTCCGAAGAAAAGCGAAATCTTTGGGCGATTTCAAGGCTTTTTATTTTAACTTCATGATCATGTTAATGTGCTAACGAAAAGAGCCATTGAACTGTATCCAATTTTAGAGTTTATCAACAACGCATTTTTCATGTATATCTCTCGACTGGAGGAAAAACAAGACAGAAATAAAATCAATGAAATCACATGTGCCTCGTAACACACACACAAACACACACACACATGTATTACATTCGATTTTATAAATTGTGTCTTCGATTCTGGGTCTAATTTATACGATCGAATTTGTGTCTTGTGAACATGGTCAATATTGATTTGTTTGTGGCTATTATGAAATTCAACTTATTAAACTGCATTTCTTTGTCTCTAGTTTTTTTTTTCCTTTTTCAAAAGTAAATTTTTTTCTGCATTATTTTCGTTTGTTCGTTCCAATTTTCCGAATTGTTGTAACGAGCACACGATATAAAATGCATCGCATACATCGCGCGGTATAACTCTAACCCAATTTTCCGTTGTTTTCAAGGTAAATTTTGTAATAAACCACTAAAATGAACACATGTAAACAAACAATGTCAATGAATATGCAAACAAACCGCAATAGTGCACCTTAGTTCTATTTACGCATATTTTCGAATCAACTCAATACTTCCTGCAGACACACATACACTCAAACACCGAATATTCGATTGAGGTTGCTAATGCATGAAATGTGTCAAACAATAGAAAGGGATACACATTTATCGCAACTCTATCCAATTCGTTTGACATTACCGGCGTTACCTTTGTTGTTGTTGCTTACTCATACGAAGAAAAAAATACCTCAAAATAGCATCGATCGATCGAAGTGTCCGACCAAACCAAACCAAAATAAAAGACATGGTTATTAATTTCAACACTAACCAAAAAATTGCACATTAAAATCACATTATGTAATTGCGATAATTCGTTGAGTTTTCGCCAATTTTTGTTTGTTGTTGTTTGAAGACCCACTACAAGAATTTTGCGACAATTCGAAGGCTAAACGTGTTGAATGGAGAGACAAAAAATGAATGAAATAAAGATAACGAATGGAGAAAAATAACTGGGCAGCGTGAAGAAATGGAAAAGAGACACAAAGAAATTGAAGTATGCGAAATCGAAATAAATGAGAAGCCACACACATTTTGTGTGTGCATAACGCACAACCACAACCAACAACATAAAAAAATTCGTCGTGGACGTTCGAAATGTGTGATTTTATTCCGGTTACATACCAAACAGAGACCGTCTCATTGGGTCAGGCACTTGCGAATTTATTTCATTTTTTTTTTTGGTACACGTGGTAAATATTTCAATTTTTTTGTCTCCCTTTCTTTCGACACACGAAAATGCGCCGCATATTCCGGCGTGCAAAATTTTGAATTGAAACCGAAAACAGTCTGTTCAAGCACATTGTTCAAGTAATCACTCGAGGGCTTATCAATTTAGTTCGCACGATTTTTTTCCCTGTCTTTGTGTCCACCAAGCAAATGAAAAAATGAAATATTTTTTTTCGTGTACTTTTTATCGATTTAGTTCACTATAGGTGAAATGTTTGCATATATTTATAGAAATAAGCAGCGTAATAAATGCAATTCATCTCGTGACTAAAGGGTGAAGAAAAAAAATGATTGCCCGTTTGAAATCAGGAGGTATTGCTAGAAAAAAAGAAATGCAAACAATGTTGGTAACTCGTAAAAATACGGAATTGGATTTGTTTAACAACAATCATGACGAAAAAAAAGTCCACCGTTATTTTGCCCATACTCGTGTTTATCCAATCGAATTCCTAAACCTTGCGTCAGTAAAACTGCACCGAAACAACAGCCGAAAGATGAAAGAAATATAAGTTTTTATGTGAAAAGTGAATTTTTGTGAAAAGAAATGCTCAACTGCTAATTTATTTCGTCATCGCATACTTTTCGAGTCATCATCGTGTGTTATTACGCTTTTACCGCATTTCGGCCTTCGACTCTGTCACTCTCACTCTCACTCTTTGTCATTCGCGTCTGTCATTTTGTGATTTCGGTATGGCCTCGGTCGTGTTGGGTAAACTTTCTTATGGGTCGGCAGCAATTTTGCTTTTATTTCCCAAAATGTAAGCCATACTCAGATATGTTGGCTTAGTTTGGTATGCATTCGAACAATTACCGCGGTTTATCATGATCTGGGCGCCTTTTTTTTGTTCCAACGTAAACATACTGAAAAACGACAGTGCACAATGAAATGGTTGCATGTGAATTTCTTTCTGTTCACTTTTGTTTTTTGTTTTCATTTCTCATGTGTATATGCAAAGCATTCATCGATATCTCTTTTGTTCTGTTGCAGGTTATTGGCCCTAAACTTATGGAAAATCGTAAACCCTTTAATTTAAGATACATACTTATTTTATACAATTTTATCCAAGTAATATTTAGCGCATGGCTGTTCTATGAGGTAAGTGATGCTTTTCTTTCATCTATACAGACTTATTTCTTTTTCCTCTTCCTCTATTCTCCCTTCTTCCTCTTTTTTATGATCCGATGATGATTTTGAAATGATGTTTGAGTAGATTCTCTCACATATGCAGTTAATATTTACAAATCAATTTTTTTCTCTTTTCAATTGTAAATCAATCTGTTGCGATCGTTCGACCGCTTCCACACGGATGCAAACTATCTATTGATTTGCTTTGTTGTTGTTTGCTCTGTCCCATTTCTTCTTCGTCATCATCACCGATTTAGATATTTAAATTTGTATTCTATACGCTACGCATATGATTATAAATTGGAAATTTTTTTACCACATACTACTGTGTGTGATGTCTACGTTCATCAAATATTTCAAGGTGAAATGTGTTATGATACAGTGTCTAATCGATAATCTATGTATCATTGATATCTAAGTCCCTTATGTGGATGCAGTGAATGAGCAGAAAACCGCAAATCATTCATCACAATCTCTGGTTTTATCTCTGCTATATTTTTTCCTTCTTCTTTTTCTAATGTTTGTGACATTGCTAAATGAAAGATTAAATAGTGTAAACGTAGAAAATATGCGTTGCCTTCAAAATTAAAGTTCAATATGAAAAAAAACAGCCGAGAGAAAAAAAAAACGAGACAAGAATCAACATGAAATAAAGGCGTGTCGATAGTCCGTCATCAAAAGTAAAAGCTTAGGCATGCAAAAGAGTGCCAAGCATTCAGGACGGATTCCCTGATACTGAAATGAAAGAACGAAATCCCCCCAAAAAAAAACCAAACCTTTCGCCGCAGTTCCATTGGTCGATTCGATATGTGTTTCCCCTTTTGCCAATATCATTTGCAAATTAGTAAATTATTTTCTTTTGAAATGCATTGAACAAAATAATAGTGCCTAATGGGCGGTTGGTGGGGCGAATATAGCTTCCGATGTCAACCAGTCGATCATAGTTCCAGTCCGACTGCAACAAGAGTAAGTTATCGTTTTTCGTAACGATGCAAATTCTTTGACAGTAATTATGTTGTAATGTAAAACAGCAGCTGACGCTCGCGCCCATTGATTTAGAATAAAACGACCATACATTCACACACAAACACACATAAACACATGGTTCGATTTCAAATTTCAGACAACAACAACAAAAAAAAACAATGAAACAATTTTGAAAATAAAAATTAAGGCTATCATAAAAAAAAACAACCAAACCACTTTAATCGAAAGCGAAAGTGGCCACGCCAACACTATGCCTTGAAAATAATATCCGTAATTTCATGCAAAACACACACAAAAAATATATATATAAATTCAAATTAGCAACAGAAAGTTCTCATTTCATCGTATCGTACCGTATCGTAACAGCTCTTCAACGTAATTCTTAACAAGCTGTAAGGCCGCAAAGTAAACGTTGTATACCATGTTTGTATTCTGGTAACTTTTTTTTTTATCGATGTATATATATGTATTTTTAGCGCAAAATATACATAATATTATGTGTTGAATAATAGAATTAATTGATTTTAACTTGTTTAAAGGGGGCAAGAGACGGGTTTTGGTGTATATTCTTGTTTATAGGCTATTTCTTGTTATTCACACAAGCTGGTAGAATTGGCTAAAATGGTACTGTCCATTGAGTAGTACTTATGCCTTAAAAAGGCTTGAGAAATAATAGCAAAAGAAGAGAAAAAAAAAGCCAAACAACCAGCTGATGAACTTCAAGCGATCAGCTTGGTCGGTGCTGGTTCGTTGTTTGGGAATTATTCAATAGTCGTGCAACGCCTACGATGTGCGATATGTAGTAAGGCAACAGCGACAAAATAAACCACCATATATTCCTCCAATTGACCAATTCAGCTGTCATTGTTAAGCCGCCAGCAACAGTAGTCTGACCCACCTACCAGCCAATAAGATGTACTAAGAATAAAAAGCCTTGTGCAAACGAATTTGAATGACCAGTCCATATAAGTGCAACTCAAGCTTCAATATGGGCAACTTGTCATAAAAACAAGTTAAACGCTGATTTGATTAACTTCTTCCGTTTTCATGGGTTCTGTTGTTGTTGTTTTTTCTTTCCTTTTCCTACTTTTGCCATGAGCAAAACGGTATGTTTGTCATTTAGGCACTCATCCATCGTGTGTCGCTTCAGCGACCGATCGATCGAAATTCGAAACGAACCCGAAGAAGTTGTCAAGGAATACTCATAAAAAGAAATATTACTCCATTCGAACCGATTTGACGGCATGTTTCAATGAACAAGCCTGAACTGGTTTAGAAGAATCTACTTGAAATAAAATAATAATGAAAAAAAGAACAATAAATCAATTTGGGATGCAAACACTATCCGATGCCAACAAGGACAACAACACCAGCGCAGACGGCAGTGGCGGCTGTGCTTTCCAAGCATGTCAAATGCACTCTGAAATTGTTCATTGCAAATGGGAAATGCACAAACTCATGCCGTCAGCCTTCGTGCCGATGAAGAGATACTGTTCTTGGCTGTGATCTGTTTGCATCTCCTTAGCGTTTCTTTCCCCTCAATCTTAACCACTTGAACACTCTCTAACCAAGCTATTTATTGTAATGCTCATCTTTTTTTTTTTGGGAAAATTGTAAAATCTTTGCAGATAGCAATATCCGGTTGGCTAACCGGACATTATAACTTCCGATGTCAACCTGTTGATTATAGCAACAGTCCTAGAACGTTAAGGGTATGTGTACAACATTTATCGTATATTTATTAATAAGTATCGTCAAACATTCGCCAAAATGTAAACACTCACAATCACTTTCTCACACAATACACACATTGGCTCCCATTCATAAATCAGAAAATCAACGCTGTTGTTATTCGTCATTTTTGCCGTTACGTCAATTTTACATCGTACAACCGCAAATAAATCTGCTATAAACAATTCTGTTTGGATGTGTATTTTGTTTGTGATGTTTTTTTTTCTTTCGCTGTCGTTGCTTGTTTATTTCGTTCTAATACTCGCAAACATTAATTTGGTACACATCGATTGGTGTATTTATTCTCACGATAAAATCATAGGCAAAATCAAGAATCAACGCCACAGCAAAAACAACGGAACAGCAGTAGAAGAAAAAAAATCAAAACAAAGCAAAATAAACAGTAGCACCTGTGTATGGTAAAAGCATATTCCACGCAAACGACGAGATAAAACATGAAAGACGAAGCACATACGAAAGAAAAGAACGAGAGAAACGACCGAGAAACGAGAGCAATGAAAACAAAATACACATCATTACAACAACGATTATATCGATACAAACCATCCGGCATTAGCGATAGTAGCAGGCAAAACGACTGAAAGTGAAATTCAAATGAATGTTTTAACACTCGCTTAACGTAATAACAATGAAATTAACTTTTGACACCGCAAACATGTGTACGATCGTCGGTATACTACATTTATTTTTGTTGCTCTCTCTCTCTCTCGTTATCTGCCTTTTTTTCATTCATTCATTCATCGTGACGCGTTTGGCGCGATTTGCATCACATAGTAGACAAAAGGTGTAATATCAATTATTGTACAATTATTTTTTTATAGCTCGAATCAAATGCGAAGCTACCTTTTGTTTACATTTTGCTTCTTCTTGCTCATTTCATTGGCAATTTGATGAGTTTGTAAATATATCGTTCACGCAATCAAAATGTCGTATCGAAGCGCACATCAATTGTGGTGGCGAGTTGGTTCATTGAAAAACCCTTCAAGTTCACGTTATTTAGAATGTTGACCGACGGAGAAAAACAAAATGTAAAGTGACAAAATAGCAATTGACAAAAGACAACGATGATGACGACGACGACTACGAAAACGCCGACGAATTAACATGTGCGCAAATGATCGAATTTGTATATTCTGACCGGGCTAACGGCCTTTACCATTCATAAAATTCAACAACTACTTCCCATTTCAATTTCAGCTAGAATTTCAGGGTCTAATACCAAACAACACAATGAACTCAATTCCAATTCACTGAATATGCCCATACATTTTCACATTGAAACCATTTTTAAATCGCGTTTTAAAATGCAGAAATGCAAAATTCACTTTCAATTTGAAAATTAGCCAAAACTTTGACACATTTGCTTTCGTTCCAATGCATTAGCCACCATTTGCTATGAATAATGATGTGACCGCAATTAATTTTAAACAATTCAATCGAAAACCGAATTTTTTTTTTCCATGAACGCATTGGTAAAAAGTTTTTTTTTTGCTTTGTAGTAAAACGTATTCGAGTGAATGAAGGAAATCAAAGTCTTTTTTTAAACGAACAACGAAAAAAAATAAAAACACATTATTCAAAGTCAATAAAAGGCAACGCAATGTAGAAGGCTCACTTACCAAGCTGTAAATTTAGAACAGTGATTTACTATTTGCAATCAGCTAGTTGGATTTTGCCGGTAATTTCCGATTCGATGAATAAATGCATGAATTTTTGGTAAAGGCCGGATAATAATTTACACAGTAAATGCCCATGGTGTCAAATTCGTATTCATCTAGGAATATAATTTGTTGTTGTGCAAATCATGGAAATCGATAGATTTATATGATTTTGTATATTGATTCATTTTCACATTAGACGTAGATATTTTCATTTCATTTTTTGTTTCTCTCATCATTCAGTGCCATTAAAATTAACTCAAATAATATCGAAACAATGAGCGGCTTTATCGTTCTTTGGCGTGTGCAGTAGTTTTTCTTTGTAACAGCGCGTCGTGCCTGGGCGATGATTCTTAATTAGAATTGATTGTCTGCCTTTTTTTGTTTATGAATTATCGGTAATTGAAAAATGTTTTCTCTTCGATCTAGATGGTTCATGCGTGTTGGTGGTACTATTTCTCGAAGTTTACAGAATTTTTCGACACGGTAAGTGCAGTGTTTCCTTTAATAACTCATTTTGTGTGTGCGCTTGTTTTTTTCTGTGTCCGCTTCGTTGCCGACGGTTTTTCAATGCAAATAAACAAATTAAAAGAGGTTCAATAATTGTTGGCATTGATTAGCGCGTATACAAAACACTCAAAATGAATTTTGCGGAGAATTATTATTTTTTTTGCATTCGTCGATAATTTATTTCTCTTGTTTTTTTTTTTTAATATCTATAATGATATTAATCTTTTTTTTTCGTGTAAATATATGTTGTGAATTGTTTCGATTACAGTTTTTCTTTGTGCTGCGAAAGAAGAACAGCCAAGTATCAACTTTACATGTTATTCATCATGGTTGCATGCCGATGTCAGTATGGTTTGGCGTTAAATTCACACCAGGTATGAATTAATGATGTTGCAATCGCATAATAACTTGGTAATAAATATTAAAATGCCACCCGATGATATTGCATTCGATGGTGTGGTCGCCGCACTATGGTCGCATAGTATACATGCATTTATTTGCCATGGTGGATTTTTTGTTCCGCTCGAGCACTTACCATACATGATGAACGATAAGAGTTCAAAGAGTGGGAAGTACTCGTACTCGTTGCCAAAGATTCTTCATGGAATATTCTTGTTTGCAAATGGAGAATAGACAAAAAAAAGCCCACTTGAATATATCATTGATGTGAATTATGACTAATTAAGGTTGTATTTGTTTGTTCTTTTCTACAGGTGGCCATAGCACATTCTTTGGACTTTTGAACGTAAGAAAATGCATTTGTTTTTTCTTGTATAGATTTCATTAAGACTCTTGAATAAATTTGATTTAAATATTTTGTAAATAACCATGAAATCTACTATAATCTCGGCATTTTAACTTGCGATTTTGCAGACATTCGTTCACATTGTCATGTATTCGTACTACTTGTTCAGCGCTCTCGGACCACAATTCCAGAGATTCTTGTGGTGGAAGAAATACCTCACCGCCCTCCAAATGGTAAGCATAATTTCAATTCATTTGATTTAATTTCGTACGCTTGATTTCGTTTGCTTCATTGTGATTTGGCTTGATGACATCGACAACGATTTACTAAACGGTATACATTGTGTTATGTGCATTTCCGAAATAGGTTCAATTCGTTCTTATTATGGTTCATGCTTTCCAACTTCTTTTCATCGACTGCAACTATCCAAGAGCGTTCGTCTGGTGGATTGGCATGCACGCCGTCATGTTCTTCTTCCTGTTCAATGAATTCTACAAATCAACATACAAATACCAAGTGATGAAAGAGCGAAGGGCTCTCGCAAATAAACTCAAACAAATGGAAGCGGAATTGGCGCAAAACGGCGGTGTCAAGCCGAATGGAATCAGCAACGGTATGAATGGATTAAATGGTATAAATGGCAGTGGATCATTAAATCAATATTATGATTCGGTTAATCACAATCACATTAACAATAAAAAGAACATTGAGTATACTGACAGCTACAGCTATAGCAATGCTAATGGTACGACGGAATTGATTAATCGAAAAAAATAACGGCAAAAAAATAAAGCAAAACGACACAAAAACGCATAAATAAAAAACACAACACAAGAATACCAACAACAACACAAAAAGAGAACCAACCCTTTTTTTCCAACAAAAGAGCAAATACCAACATTTCATTGTAAACGTAGTGCAGTGACACTACCAGATTTATTTCAAGCCAGTAGGAAAGAAAAACAATCACCGAAACATAAACTATTAAAAAAACGGACATTTACAATTAATGCATATACATACATATACTGATGAAACAAAAAAAAACGTAGCTTATGGCTGGGGATATTTATTTTTCAAATATTTTTAACGGCTTTCTTTTTTAAATATTTATAATTGAATATGTGCGAAATTTGAGGAACAATTTTATGAGCAGCTATAATTCTAATTCAACAACAAAAATGACGCAAAAAAAAGAGAACCACTTGCTACTGCTATTAACATATCTAGCGGCAATAGATTCGTTTTTTCGTCGACCGTTTAACTTTTGATTCAATTTCACGAGAAACAATCCTCAGGCAACAGTGTAAAATGTAAACATCGGCAGAGCTCTTTGCCTTTATGATGATGATACATAGAAAATACACTAAATGCAAGCAATTGATTTGCTAATGCAATAGGGAATATTACTACCGCTAAAACTGTGCACAACATATATAGAGCATTGTAAACAATCACACAATAACAAGAGACAAGCTTATCGCATTATTGCAATAGCGTTCATAGTAATAAAAAGCCAACAACAACAAACGTGTAATTACCAAACACGTGCTGCTTCCTTCATTATTCCAGATGTCAAATTTTTATTTTTCCAATTCACACAACAAATTTGCATAGAAGCTTTGCAAACCACACACAACCTTCCTTTCTCTGTCTCCTGTTCGTTTCAAATATGTAGCTTTTTTTCTTCTTCGAATAGCGTGTGTGTGTCATACGTTTTCGGAATCAAAACAGATATTTGACGAAAATGACCTTTTCTTTTCGAGTCTTAATCTTGTGTTTTTTCGTTGGTACATCGCTTTTTGCAACAACAACAACAACCAATTTGTCATGATTTTGCGCATATTGCAATCTTTTTTTCATAACTTATTTCCTAGATTTTGCATCTTGTCCTTCTTTATTATTACAATTTTTTTTTTGTTCGGAAAAAAATTAGCTTTTTAAAAGCGCCAACAAAAATCCTCTGATTTTTTTTTTAGTTCTTGAAAGACAAACATTCTGGAAAAATAAACAAAAACAAACACTTTTTCTTTTGTAATTTAATGTTTTGTTAATAGTATTATTATCAATTGAAAAAAAAGTAGGAGAAGAGTGTACTTAAGAAAATTTATATTAAATAATTTAATTAATTAAAACAAAAACAGCAACAAACATTGAAAGAAATAATATGAAACGAAGTCGAACATTTTATTCTTTTCTTTTCGATCAGTTTAACTGCGAGAATAAAAAACAAACCGAAGCAAATAAATAAATATATTTAAACTTATACTTAAAACTTGAAACGTTTATGTCTGGTTCATAGTATTTTTGTGGTTATTCAAAAACGAAACGTAAAAAAAATGAACACGTTTTGCTTTATGCGTATCGTCATTATATCTTGTTAAGCGTTTTTTTTTATTTCTTTCCGTTTTTTCCTTTCTCTTCTTCTTTTGGTTTATTTTTTTTTAGATTGGAATTCTCGATATTTGAAATTTAATTGTTGATTCTATTCTTTCTTTCTTCGTTCTTACCTTATAATTTTCTCGGTAAGCTATTTTGCTATTGACGTGTTATCCTTTCGTATAGCCATAAAACTATATTCTTAAATGCAAAATAATTTATATGAAGTCGCAAATAATAATCTTACCGACGATAGATTAATCGCATAGAACGCGCAAAAGGCGCAAAATAGGCAAAAATACAAAAAAAAGAAACAACAAAAACAAAAACAAAACCGAAACAACATCGTTCATGTTGTTTGTTTGTTAAGAATAATGGAAAACTAGATAGATGCTCCAACATCGTATCGTACATGTTGTCAGGGTAGCATTTACTTGAATTTATTTTGTTGTCCCTTCAATCTCTCCATGTGTTTTGATTTTTTTTTCTCATCAAACGAACCAGTCTCTCAGGCGAAACGACTGCTAAAAGTCCATAAATTGTTGATTTCATTTTTTTTCCTTTTAAATATTTTTGAACGTTATATAAACGGCCATTTGTAAATGAGACTCAAAACACAATGGAGAACTAGGTTGGATAACGAAAAATTAGACGAAAAAAATGAAATGAAATCCAACCAAAACATTTGAAATACAAATCATTGAATTGTTTTTTTTTGTATTAATCCAGACATGAAAACCTAAGCATAGTTCCGTTGAAGATTCATTCAAACGATCATACGGATCGGTAAAGATCAAGATCGAAAAACAAAAACGAATGATATACAGCATTTTTTAGGGAACATTTTTTTCGACACCTTTTTGTTCATCAATTCGAATCGGTCGAATTGAGCTAAATGGCAAACCAAGAAGATGCTGCGTGCGCTCTAAAATTGTGTGTTAATATCAAATATAAAAATGTACGACTTAAAGGTAAAAAATAAAAAAAGTTTGTTGAGCTTAATCTATCTGTGCATTGCGTTTTATTTTTCCTTCAGCAGGCCCAATTCCGATCTGTTTTCCAACAAAAATGAATGGCTCATTGTCCGCTAAATGGAATTTCTCCCCCCCCCCTCCCAAAAGCATACTACAGACGAAAATTGACCAGGCAATTAACATGGATTTCTCTTTTCATTGTGCATGACCCTGATGATTGATAATAGTAAAGTGAAAATTCCATTTGTCTAGCACTTGCTATGAATGGCGGAGACAAAAGAGCCTTCGATTTCCATTAAAATTGTTCTGATAGCAGTACCAATGAAACGGTCTATTCGTATTTTGGTTCATCGACTTCTTGGTGTCCATCAAACGAAACGTATTCCACAGCTCATCGCAACAGCAGCACGTCACTTCTCATTTTTCTTACAGTGCATGAAATAGAGAGCCGCATTTCATTTAGTGCATAAAATAAAAGTGGCATTAAATTCAGCGGCATTTTTTGCATTGTCAGAGTGCAGTAGCTCTACAGCCGGACGACGACGACGACAACGAGAAGAAAATAAAACGCAAAAAAAGACGTCAATCTCGTAAATACTAACTAATTGGAATAAAAATCTCTAAACAATTGTTTCGCACTATCTATTACACGGTGATTATAGGGATACTACTATTTTGCGCTCACTACGTTATTTTGAGCTTACTCGTTGATGATCAATTAAGATTCTATGCATTCACCATCGACACAATATAGTAAGTATGTGTGTGTGTGTGTGTGTGTGTGTGCTGCTGTTTTTTTTACCAGACCATAAAAAGTCATAAATTTTGTAACGAACGTGTGAACAAACTTGCAAAAAGACCTACATGACACGCATACAGACTTACATCAATGGCTGGTAGACAGCAGTGATACCGAGTTAAGCCAAACAAAACCCACCATCTAATCAAGTTGGCTTTAGCTCTGACTGGGGCACTTTCGGTGTGTGCCGCTTTTTATTTTACAACTGAAATTACCTTGAATGAACTTCAAAACAAAACAAAAGAGAAGCAACAGCAACAACAAAAATAAGAAGAAAAGAATTCAGTCAGTGATGTGTGTGTATTGTTTTCACTTCATTCTCACGTACCGTATTAATGTCGTCGCTGCTACTGTCGCAGCTGTGGCCCTACAGTCTGTATGGCCGCAATTACATATTCAACAAGAAAAAAAATCGCAACGCATGCAAGCAGTTACATTATTTGATTTTGGTTTCAATTCTCGAATTTATTGCTTTTGACGGATTGAATTAATGAATTGAAAATAATGATAAGTACCAGTGACAAAAGCGACGAATTAGACGGAAATCAATTCGCAATGACACTTAGGAATAAAACGACTCGACAACGACGTCGATCACACATTGAAAATACATTAATATATACAATGTGAAGAGGCAAAAGTGTTGACGAGAAGAGTTTCAAATATATATTAATTACTGTTCTATGCCAAGGAAGCGAAACGGTACGGAAAGTAATCATGGTGGTTTGACGACAATATGAAGCGTCAGCACAGCCGTTTGAAAATTAATTCCTTTTTAATGGATTTGTTTATCATATGCGAAGTTGATGTGTCATCTCACAAAAAATGTATATAAATCTAGTCCATCTCTAAGACATACACACATGATTTGCAAAAAAAAAGAGAATATTTTATACGCATCCTCATAAAAGCTTGTTTGCATTATTTGCAATCAATTGAGCAAAGATATTCTGAATGAGATAACATTGTTGTTTGTTCAACGTGACTCTTGTAATGCCATCAAAAAAAAACACAACAGAATACACACACAAAATAAATACCTTTCGCATTTCAACATTTGTATGTTTTTTTCCCCTTCTTCTTTGCTAGCAATTAATTATGACTAGTTTTTTTTTGTCTTATTCTATGAATTTGATCATCCGCTTAAAATTATTCTTCTGAAGCTTTTGTCGTATTAGCAAATTGTCGAACAAGTTTTCATTAAATATATTTTCCCCAATTTTTGATCAAACGATCATGTTTATTTTGGACAAAATGATCGTAAGCTGCAACTTGTCGCCGATCTTCCGATTTTTATGGGCATGTGTGCTTTCTGGTTTTCAAATCAACTCTTTTACGCGAAAGCGCGCGCGCGAGAGCGAGCGCGTGTATTTGATATTTTGAAAACAATTTCTCGTCCGTCTGGAAGTCGGCACGCGCTGAACAACAAAGCTCATAAAAAAAATCACTGTCCTCGGCATCCGACAATAACACGTGCTCGGCCATTTGGAATGTTTTCAAACCAAATAATAAATCCACAATTCGAATAAATTAACTCGAAAAACTTGAATGTCGATTTAGAAATAAAATCGTCATTTTATTATCACACAAATCAATGATAAAATTATTTTGCAAGTTGAATATTATGAGGCTTACAGCTGGTTTGTCTTGTGTCCTTTAATTGTGATTCAAACATATATTTCGTTTTAATACGATTTGATTTTAGCCTCCACTGGAATGTTTCATTCCCAGCAGTCACGGTTTGTGAGATCTTCAATGGCGGTAAAACATGGGAATTGAGCGAAAAGTGTGTACCAAATGTCGATTGATACGATTTTTTAGCAACAGACCAATCTTCTTTCCTGAAACATTTCATGCAGATATTATGGGGTGGATCGCAACAGCAAATTGGATGATTATCTCTCGGATTTGGCATTTTTCAATGGAAAATGTCATTCGTGTAGTTTGTGTGGCAAAGAATTTGATTGCCCAACAGAGTTATTTGAAATATCATCGAAGGTAATAACGACCAACAATTACATAAATCGACAATTCAAGTTGCAAACAAACAAGCAAACGAAAAACATGAGTTCTTATTTCTCACTTGTGTAGTTTCGATCATCTTGCGATCAAATGATAAGTGACTGTGCATGGAACAATGTAACGATTGAGTGCTGTGACGCCTTTTTACCGTTAGAAACGGAGTTTGGTATATGCTACACAATTAACTCCATTCACACTACGCACGTATACCGTATATGACGCAAATAACTGCTAAATGGTTTTCATTTCTAAATTTATTCTCTTATGGTTTAAAATCGGGTACAATTAAAGGCCAATGTACGGTCAATCGCTATACCGGGTAAGTAATCTCATTTTCCTCGAATTAATATAACACAAAAATAATTGACTGTTCAACACTTCATCATATATAATACATTATACCGCAGACCGGGTATTTTATCATTTGTCGCTTATGAAGATGTTCAAGTGCATGTGCATGCATCGAACGAGGTGCCCAATGACATTGAAAGTGATATCAAAGAGGAGATATTTTATGGATCTGATAAAGAGATCATTATTAAGGTCATCGATATGGTAAACGATGCGAGCGTACAAGAATCTTCGATTTCCAAACGAAATTGCCGCTTTCCATGGGAACGCAATGAAGCAACACAACTCTATCCAATGCTGTACAACCAGTATAGCCACTCAACGTGCATCATTGAATGTTCACTGAAGATACAACTTGAATTATGTAATTGTTCACATCATTTGATGCCATACTCGAACAACGATACGAAAATGTGTGACATTGATGGTTTGATTTGTCTCACAAATAATTTCGGTAAGGCTCTCAATTACTCGTTGTCGTCGTCTTCGATGTCGCTATTGCCGCTCATTTTACATTTTACGCCAATTTTTTTTTTATGATTTAAAAATATATTTTAAACACCATTTTCAAGGGAAAATCGATTCGATGAAAAAAGATTGCAGTTGTGACACATCATGTGATGAACCCGATTACAATGCTTTATACTCATCTGCCACAGAGTAAGTCTTAAGGCAATCTTAACGATACTACAGGAAATCACATTGAATTATCCACGACTAGTTTTGCTTCATATTGAAAAACAAAAGAGTAAATAATGCTTTAAACCAACCAGTTGTTTATATTTAGATGAAGCATGAAAAAAAAACGGAAGATACGCCAATAAATAATTGTCCGAAAATTATCTGCAAGACTTAATACAAAAACATTTGGGCTAACGAGCTTGAAATCAAGTTCATTTACCTTCGCGTTTTTTTTTACATTCTTGTAGGAAATACCGCAATGAGCCTGGCAGCTTGATTACAATAGCAATGCTCGGTCTACCAAAAGAAAGATTCATAAGACGAGTCGTGAAAACAACGATGGATGATTTTAGTAAGTTTTCAATACAGATGTCAATCAAATTAAAAAAAAAAGATTTTAAAATAACGAAATAACAAAACAAAAGATCGATAATAATGTTTTACTTTAGAAAAAATGTCAAATAACAAAATACTCAACTTTTCATTACTCAAAATTGTTTATATCAAGCTCATCTAAATCAGTTTATTGATATTGTTCATTTCATTCAGTCTCTATTGGTAGTATCCTCAGCTTGTTTTTTGGTCTATCGATTCTCAGCACATTGGATTATACTCTGCGAGCTGTTAAATATTTATTTAGGCTAATCATGTTCATATTTTCCATAAAAAAATGTAACCATCGCCGAAGAAATAAAACATTGGCACATCGATTAGCTTCAAAATAGATTATTTATTTGCGATTGTAATGAATCAATTTAATAAATTATACTGTAAATGTACAAGGTCTGATGATTCTATAAAAATCCTATGTAATCTGGACAAAAGAACTGGTGTTCCTTTTTTTCCTCATCATCTTCTTTTGTTTGTTTAGTCTTTGTCATTTTTTGTGATGTATTTGTTTCAATTTTGTCAGGATTGCTTCAGGTTCAACACGTTCACGTGCGAACAACATTTTAACTAAGTTACCATCAAACGCAGTCGAACATCAATCTCATTTGGTATTGACATGTGACACAAATACAATTTTCTCGCAAAATTATTCCATTTCGATGTCACTCAAATCAGACGAATACCGTATTTGACCGGGTGTTCGATAAAATTCTATGGAATTGTCTACATCGCGTAAAATCTTTTTCGATTTTTCAACGCACGAATCAAGTACATGAAGCTTATTGAATATTTCAGTGTACGCACTCAAGCCGGATATCATGTCGGCCGCCAATTTGCTTACGATACGATGAATATAGGGTGTATGCTTTTCACTGGTTAACGTCGGCGGCACCTCCATCAAATGTCCATAATCTAATACATTCCATTCGCCCGTTTCAATGTCCCAGGTGAACAAAATCTGACACTCATAGTGCTTGCGATGAAACACACAATCCAAATTCAAATTACTCGAACAATTTAAGCAATTATTGGCGCTGGGATCGATCTGCACATCACTCGCCGTAAAGTTTACCATTAGAATACAGGTCAGTACACAACTCAGCGGGCAAATCTGAAGAAAAAAAAATGAATCGATTTATAATTGAATTGAATCTCTTGCTGACGACTAATGGACTAGTTAGTTGACAAAACGTACCTTGACAATTTCACAGCCACAGTCGAAGAAGAACCCGTATTTTTTATTATTGATGCTACACAAATAGTTGACGGCATAGTAGGTAAATGCCTCCAAATCAAATGTGATTTGTGTTACAATCACTGTTGGGCACATCAGTTTCTTGAGAGAATTCTTTGATATCATTTGCATATCAGAGTAGCCAGCCCCGTGAACTTCCAGAGGCAACGATGTGTGATAGCCAGGCGAAATGCAGTCGTCTGATTGATGAAGAAAAAAAGAAAACAATTACACTTTGTTCATATTATTCGGATATAGAAATGGATTGATTTAAAAGACAAGTACCTTCTTCACTGGTTATTACACTGGCTGCATCGTCTTCCTCAACATAGTGCCGACTCAATCTATATGAAGTAGAGATTCATGTGATTAGATTTCACCAGTCAATTGTGAAAAAAATAATAAATTCTCATTACATAATGGAGCATTGTGGTTTTTGATCATTTTCGATCAAACTACGTTCGCAAATATTCTGTTGGCTATTTCGCAAGTCAATATTTGGTGGTTTGACCTCACTTAACGGGAAATTAGTCTTGTTACTATCACAATCATCGCTTCGTGGTGATAAAATTAGATTTGAATGTGGTTCTAACATGGAATCATAATAGGGACGCTTCATACTTCGTGGAGACATTGTTGCTGATCGTGTGCACGATGGTGATTTGGCATTGAAACAAGAGCGGGCTATCAAACAAATGTTGGAGAATGGTATGAATTTTCGTTTTATTTTTCTGTTGGAATGAAATCAATAATAAATCTATGCCTTACTAGACATACCGGGTGGAGACATCATATGAAATCGATTGCCGACTGGTGATCCGCATGGTGATCGAAAGCCGTAACTGGGTGATGCTCGATGCGTATGATACGATGTGGCAATTTCAAAAGTTGATGGTGGCGATGAACTGTAGCTCATCACATTCGAATGGGCTGGCGAATGTCGTGAGATTTTCTGATGAAGTGTCGGATTACGGATCACCGATCTCATTCGATTATATGGAATAATATTTTCGGTATTATCTTCGGAAAACTCATATTTTTTATCGGCCAATCGTCTCTTTCGAAACGTGCTAATCTTTTCACATTTTTCATTGTCTTCGGAAAATTCGTACGCTTTAGCTGCCTTGTCTAAATTCTTATTGTTTGCATTGTTATTCGAACTGCCGCTTGGAATCGTTGTATTTGTCGCTTGACTCGGGCCAAAGTCAACTTTAGTTATGCTATTCTTCAAATTGGTCACACTCTTCGATATGATTCGATTGCTGCGATGATTCAACAATCGAACCTTTGTTGAACTCGTCGCTCTTAATGGTTTATCAATATTATTTCGGCATGTTATGACCAATTCATTGAAATTATTTTGTGTATTGTTAATGCGAGGCGTTTGCTGTTGTTTTTCAGTCGGTGTCAAATCGGTTTCGCATTCGGCAAAATCCGCGATGATTTTCTCCACAATATTTTTTGGCTCATACGCTTTTGCCATTTGTTGATGATCATCACATGCAGTCGTAGTTGAGTTGGGTCTCTCTTTGGCAGTTTTTGTTGTCTGTTCAGTGGAACACTTTGTTATGGAACTATTTGGCAAACTGACTAAATCTTCATTCACTTCATCCGGTTGACTTGATTCAGGCTTTGATTTTGTGCGTGTCTTAACATACTTTATATCAATGGAATTGGTGAACGGTTTGACCTGTTTATTCAGATGTAGATCAATGTGAACCATATGAATCAAACCGTTCGCCACAATCAGAATCTTATCCAAACACTGTAAATTTACGCTCGGATTGAAGACGGGATCAGTATCAGCACGGCAATATTTCGTGTGTATCGTAAAATTACACTTGATGCATAAATAACCGCTTCGATTTACTGAAAATATAAAAATTTGCAAATTATCGGCTGCTATGTTCAATGCATGATCTCTCTATTGATGCCCACCGTCCATTGTGTCATTGGCACAGAATTCATCGCGAAGTTTTTTACAGTCTAAGCATCCTAAATTTGGAACAGCCACAACGGTAATATATGAATCTTCGCTTTCAACGCCACCACCATGCACCACAAGTACCCGTGGATTGGTTTTCCATTGTGCCATTGTGACTGCTTTGATATTATCGACACCATGATCGTCAAATAAGCAAATCGTAAAGTACTTATAAAGCAGATTATGAGGGCGGTAAATCCAAAAATAGAGCCTACAAAATGTCACAGATGATTAATTGATTTAAGAAGAGTGGAATGCAATGAGACCGAAAGGAAAACAACAACAACAACACCGAGTTATACTACACCACTTACTCGTATTTATAAGTTGAGGTAAAGCTGTAATTGTTGAGTGCAGAGTCTTCATCTGAGATAACTTTGTAACTGAGCATAAATTGGCCGCATATTGTTAATCCCATGAACACGTGTCTAAAATGGAAATAATTTTCGTTTTGATTGGCAAACAGTGCAAATTAGTTGATTGATTCTGAATTTGGTTGGTGGCACACAACAACAAGATAATCTAAAATTGACTAACCCGGTTAGGTAACAATATGGCACAATTTCTTTCAAGCAAAACTGTAATCGTCTCGGAACCCGAACAAATGCAAGTTTTCGATCCTTGTGAGAAATTTTGTCCGTAAAATATCCCGTTCTCTGTACGAAAGAATTGAAACGCATAAAATATTATTGCCAAATTCTATACGACCTTGAATCTGTTGCGAATTTTTCATTTTCCATTCGAAGAAACACACTATAAAACTAGCTATAAAATTAATGATGATGATGCTGCTGCTGTTGCATCTTACCTCTCGATTTTGTAATTTAAATATGATATTTTGTGATGTAGATTTTCGCGAATTAGCATTTGAATCGCTCTTTTCGTTGATGCGCTTTTTGCTGAAAATATTCTCCGTGCCCTCGTCTTCCGATGACGATCCATCTGTGTCCGAGGAACATGATGAACTGAAGTCACCACTTGTATACAATCGATTCATTTTCACCGAATGATATTTTTTTTTTCTTCTTCTTTCCCTTCTATCTATCGTATTTGTCGCAATAATTTAATCACATTTTGCTTGCGGTTGGCACTAAACTACTTAAATCGAATTTATCTAGGTAAATTGAGGGAACAAAAACCAAAATCGCCACAATTTCGGATGCACTGCACTCAGTAAAACTGAAAAAGGACTCGCGATCGAACAAATGAAAATAGTCACATTCACAACAATAGATTTCTATTTGTAAATGGTAAACTAAAACACAATTTTGACATATCCATCTGGAGCGTGTTTACTTTATTTTTGCGTTATACGTGTTTTATGTCATAACAGATGTCGTTCGATTCCACTCATCTAAACCAATTAATTGTTTTCCGATTTGCCTTCAAGTCTTTCAATTTGAACACAAAAAAAGCATATTTTCTTCAAAATAAGCTGAATGAGTTGGATTCGATGGGTTGTGGATTTTATTTCATTCAACCAAAATAAGGATTCATTTTATGTGTGTGTACAAACAATGGAAAAAATAGGAAAAAAATGAGCTGACGCTCAATAATTTAATACGATTGCTTTGCTGGGGAAACATTTCAACAAAAGCAAAAAACGAAACAAAACAAAAAGGTATAGACCTTATGTGAATAAAGTGTTTTTCTTTTGTTCAGCCTTTAAATTTCCGTGTTCAAAATGAACCACTCTTTTAGTTTTAAAACATTTACTATGAAAATATCGTGTATAAGACTTTAAATGACAGTTAAATTGTTTGCAAAAATATTTGGTTCACTTTTCAAATATTCCATTTAAGCTAATAACCAATGATCAATTATCTAGCGGGATTTTTGAAAACGGAAAATTCATCCCAAGCATTGCAAGCAATAATGAAAAAAAAATGCAACAATCTAATCATTGAATGAATATTCAAATGAAAAGTGGGCGATGTACAAATTCTGTTATACAAATGTATTGAGCGTCGATAAGACAGTTGCGGTTATAATCATCAGTTGTGTTATAATTGGAAAGTACAGTTCTCTCCGACATTTGATGACAGCAAACTTCATTTATTTAATAGTTCAAGTCAATAATAAAGAAAGTTTGGGAGAGGAAAATTGAACAACTTGTGCTCAAACACCAAACACACCACCAAAGGGCAAAACTTAAACAAAAATTCGCCAGTGAAAATGTTGCAAGGTCGAAGATGCTAAACAGCTTAGCTCAAATGTTTAGGATATTGCATTCGATACAAAGTCAACGAAAATGTTTGTTTGTTTTGTTCGTCGTGCTTCTAATATTATTATTTTGTTGCAATAATGTAGTTATAGGAAAGTGCATTAGTGATAGTTCTTGTATGAACGGCGGCGTTTGCATTAATGGAACTTGTGTTTGTCCAGACGGTTGGCAGGGCGATGATTGCCAATTTTGTGGCGGTAAAGTACGGTATGTTGCCCAACATTTGGTCCATCATTCACATAACATGGCCCCATTTAAACCATTGGCATTATTTTATAAATGTGTGCGTTTGCATTTACACCATCGAATGAGTTCATGTAAGAGTAAACAATGTGTGTTGTGTCCTCCTTTTTCTTCCCATGCGTATGCAGTTTGACAGATTTCGTCGGTTACATTCATGACGGTGCTGGAAATTACTCCGTTGGCGTCAAATGTAGCTGGTTGATTGATGCCAGGGAGCACAGTTTGTATAGAAATTCACTGCGAAGTAATGACAAACATCCGACCATACGACTCCACCTCGAAGAGTTTGCCACAGAATGTGGATGGGATCATTTGTACGTATTCGATGGTGATAGCGTTGAATCTCCCCTACTTGCTGTTTACAGGTATGCGCCGTGTGTTTGTGTGTAGCACGCAATATGCAACCCACCACTCACACACAATTTGCAAATTTGCTGCAAACTACTCTGCCGATGTAATGTGATATGTAATTTTAAATTTGATTTTTTTTTTCATTTTCATTTTGCAGCGGTTTGATGTACAGCCAAAATATTTCCGTTCGTCAGGTGCCTGAAGTTGTGGCTCGGTCCGGATCCGTACTTCTTCATTTTTTTTCTGATGATGCATATAATATGTCCGGCTTTAATATTTCATATAAAATTAATGGTTGTCCAACGGATGATTCGAGCGTCAATTGCTCCGGCCATGGCGCGTGCAATGAATTGGATGGAACGTGCGATTGCAATAGCGATTTCTATGGTTTTGCATGCCAAACACCAAGATGTCCGAATGATTGTTCGAGAGCTTTGGGTCGGGGACACTGTGACGGCCAAAGGTAAATACAACACAATACATACATCCATAACGGTTTTAATTTATAATTGCCGTCAGAATGTTGACGAAAAACACTGAATTTATTTTTAATCGAGATTTTAAGATCTCTTATTACATTCTTATCTTATCGATATTGTGAGTAATCCTAATACGTAACGTTTGTTTTGCTTCTGTTCCGTTGCTTTTTTTCTTTTGTTTTTTTTTTCGATTGTAGATGCGTTTGCACCTCTGGATATGCGGGCGTTGATTGCAATCAAGATGTTGCACTGGGCCATTGGACGACCATAACACCGGACAGTTTTACACCATTGGGTTCGGCATCGCATAGTGCGGCTGTGTGGGGAGATGCATTGCATATTATTGCAGGTGAATCGTATGGACGTGGTGAACTACTGTATACGTACGATTTCAATGGAAAAGTATGGGAGACAGTACATTCATCGGGATCAACCGCACCGGAGATGCGATACGATGCTTCGACCGTGATTTATGGCGATAAGATTTACATGTACGGCGGTGTTGTTGGTCACAAAGGTGTCTCGAATGAATTGTGGGCGTTTGATGTGAGCGCCAAAACGTGGGAAAATATTACGGTAAAATTTGAGCCATGCACAACGTCTAATTCGATGTGCGGCCCATTGAAAACCTCTGGTCACACAGCAACTTTGGTGCCTGGTCATGATTCGACAACAAATACAGACTATAAATGTATGATTGTTATTTTTGGACATTCCCCGTACTACGGATATCTCAACACAGTGCAAGAGTATACGTTCAGTACTCGAACCTGGAAAATTGTTACGACATACGGGTATCCGGTTAAGGGTGGCTATGGCCACAGTGCTGATTATGATCCGCTCACAAACAAAGTGTACATCTACGGTGGCATTGTGTCGGAGAATGAAAATAATCAAATTATTAGTAATAATTTATATAGCTATGATCCGAAGGCAAGAGAATGGAAACTGTTGACAGCCGCAGCGTCCGGCCGATTTCTGCATACGGCCACTTTTATTTCGCCCGGTAAGGCACATTCCATAGCCATAATTTTTGTTATTTATTCCGATTGTCATCAACTAAACGGTAACACATTTTATTTGCCCGTAGGTCTGATGATGGTGTTCGGCGGCAATACTCATAATGATACGTCACATAGTTTTGGTGCCAAGTGCTATAGTAACGAATTGATGGTGTACGATGTGCTTTGCGATACATGGCATTTCCAAGGTTTGCCCGACGATTTTCGCACCGATATCGCGCGCTTTGGTCACAGTGCCGTTAAATTTATGGATTCACTTTATATTTATGGCGGTTTCGACGGCCAAATGTTATCCGATCTACTGAAATATACTCCAGGCAATTGTTTGGCTTTGCAAAAAGCCGAACAATGTCTAAACGCCCGGCCCGGTCACAAATGCGTCTGGGATATACAAAAGTCAGCATGCATTCCAATTACTCACGTTCAAAAGGATATTATTAGAGCTCGAGATCAGGATGTTTATTTGTTTTGCGCGAAAGAGAGTCGCATCGTACTTACGCAACAGTTACTGTTGGATAGCACACGATGCAGCGAATTGCTCGATTGTCACAGTTGCGTGTCCACATCGTTTGGCTGCACATTTTGTAGCACCGGAGTATGCTCAAAAGATAAATGCCGTGACATCCATTCGGATGGTATACCGATCCAAAGTGTTTCAATTTCATCCCTTGACAAGTGTCCAGAAGATATCGTCGGTCTGCAATGCGCTCAGCTCCACGATTGCAATGCATGCCAATCTTCATCGAAATGTCATTGGGATACCCAAATAAACAAATGCCGTATAGCAGGCAATCGAAGCATGGACGATGTGTCCGTGTGTGGTACTCCGTGCGCTGAAATCACCAGCTGCAGCAATTGCACCAGTGAAGAATGCATTTGGTGTCAGAATGAAGAGCGATGCGTCGATAAGAATGCGTACACAGTCAGTTTTCCGTATGGTCAGTGCCGTGAATGGACGACACAACTCAACAAATGCCGAGCACCAAGCTCTGGCGGAAAGTCACAATGCGAATTTTATAAGTCGTGCTCACAGTGCCGTGATGATCCAGCATGTGGTTGGTGCGACGATGGTTCGAATACAGGACTCGGAAAATGCTTGCTAGGTGGTGATAGCGGTCCTCAAGATCCAACCGATTGCCCCAATCAATCTCATTGGTTTTTCACTCGATGCCCGAGCTGCCAATGCAACGGTAAATTGTTTCGCCTATTTTTTGAGATTTTGTTATTTTTGTGCGATACTAACAAATAGTTGTGTCGTTTTTCTAGGCCATAGCACGTGCTACGATGGCAAAACCTGTGCAACACCTTGTGATGACTTAACAACTGGCGCAAATTGTGAACTATGTCGCCCTGGCTACTGGGGTAATCCAATCAATGGTGGCGCTTGCCAGAAGTGCGAATGCAATGGTATGTAACTACGCAATGCTTTACTGAAAACCGTTCTTGGCTTTTCTCATTCATTTTATTAACCTTCTTCTCTGTTTTCATTCATTTGCAATAGGCCAAGCCACACATTGTCATCCAGAAACGGCAAAATGCTACTGTTCGACCAAAGGTCTCACTGGTGACCACTGTGAAAAGTGTGACGGAACGAATCATTATCACGGCGACCCGAGCAAGGGTTCGTGCTACTATGATCTCACTATCGACTATCAGTTCACATTCAATTTGTCAAAGAAAGAGGATCGACATTTTACGCAAATCAATTTCCGTAATTCACCAATTAAATCCGACATTGATGCCGATTTCAGTATTCTATGTAGTGTTGCGGCCAAAATGAATATCACCATTCGTTCAGCTGGCGGACCGGAGAAAGTTATCTTCAGCAATTTAAACTGTTCACAATTTCGATATCGCTTTTCAAAAACCGAGCATCATTTTGGCATCGAAGACAATGTTACGCTAACCACATTTTATGTGTATGTTTATGACTTCCAGCCCCCAGTCTGGATTCAAATCGCATTTTCACAATATCCAAAATTAAATTTGCAACAGTTTTTCATCACATTCTCTACGTAAGTAGTGACACACGGAACACGAAATGAATCCCATCAATTGCATTACTAATCAACGGTTTCTATTACTTTGCAGATGCTTTTTGCTACTGCTTTTGCTTGCCGCCGTACTCTGGAAGATCAAACAAAAATATGATATGTATAGACGCAGACAACGACTTTTTGTTGAGATGGAGCAAATGGCTTCTAGACCATTCTCTGAAGTAAGTGTAAGATTCACTTCTACTTTTTATATTCTTAAACGAGAAAAAAACGACAACGACTACATCGTGTTCATTAAATTAATTAGGTTCTGGTTGAAATTGAAAATCGACGACCCGATGCTGAGTCACCAACACCGGTAATAGAAAACATTTCAAAAGCACAGAGAAAGCGAAAAAAGGTAAAAAATAACTAATGAATTGATACTGGACATAGAAATTAGATTTGAACTCTGGTTTTGAACATTCTGGTTTCTTTTATTTTATCTTTACAGGATGCTCCAAGTCCAATAGCATTAGAGCCTTGTAGTGGCAATAGAGCAGCTGTTTTATCACTTCTAGTCCGGCTTCCAACAGGTAATGTACATTCAATCGCCGTTGTAAATAATAATTATTATTATTCATTTAATTGACCATAAACTAAATGATAACACGATTTGTACGCATAGGGGGCTTAAACTATTCATCATGCGGTCAATCGACTGGGTTAGCGATTGCCAGTGCACTAGTTACGCTCGGAAATCAAAGAAAACTATCGATGGAACATCCGAAAGAAACCAAAAACAAACGAAAACAAAGCCAACATCCAGATAATTGCATATAATTTTACTGATTCGATAGCATTTAGCTATATTTGATTATATTAATACTATTTTATTAGTATTTAAATGAAATGAAAGTGAGAGAAGAAGCAGAAGAAGTAAAAAAAATACACACACATTATTATTACCTCTGTATTTAATGATAATTAAAAGAACATGAGCAAGAAAAAAAAAAAAAAAAGAATTAACGGAAATTTTTTCGCATGAACATGTAAAAAAACGACAACAACTTAAGACAGCTGTAGTGAACGGAAATCACAGACTAAGAGATTCTTTTTTTTAAATCATAACATGCATATTACTTTATTTTTTTTATATATAACGTTTAAGACGAAGACAACGGTAAACAATTTATTTAGGAACGTTTCGTTTATTTAAAAATGTGAAGAAAAAAATTGAAAAAAAAACACTCAAACATATTTACTGCAGAAAACAAAAGTCTTTCATTTTTTTAAAATACCTTTTAGCCATTCGGTGCAGATGTCCGTCTAAAGCGAATGGAATTTTGGAAAGAAAACGTCAAGGTGTAGTCACAAAGGGAAAGCTTTTTCAACTTTATTTAACAAAAATTATTATTTTTATACAATTTTCTCTTTCGGTTTACCTTTTTTTTTATATTATTAATTGTGGAAAAGAACTTAAAATGATAAAATTTTTCATCTTGTTTCCATTGTCATTGGATGTTTTTTTTCTCATTTATTTCATCTCTATCCACTATCATCTCCATTTAAACTTTACGAAATGACGACTAGTAACTGAAAATGTGTGTTTTTTTTAAACTTAGCTAAATATTTGAATCGGCGACCAAGCTTCGCCGAACGCACTGGACCTAAGGCGATGCGACCGATGCTTAATCGCCAATCACATATTGTGTATATGTGTTATTCCTCACGCATATTTATTGCGTTATTTAGTTGTTGTTGCTGTTGTTGCTGTTGGTTAGTGTTTTTTGTGTGTTGATTTCATTATATATATATTTTTTTTTTTTGTTTCCTTTTATATCAATTCACCACTAATGGTATATTCCAACGTTTAGTTCGTCTATATGTTTTCCATATTTTTTGTTTTTTATTTTGTTAATTTGTTTGTTCTTTTCTTCTTTCAAAATAAAAACCCCGAAAAGCACAAAAGAACGAGAATAGAACGAGTTTGTTTTTTGTTATTATGTTCTGCATTTTTGTTTCATTTTCAAGATTTAGTCCATTTTAATGATGTAATAATTATCATTTTTCTTGTTCTTTGTTTGTTTGCAGCAACTAAATCATATTTTTCTTCCACTTGTTTTGGCTCTTAAAATTTAAATGATTTATTGCAATAATATTTTTCTTCCATTCATTTCGGTTCAGAATATTCCAAATAAAAAAAGGAAAACAAATCATATTTTTCTCTTTGGTTTTTAATCCATTTTTGTGTTTTCTTTGCATCGTGTTTAAAATTGCAATAATTTCTGTGTGTGATATTGCTGCTGATTCTGTGTGAATGGCGAGTGCGATTGTAATAATCATTTAGAGCAAAAAATCGTGTGCAGAAACGACTGACCGGTTTTCTACACCGAACATAAAACCAACTAGACAACGAATCACATACAAATTTTAAAGCAAAAAGTTAATTCAAATTAGGACGCAAAGAACCATGTTCGGTTATTCATTTGCTTTATCCAAACCAACAGAAGAGCCACGAAAAAAAATAATTCAATAAAATTTCTCTGCATCGATCGAAATTGATTCCAGCACCGAACGCTCTTCTCACTTTGCATCATCGTAAATAATATGAACAATTTGGTTTTGTTTTTTTTTCATTTGTTTTCTATTCGATTTTTATTGATCGATTGCAGGCAATCCAACTATTACAATTTTTTTTTAATACTTAATTTTAAGGAATCGAACTTATCCACAGCTCAATCAATGAAGAAACATTTTTCTTCATCTTCTTTTTTTGTGTTTCTGTTTTTATTGATAGTAATTTTTTGGTGATTCAAACCAGACCAGATGTGATTTCCATTCTATCTCTATACGATTTTTCTTCTTCATTTTTTATATTTTATATGCGATCTGTTTGTTCATAATTTGTTGTTCAGTTAGATTTTTTGTTTCTTGTTAGGTGCGTCTCAGTTGCAATCATAATATTTCGTACTAAAATGTTTTTAGTTCTCATTTTGTGTGTGTGTTTCTCGTGTAATATCATTTGATGGCGATTCTATACGGAAAAATTACAATGTGTGATAATCGATACATGGCTATTCTTTGTATTCTCGTTTTGTTTTTAAAATAATTTTTTATGGAATCGATTGGAAATCTTTGAATTGCGCATGAGAGTGAAACGTTGTTTTAAAATTTGAGAACATATCAAACGATATATACAGTAAAATGTAAGGAACGAATAAAAAGTTGCGTTTCAATTAGAATAGTACACTTTATAGCCATTGAAATGTTTCAGAAAAATCGACATGAAATTCCACAGCAATCACATAATTCGGTTGATGTTTATCGATTGTGTGTGTAAAAAGTACAATCGAATTGATGGAGCAAATAAACAATGAAATGGTTCTCTGTTTTCTATTGCAAATTCTTGCGATCACTGATTTTTTGCGAAATGTTTCTTTGCCACTCTTCCATGGGCTGTGTCAAGTTGATTTGATTGCATTTTAGTTTGAAGTCCTTTTTTTTCTTTTTTCGTCTGCAGAAATTGAACACGAAATGAAAAGAAAAGTAAACGAGACCAACAGCAAATCATAAAATAAACAATGATTGAATATCAGGAGCTTGCATGGAAATTGGTGTGTAGCTGTAGTTTTTCGTATGTGTGTTTGTTTTTTTTCTCCATTCAATCAATGTTTTTAATTATTTTCTTTTTCTTTAACTACAACATATACTATTATTTTGTTTCCTTTTTTGTCATTATTCATTTTTATTTCTGCCTCAGTTTTCTTCTTTTAGGATAGTGTGATTCGAAAAATACAATTTCACTTCGGTCACTGACTATGAAACTAATATATCTCTCATTATAATTATGCATTATTATTATCATTATATTTATTTTTTTATTTGTTTGTTTTTTTTCTCTTTCCTTAAACGGTTGTTTTTTGCATATCGCGACATAGTTTGCACATTGTGAGTGTGTGTTTGTGTTGTTGTCAGTAAATTTCTTGTATTTTTTACTTACCTCCTCTCAGATACGCTTTAGAGTGGCGTTAAAAGAGGATTGATTTTATTTGTTTTTCCGAATTTTATTTTGTTCTCTTTTTGTTTGTTCTTTCATGTATTCGTTTTTCGATGAGAAATTGCTTCATATGTTTGAAAATAAAATCAAATAATCCGTTTACGCCTGTTGAATTTCAACAATGTGAATGTGGTGACAATAAGACGGACGAAATAATGAACTAGTAAATCTCCTTACCAGAAATCTAAAGACCAACCAATTTTTTTTTTCATGAGAAACAGTACGAGTTTTTGTTGCTTATGACCGAAAAAAGGAAAGAAAAAGATAAAGAATAAAAGTGTAACACGCAGGAAAAGAAAACAAAAACAATGCAAAAAGAAATAAGATCGAACGGAGAGGCGGCTAACGGAAGATTTCAAGTTATTTTCGAAATTCGGGTGACTGCGATTGAACCCACGTATTGGGGCATTAATTGGCTACCGATCGACACCGTCTACTCTCTCTCTCTCTCTCTCGCATTGGCACCATTCTATTACGCATGTATCTGTTTCACATGTTTGCACTTTTCTCTCTCTTTATTTTCTGACTGTTTTTGGTTTTTATTTAGCTCATCTTGGTTTTCTCTCTAAATTTCATTATGCATTTGATCGGTACATGTGCTGCATTTTCTTCTTAATGGTTTATTAATACTATTGCTGTCAGATCATCGCCTATTCTTCCACATTTTGTTCATTGATTTAAATGCACGTGCTAAAAGATATGAGGACAGTGATAAAAAATGTGAAGTCGCAACACACACACGAATCGACATTTCTAATGAATTTGATCTATTTTTTTTCTCGTTTAGATATAAAAAGCAAAGTAAATTTAGAAAATTAAAAAAAAACGGTAAAAGGAGGAGGAGAGAAAGAGAGAGTGAGAAAGAGAAGGAGAGCGAGAGATTGCAAAAAAATGGCAAGCGGAAACTATTGAAATTTTATCGTTCAAAATGCTCATGCTATAGCTTCACAATGTATGATGGAGAATCAGTTTAATTTGTTTTAACCGAAATTGGAATGAAAATGGAAATTGCTTTGAACAAAACCAAAACAAAAAGAACGTTTGCAAGCCAAATTCGAAAATTGAAACGAACATAATTTTTTCCTATTTGTTTATTCGACTGTACAGTTTGTTTCACTTTTGAACACCTTATGCCTACTTCCTTTTCTGCTTTTTTTTGTATTGTATGATTTAAATTTGTTCTTTGACTGTCTGTATGTTTATTTTTATCAGCGACGCTAGTCAGCATTGCCAACAAATCATTTCAACAGACATGCCGACTGCTGACAACCGTTGCTGATAATTATAGTTATCTTCGCCAGGTTTTTTCTTCATATATTTTGTTCTTCTTTGTTATATTATATAATATATGTTTATGTAGTTCCAACTTATTAATTAATACTTGATGTTTCCATCGTCCATTCTTCTCACGTGTGTTTCTGTTTATTTTTTTTCTCAGTTTCTAGCTCTTTGATTCAGTGTAGCTCTAAAATGCATTCAATCAATTTTCATGTTTCAACTTCTAGTTTTCACCTTCTTTCTCATCGGTCGCATAGGATACATTCAATCATTATAATAATCATATTTATAAATATTGTTTTTTTTATTTATTTATTTTCTTTTCCTTTTAATTTAATCCATTGTTGTTGTTTTTTTCTTCATCTTCTGGGTGTCTACTTCATTACTTTCGAATAAAGTAGTATAAAAAAAATAATTGATTTATCAAAGAAATCAGAGTACGGAATTTATTTCATTCATCATAATCATCTTTTATATTTCATTCATTTTTTTGTGTGTCGTAAATCAAAACATAAATTTTGAACTTTTTTTTTATTTCGATAATTTCTTGTTTGAGTTGGGTTTTTTTTGTGTTGTTTTACATACAATTGGAATTAGGGATCGAGGGATTTGATGGGTGTGTTGAGGGCAGGGAGTTTCAAATAAAATTAATTATTTCGCTTGCTTTTTGCTAATTGACAACGAAAAGAAAGCGTATGTTCGTATGTATCGATAGATATGGAGGCTTTCAAAAGGACTAAAAAGAGAACATTTTGGTTGTGGTTTTGCATTTTTTTTTTGCTTTTCAATGGAAAGAAACATAAAAATAAATGAAGAAATAAATAATAATAATAGTAATAATCAGTGTTCAGATCCAGAGCCAGTTCATCGAATGAGAGAGTTATTTTTTTTCGGGGGCAATGAGAAAGAGCATATTGAACTTTGAGAATGTCGCCGTACGTCCGTGTCCGTCGCAAATCCAATATCGAATGGGCACTTTTCTGAAAACTGAAAAGCGTTTCGCATTCGCCAAAGCAGATTGCCGTTTGGCAATTGGTGTCATTCGCATTCGATTTGATATCTCACAGTGCCCATTTTTGGTTGTCGCTCATTCGATGACCTGAAGCGCAATCGTAACACTGGTAATAATAAACCACAACATATACAATTCACAATATATATAATTTTTTAAATATTTTTTTCTGCTTTAGTGTGTTTTTGTGTGTATGTGTAATTAATTATTTAATTTTTTTTTTGTTTGTTTAATTCATTTCTCATTTCTTATTTCTCATTTTTTCTCACTTTTCAGTTTTCTTTTCATTCTTTTTGCTTGTTATTTGCGTAAATTTAATGTGTTAATCCTCTTTTAATACATTTTCTTTTTTAATTAAATTATATGTATCTCCTGTACTATCAGCCGATGGATTTATTGAGCCGGCTGCTGAGGCGGCAGCAGCAGCACTAGCGGCGCTTGTAGTATTAGTCTTTGTTGTGGTTGAAGTGGTTGTGCTCGAGAATGGATTACTTGATGCAGATGTTGAGGTGTTCGTCGGAGATTGAATTGTATCGCTATTGGATGAGTTCATTCTATTTGTACGACTAATCTCCAGCTCATGCAACTTTTTCCATAGCTCTTCACGTTCACGCTCTCGCTTTTTCTCTCTGTGTGTTTGTGTTGGTGTTGTTGTGTTTTGAGAGCCAGAGGATGGGAGAGAATGAGGGAAAAATGACGTGGAAAAGAGAAAAAAAAGAGAACGAGTAGTTTGTCATTAATATGCATTCGCCCATAAATATTGGATTCATGATTGAAATCGACGAGAGTGATACTTACTTTTGTCGTTCAGCTTTGTAACTCGCGGTCAGCTCATCAAAGAGCTTCGAATTCATTTCCATAAATGTCTTTAGAACATTGTAAACGAGCGCAACGATTGTTTGATTCCAATGTTCTTTGCTGATGCGATACAGACCAGGAAACATAATTGGCATTATAACAGTATTATTTTCCTCAATAAGAGACATGGCATATTCATTATTCCAGAAGTACAGCGCTCTCTCCGCAACCTATAACAACCCAAACACCATTTTGATTTAGTTCACGGTTATGGTGCAAAAAGCGAGAACAGACAAGCCCGCAAAACAACGCTAATTGACAGATTGATGGCATGACCTTAATACACTACCTGAAAATGTGGACTGGAGACACATTTGGCGATTTGACGAAATAGTGGCTCTTGAATTTTCACGAATTGCGGTGGATCGATGACATCCAAAATTTCTTCTATTTCACCTAAAAACATCACTTCCTTCTGTGAACATGTCTTTGGCCAGAATTTCAAGAGACCACGCACGACCGGCTCAGTCAGAACGGCATCCTTTTCCAGAAATTGTACCACACAGTACGCTAGCTGAGCATGATATAATGATAAACATTTCACTTTGTGAAGTGGCAACAGAACTTTGACCAGAAACTGCTTATGCTCCGCTTTCAGAGGTAATGCGAAACCGTTAATAATGCTAAATGAAAAACGAGGTCACAGAAGATGGGCGCGCAAACGATGGCACGAGATAGAGCGAGAGAGAGAGATAGAGAACGAGAATGAAAAAGAGAGTTAATTGAAATTTTGCGGCGGGCCGATTGCATAACGAAGCAATGGAACAAATGAACAAACAAACGAACAAACAAATACATGTAAAACAGATTATGTTGTGCGGCGCTAATTACCTGCCCAGAATTTCCAACAGCTCACCAACTCCGTTGAAGTGTTCGGTTTCATAAATAAAGCGCAAAAATATGTTATTGATTTGTTTACGTATGAAAGCCCGAAGCCCCAAGAATTTTCCATAAATACGATGCAACACGGTCTTTAGGAAATCTCTTTCTCGCGGATCTTCTGAGTCGAATAGTTCCAACAGCTGTTTGCAAACAGAAAGAAAACAACATGAGTAAAAACAAGCACACATTTTAGCACATTTTACTGAGAATAACTTTTGGATTGGTTTTAGGCGGTTGTTATATTATTATTGCTAAGCTAATTACTTGTAGCACGAATTTTTGGTCGATCACTTTCTTTCCTATAGTTGCTTGAAAATCTTGTGACTCTAAAAATCGTAGAAACACTTCATAAACTAATTGCAAATGTGGCCAGGATGCTTCTAAAGTGGGATCATCTTCTTCTGGGTCAAAGTCCGGATTCTCGCTCGGCGGTAGTGTCCGGAATAGATTTAGCGATATCTTTTGTATCAAAACGAAAATTGACGCGAAGAAAATCGAAGAACAGAACAAAAGAAACGAGAATGAAAAATTGCAAATCAGTTCAACAAAACAAAAAAATTATGAAGTTGATGTATATGAGGAGGCAGTTGTTGTACCATTCGAATGATTTCCGGATAAACAGCTTCTGTTAGTACGCCCCGACCATGAGTAATGTAAGTGGATAGATCATTAAGCGCAGCTCGTTTGATCTCTTTTCCCTTCAGGTCTGACACTGGATCCATAAAATCAAACGACACGCTGCATTGACGTAACTTTTTTATAAAAAGCTCCTCCTGATCCAAACTGGAACTGTCGGCTAAATAAAGACAAATGAAAACCGGATTAGTTAGCACGAATGAGAAACAAATTATTTCTTTTTTCTCTCTCAGTCTCTTGACACACTCAATTGCCCTATTTTAGGAAAACAATGTGAACGGACGGTTTAGGAGGAAAAAAAACTTATGGTGAAAAATGAAATTTCAGTTTTAATCAGACAATTTTGTTCTCTGGTTTTAATTTTTGTTGTTTTCAATTTTGTTAGGAACTTATGATATGGGAGTATACTGTGTATGGGTATAGTTCATACCTTTTAGCTGCGGCAGCGGCTGCAATTCTACATCCTGCGAATTTCTGTACCTGGATGAACCCTGGGACTTTTTACTTTTCTTTTTGAGTGATCGTTTAGCAAATGGGTCGATGCGATCAACAAATGTTCCCGATGCCATATTTTATGCACTGAGATACTTGATAACCATTCAACAGTTCAATTTAATTCAATTTCTGTTGTCCTTGTCTGTTATGCTTGTTTGTGTGTGTTTGTGTTTGTGTTTGTTGTGTCCAGCACTTTATCGAATTATGTTATTTTTTTACAGCGCTTTTTGAGTCTGAGGGATATATATGTGTATATGTTCGCAATTTATGTAAATTGTATTATCGATAAGCTAAACGGTCTGTCGCGCCTTCTTTACGTTTAATTCCTTTATGTTGATTTTGTTTATTTTATTATTATTATTATTTTTTATCTCAATTCGGTTTTAAAAGAATCTGATTAATGAATGCATTTGCTTTTTAGTTTAGTTTTTAACATAAAACTGGGCTGTTTGTGTCTGTTATTAATTTATTTTGGATTTGATTCCCAGGAGAGACGATGTGTGTTAAATGAGTTAAGATCGATTTTTGTTGCTGTTACTGTTGCTGTTGATGTTTGTTGTGGTCGCTTCTTCTTTTCTTTTTTGTTGTAATTATTCTTTTTTTGTTGCCACACACAATAAGATAAGTTGATAAATTATTTAATTAGTACAAAAAAGAATAGTTATGTGTGTGTTGATTTTATTCAATAATTAATAATAAAAATAATATAGTTAAATAACAATAACACTAAAAATGCTTTAAACCTTGCGGATTATGAAACGAATTCCGAAATTTATACACATTACGCGCGCGCGGATGCTATTTCATTTTATTTGTTAACTGTCGCCCATTTGCTAGAAAATCCTTTTTCCTAAAAAAATGAAAATAAAAATGATGAAAATGAGTTACAATTTTGGCATAAAAGAATGCTTGAATAGTGTGTAATGTCACAAAAATTGATTTGCATTATCTAGAGACTAGATGTGAATCTAAGTAGGAAGAGCTTGTTGTGTATAATCGCTTCATTTCGATTTGGACTTTTCGACGCTTATTTTCGACCAGAAAATTGCACGAACAAGTGAGAGTGTCATATTCATGACAAAATACAGAGAAAAAAAGCGAACGACTTAAAATTGAAACAATATACCGAGTTTACAATGCAATTTCAAACCTTCGCGGTTCGGTTGTGGATGTTTCGGTATATATATATATATATACAAGGTTATCGATCATTTTATGGTGTCATTAGACTCATTTCGAGAAAAAAATTCTGCTTCTCTCAATTTCACCTCCGATAAACAGTTGTCATTGCTCGATTCGTGAAAACGCCGAAACGAGTTTGCTCAAACAAACCCAACAGCCAAGAGAGAGAGAGAGAGAGAGAGAGAAAAAAAAATAACAATCGAATGGTATGTGTGTACTTTTTTGTTAATTCGAAACAAAGCAGCAATGACAGAATGAGAGAAGTTCCTTGTTGTGCTAAGATAAATATGAGTCTCAGAAATGTCTGAAAAGCGTTGAAAGTGCGGCCTGACGGCGTTTTTTTCTACACATTATATTTATATATTATTTTTATTTTCATTTTTTTCTGGTTCGCTCGCTGTGAACGCATTGTATGAACAATCATTGACTGACTTAGAATTTTCTTGCGATTGTATGTACGCATACACAAGTCATTCGTTCGTTCGGCTGGTTCGGTATTGACGTAAGAATGACCGTATAATATGATCCACTGACGAAGACGACGACGGCAACGACGATGAAAACGACGACGACAACTAATTAATGAATGACACGAAATTCGATGAAATTGTTTCATTTAAATTTAACAATTAAACTAATAACATTGGCGACAACCAATCACTGCCGATATCATTTCAGTGAACGAAAATATAATCAATTGAATGTTCAAATTAGACGAGCAAAAAGCTAGCTCGCACATATACACTAACATTGGCAAAAAAGTCACATCTTCACATGCATTCAATTCTGGCTGTCTTCATTCTTCTTCTTTTTTCTCTTCGTCTTCCTCTTTTTTATTTGATTTTCTTTTCATTGAACTGTTTGATTTTCGTTTTGATTTCACATCGTTATCGTTTCATTTGATTTTGATTATTTTTTGTTGTTGTTTCAATTCACAGTGGTCTCTAGAGTTGGGTAGAATTGTTGCTAAAATAATATTAAAAAAAAATAATTGCCGTTTGGGATTGATTACCGAAACATGATGAATCTATATATCAAATGTCCAACTTTGTGACGACAAATATCAACTAACTCATCGATTTAAACATATTATTGTGATGATTCGATCGGAAAACGCAACACCAAATATTAAACACTCGAGCTTTTTTACTTCTGATTTACAAAAAAAGAGAACTATTAATAATTGTCATCAATCGTGTGTAATAGAAAAAGAATATGGTGATACAATAGTGTAAATAGCCAAAATGGCGGCCACCCTCCTCAAACGAACGAACGTACTCACATGCACACACAAATACACGTATACACACACACACTAACATCACCACAATCCACATACATACACACACACACACACACATAGTTAGACAAGAGCGCTCGCATACTCACACAGACACGGAATTAAAATAGAATTCGCCTTGGCATTTTTCATTATCAACGTCAAATTCGAATAATCGTCCAAATTCAAAGAGTAAATTGAATGAATTCGTTGATTTTCCAATATCAAAGACATGCGATGTCCGTCACATTTTCGCTCTCACTCAATGAATCAATTCATAATTTTGACGTAAATTAAAATCACTAAACACACAAAGCAAACGATGATGAAAAAAAATCTCTTTGCTATATCTATTTAGCTGCACCTGATGAAAGTTTGACATGACAGATTTTCTACAATGGATTTTCGCGGTGGCTATAAATATAGATGTGAACTTGGCTAAGTATATGTGTTATACTCCATATCATTGTGAATGATTTTATTTTATTTTTTTCGTTCGTTTGTTCGTTCGTTTGCCCGCGATTGTGTGTGCGTGCGCTGGTATGCGTGTGTATGTGAGTGTATTTGCCCAAATGTGGACGAGCCACGGGCGAAGTGTTGAACGATGGGCAAGTGTTGACAAACGTTAGGCCAGTATGGAGAACGGTATATGTCGAATGGTGCACGCATACCATCACCGCGGACCAAGGCTTATTAATATGTTCGAAAAGTTTTTATTTTCATTCGTTTTTTTTTTCTCCTCTCTCTCTGAATTTTACTCTCTTGATATTATCGCTGCTAGCTCATGCAAGTGTCTGCCACTGTCAAATTCATATTTACTGAGTCAGGTCCTCGACAAAAGGCTTGACTCAATGCATTTGATTAGAATCTAACGAATCAAAATTGCGTTTCAATTTTAATTGCATCTTTTGATGTCATGCTATTTGTCAAAATGTTCGGCCGAACATTTTCAAGTGCACTTTAAACGTGATTGTTGTCTTTTAGCTTTTCATAGAATTTTCTTCTTCTTCTTTCTGTCTCTGTTCCTTGGCAAATGATTTTTTCGGGCTTTCATTTGAATTTCGCCAATGAGGATATGTTTACAATATTTAGCAATTGAAATGCGTGAAATCGTCATCGACGGCAACAAAAGTCAAATTCTCTCACGCCCAATTAAGCGAAATACAGTTCAATTGAGAGAAAAAAAAGTATATCTTCATATCTATATCCAAACGCACACAAACATTGCTCAGAGCAAACGGCACGAACGAAATTTCCAACGGAGAGACAGAGAGACTCATGAAAAATACCATAAGAGAGACGACAGAAGAGACAGACAGAGAGCGAACGAGAGAGGGAGAGCGTAAACGATATGGAAAAGAGAGAAAGACATGGCAAAATATTCAGAGAGCAATTGTCGTAGAGTGGACATAAGAGAATGGATCAACTTCATTTGAAACGAAACGAAGAAGAAGAGATAAAAAAAAATACCGACACTATGTCTTGGTGCAAACGCGTTTATATCGAAAAACGATACGTCCAAAGCGGTACACATCGTTCGGTGTTTGGCGTTTATAAATTGGAAAAGACTATGGCACGGACAGAGAGTTGAAGAAACACTTCCTAAACAAGAATACGCGCTGCAAATGGAGTGTGTAAGCCTAATCCAATGTAAGAAAACTAGCTGAAAAAGAAGAGAATAGAAAAAAGTTGTAGATTACACACAGACATTTTACACTTGTGTGTGGTGCAGACGAGGATCGGATGGATTGGAAAAAAAAGAACGAACGAATGAACGAACGAACCGACGAACGAACGAATGAATTTGTAAGACTCTCTCTCCCACACACACTCTTCATCTCACTCACAGCACGTCGCGTTCTCTCTTTCATACTCTGTGTGGATGTAAGTTCCATGGTTTTTCCACACTTTTAACAAAATCGACCAGAAGAACATCTTTCTACACTTACAGCGTATACGCGCACATAGAGCATATATAGCAGATACTATAACACACTTTTTTTGTTTTCTCTCTCTCTCTCTCTCTCTCTGCTCTTCTAGTCCATACTTGTTCTCATAGAAACTCAAATTGCAATCCTGCCCAAAATGATTTTTTAGCATAAAAATTGACGAGAACCACACAAATCCGAAGCCTTATGTCAATTTTATATTTTTTTTTTTTGACGATGAAAATAAATCACTTTGACTCACTGTTTTATCTCACTAAACAATGTCAACGGAATTATACAATCCTTTTTTTAATGCGTTGCGTTACTTCAATTATTCGCATCGACATTTTTTTCCTGATGATTTTTTTTCAAAATTTTCTGTACGCATAAGATGATGACAAATGTCTTATGTGTTAGAATTTTTGCTGGGGATTTTTTGTTTTCCGAAAAATCGAAAAGAAGAAGTGGTAGCGAAAAAAAAAACTTATACTGAACCGAATGACATTTTTTCTTTTCTTTTTGGTGTAGAATCAATGCTTATGACGATTTTTTTTTTCATTTTATATGCACACCTTTTTCACTGTTTCAAATGAATTTTCGAATTCACAATCACATTCAACAAACTTACTTGTAGTTTCTTGTGTAAATCAGTGTATAAATCGCAATCAATTAACAAAACTAAACGAAAAGTCGGCAAAATGTTAACAAAACTATTTTTTCCTAGTGTTTTTGAATTCCACAAATCAAACCGTAAATTATTCACAGGAATCACATACATTCTATAATTAAGAGATTTCAATTCAATACATGAGTAGCGCTCGCAGTGTTGCCGTGTCCATGTATGCGTCGCTATGAGAGAGCTTCACACAGCACAGATGACATGAAAAAAATTTTTTTAGATCGAGAGTAGTTGTGTGTATAACAGAAATTTTTGTGTTATAAATGTTTGGTTTCCGAAAATGCCGCCGCCAGCAACACCTTTTGACACTCAATACTCACTAAGAATAAATGAAAGACGTTTCAAAGACAAAATTCACACAAGTTCACACATAGATAGGCGCACACACACACACACACACCAATGTCAAAAGTCAAAACGGCGCTACTGTACTCTTTTTTGCACTAAATGGCATATCCGTTCGCAAGCTCACGCTGCTACTGTAATAATCAATCGCCTGAAAGAATTCAATTTTGACGGTTATGGAATGAGCAAGAAAACCAAATGCTTTGGCCGATTATGCAAAAAAGTATATTTTTTTCAATTGTTTTTATTTGTTACACTGTATTCCATTTAATCAATATTTGTTTCAAATGTTTCTTCCTTTTTTTTCTTCATCTTCGTATAAATTCTACCGAATTTTGGTATTTACAGATAAAATTTAGTCAAGCAAAAAAAATTAGGACAATAGTTTTCTATTCATGGCCAATTTTCATATCTATTCAGTTTATCACTTGTTGTTATATTATTATTGTTAACAATTCCCTCATGAAAAAAAAAGAAAGAGAAAAAAAACCAAAAGAGAGAATGTGCAAAAGCGTAGACTGAACTATGAATGGTCATTCACAATACAGCGAATCGATTTTTTTTTCAACGCAATGTTTTTCTTCATAAAATTTTCGATTTTCCTTCATTTTTACTAATTTTGATAAACATCTCCGAAAAACACGTGAAATGATCTACATTTTTTTTTTAAATTTCAAAAACTAAAATTTAAATCGTTTTTTGTATCCAATTGTTGTAAAAAGTTCCTAAAAATCAATCGAAAATATAACGTAGATTTTGCCAATTTGTATTTTTTTTTTCATTGTTTCTTGCATAATTTTGTAGTATTTCAGTAGTAAAATATCTATAAAATACCAAGTACTTGTTTATAAATGACGTGGATTCATCACAGTATACATGTTTGTACATTGTGCCAACTATACACTGTAATTTTTATTTTATTGACATTCACAAAAAGTAAGACGTTGTCGTACAGGATTTCGGTCGGTTTTATATGGAAATCGAAGTCGTACTAAGAAAAACCATCAATTAGATTGCCTAAGTACAGCCAAGGATGTGTATGTGTAAGAGATTTTTTTAACGTGTCATGTTAATGCCATGCTGAGAAAGCTCTGGAAATGAGAAAGACGAAATGATTTGTTAGTAAAAAGGTGTCTGTGTGTATGATGAACAATTTTGGTTATTGCAATAGGTCTGAAAAATGGATGTACCTTTTATATATATGAACGAGTATTTTTTGTCAGCGCATTGCGATGATTAAATATTGCCCAATCAAAACGAATTCAGGTGGAAGAAACGCATTTCAAACGGTGTATGTGCGTCTGTTAAGTGACGTTAATTTTCCTTTTGCTTAATCTAATAACAACTTAAATGAAAAGGATCTATCCATTTATGAGTGTTGAGAATGTTCCACATGAATTTAAATGAATTTAATGACAGTTATTTCGGAATAAGACTTCGATTTTCCTATTTATAATCAGCTTATTTTCCACGGCTTTTGCTTCATACTGAGCCACAATGGTCTTTTGTTTTTATTACAAATAATGTACACGATTACTTCTTATGATTCTTCTAAAGGCTCGCCATTTCGAACATGTGTTTTTTTTCGTTCTTTCATCATCTAGAAAATATATAATTGATTTCAACTATGGCTCTTTTATCGTCCTTGGAAATATAGTCGGAAAATGTGTGTTTGTGTGTATGTGTGTGTTGGGGAAATTTGAAGTACATTTGCGATTCAATTCAAACATTTTCCTCCCGCCTCAACGGTCAACACTTCATTTGTCTGACACTCAACCGTACAGTTGCAATTAGAGTGGTTTTGGTAAATTAAATGGCTTATTGTCTAAAAAATTGTTCAATTTATTATTATTTTCAATAGATTGATGCAATTTCAATTAACTGCATTTTCATATTCAATTTTTCTTCAGTTTCAATTTCTGTTCAACATTCGGATGTTATTCAAATTTTAATTCAATTCATTAATACAGTTAGAAACATTCATTTGCATTTATGCCAAATGAATCTCGAGTTTGTAAGCAGTTGTTTGTTTTCTCTTCTTTTTTTCGGTTTTAAATACATATTTGGATATGACCAATGAAATATATACTGTAGCAAATAGACATCGATGGTTTTTCATCGATGCTGTGGCTATAATCTAATGCAGAATATAGATTATGGACAGCATTGTGTTTTTTTAATGATGGTGCGGTTCTTGGTCTTCGTTGAATATCTTCTTGAGATCGTCTTCGTATAGAGCAATTAGCAGCATGATACCAACACCAAAGGCCATTCCAGATACTTGCAGGAAGCATTGAACAATTGCTGAATGCTCATTATGGGCCGTTGTCAGCTCAGGCATCTAAGTACGAATGGAAAAATTATGATGATGACAATCAAAAACAAAAATTTTTACCGAATCAATTCGAAAAATAATTATTTTGTCTTTTACCATATCGACCAGCGCAATGTAAATAAACATTCCAGCTGCACACGCAAAAATCCATGCAGACGCTTCTGGTTTTTCGCCAATATACACGCCTACGATCATGCCCAGAAAACTCAACACCGACGATAAGATATTGTAGTAAGCCGCCTTACGTGCTGACATACCAGCTTTCAGCAGAACGGCAAAATCACCAAGCTCATGGGGCAATTCATGACAGAAGACAGCGATTGCAGTTGAAAATCCACCGGGAATACTGCTGGAAAATGCGGCACCAATTGCCATACCATCGGTGAAATTCTGTGCAAACATAGCGACAAAAGAAAAAAAGAAAATACCAACGAATAAATGTGTGAAATGGGGGAAAAATGCGATTTTTTCTTCTGGACGGAAGAGACACATCGATTTTCAATATTAAATAAATATCAACGATAGTACACTCACATGCAAGCCATCACCCATGACAACCATCCAAGCAACGGCTGACAGTGTTTTTGGTGGCGAATGAACATGGCCGTGCGTATGCGAGTGGCCATGATGTTTTGACTCATGTTCACGCAGAATTATCGTATAATTTTCGGGTGTTAATGTTTTTTTGGGTTCACATCCGCATGTATCGAGTGATGTATCGTCCAAATTAGTGAGAATTGTGTTATTATCCGGTGTTTGAACGTCATCTTTTTCGTTGGTACGATAGTAAGCATCGTTAGCATTGATATTGTTGTGATTTCGTGAATTCAATAGGCTTTGTGCGGTGTCTGAATAGTCGTTAGCGCGATCGTTTAACGATTTGGCGCACAGTTTCTCCTTTGGTGGTGATGTCGATGATGCCTTCAATCCGTTCTCCTTAGCCGCACCATGGCTGCTGCCGTGCTGATGGTGCTGGTGTATATTATCTTTGGTGTCAAGTGCAATTTCATCATAACAGTATGGATAGCTAGAATACTTGTGTTTGCATTGTTTTTCACCGTTCAACGAATGGTTCACTGAAATCGAATCGGGGTCGCGCATAACACGCACACGTGCCGGTGGATCGTCTCGTTTTTGGATTCGCTTACGCCATTCGGCAACCATTGCCAAGATTCGTTCCGTCACAAAGAAGAAAATTATGCCAAGTGACGCAACCAGACCTTTGTATGTCATGCTTTTGTGTTGGTCTTCGCCCGCAGCAAATGTAATCATTGCATGCGGTAGCAAATGCAAGAGTGCATCGCCGGCCAGCGTTCCAATGGCAAGTGCAACAAAAAACTGCAAAATGTGGTGGTAGTAACGCTTTTCCATGCATGGAATCACAGCAACACCAATCAAACCGCACAAACTGGCCACAATGATCGACAACGACGCATAAATCCACACTGTCAATGAGAAAATCGAAAAGAATTTTTAAATTTATTGATCGTACGAAGCAATAGAAACAAATCACATTTGAATATTCGAAACATGTGTGTTTCAGTGAAGATGAACCAATTACAGTGTGACAAACGACGCATTCCGAATGAGCGGCTCAAGTGTCTGATGGTATGTATTTTTGATTAAGGTGCACATTGGTCATTCGCATCACGTCAAAATCGAATTTTTCATTAAATTTAGAATGCCAAGGAACTAGCAACCAAAAATCGTTACCGCTTGCATACTCAAAGAGGAGAACAAACACACATTTGACGCTATGTGTGTGTTTTTTACTTGCCGTTTTTATATCTAACTCTCACTTACCCATTTGTCGGTCGGTTTCGAGATGGTCATCATCGTGGTGATGCAGTTCGCTTGACAACAACGGCATCGTTACACATCCGGAATGGTCCGATTGATTCGGCACGGCCAATTGATAGAGTAGAATTGGACAAAGTGACCATAAATCATTTTTGCCTAATTTTATTTGTTCCTTAATTGATTTAATTGCCTCGATTGATGTTTTGTTATCGGTTGTGTCGGTCGGTTTACTATTCAATTCATTTGATGGTTTTGATTGACCTCTGATTTCGTTAATAATTTTTTCGTACTTTTTGATGTTTTGATTGTTGTCGGCATTTTGTGTTGAACCAACTTGTGAGACTAAAGACACGCTTGATATGCACTGCTTTCAATAGCCGATGCCAATAAATGAGAATAAAACAGAGAGAAAAAAAAATAAATAACAAAAGATCATCATCATGTTGCATGAGAAACAATAAAATTCCATTTCTTTTCTTCTTTTTCTTTAAATTGGATTTTAAATTGAGAGTGCGTATGTGTCACTTACCGTTTCATTGGAATGCGCTGAATGTTGTTGTGACTGCTGCTGCAATTGATTATCTTCGATGAAACGGTCCAGTTTCAATGTTTTCATCATTTCTTCAAATTGAATGAGATTCATCGTTTCACCATTTGTAAAATTGTTGAATAATTTTTCTATGAATGTATTCGTGATTGGATTCATTTCGACGCGATTTTCGGCGGTATTCGTGTGACTGTGGCCGGCATGCCGTTTAGTCCGATGCACTAAATCATTTTCATAATGGCTACTTTCTATAGGATTCACTTCATATTCTAAAACACTAGACGGTTGACCTTGGTGTTGCCTATGCATTTCCATAGGAACTGATTCACTCGATTTATGCCCTAAATCTTTTCTACCCATTTGCGCCCATGCCAAGTGTACGCAGGCCGTGCATACACAGATAATAATTAAGAACCGGTTAGCCATCGTGTTGCCGTCTGTTTGTTTTTTGTCGCTGCTACTTTTGCTTTCTATTTATTGTTGACAACCGAAGAAAATCAAAACTACAACGATCTGCCGATTTTTCAATTAAAATTGAAATTATTTTGGATTTTTGACGTTTTATTTTTCTTTGATTGCAATTATTCAATTAATGTTTGGTGCCCGTCTGCGTTTGTGGGGAGAAAAATCTCGTGGTTCTCGTTCAATTTCTGATTATGAAATAAAATCAATTCTCTGCGCCAGTACACACCTGAAACAATAGAGAGAGAGAGAGAAAGATAGAGAGAGAGAGAGAGAGAGAGAGAGAGAGAGAGAGAAAAAAAACATGAAATGGATGATAAAAACCACGAAAATCAATTAAGACTAAACAAGCGACAAAAAGAAAAGGAAAACTAAAAACCAAACAAATAATGTAAGAATTGAATTAAATCGCATTTCGCGATAAAACCGTTTTATGATGCGGAACCGGAATAAAAGCCAAATTTTACGCTCGATAGAAATTAATCGAATAATGCGATTGCTTCGCCGTAATTTGTCGAATGCAACAAGATTTTGCATATTCAAACCATAAATACCCGATAGATTTCTGCTTAGGTCGTTTATGATTGAACATAATGAAGACGAAACGAAAGAAAATCGATGAAGGCCAAACAAATTCCATGTGATTTGAGTTTGAACAACGAGCAAAGTTTGAACGGATTTTGGACGGTGAACATGTAACTACAAATAAATTGTGACGATAGATTGTAGGTTGCAGCTCGCACGACCAACAAGAAAAACTATCGAACAATATTCAAATCGAAAATCCGTAATCCAAAACCCACACACACACACATGTAGAGAAAGAGAGAGAGAGAAAGAGAGAGAGAGAGAACTTGGTAAAAATTTCGCAAAATTTGAGTTTACGTGCGCACTAACAGAGAATCGTATAATGAATTCAATATAAACGAAACAAATGATTATCTATTAAAATCGCGTGAATCGCGATTGTTCTGTACGTCGGAATTTCTAACTCTTTTGTGTGCACGCGGCAAAAGAGTAAAAACAGAATGCTGCTGCCACTGCAATAAAATCAGTTCCATCAGATACCATTTGCTCGACCAAATAAAACCAAACGAAACCAACTCAGCGGCATTAATACAACTGCTCATGAAATGTGCTCAATTCAAGAAAAAAATCGAAATCGAAAGTATGATTACTTTACGTTGGTACACACAATGTGTTTTCTATACCAGCTCAACAGCGTTGTTTGCACAAAGTGAATGCGATGCACAAACAGTACGGTTCGCGTACTTCTTGACCGATTGAAAGTAAAAGGCGAACTAAATTTTTCGTCGAACCAAATTCAAGCAGCAAGTCAACACTTTTTAACGCGAGCACACATAAATTAACACACGCATGCGAAGTGCGTCAGGCGCTGTGCTGCACGCCAATTTTTCTGATTCACCCAGTGTTAATTCGTTGATTCACCTGCTTATTCCGTTGAATTGCTGGTGTTCATTTCTGGGTGATTATCAATTTTGCTTACACATTCCTTCTGTTTCCATAGAGTGCGCGCATGAATGCAAGATGAAGTTTTGAAAAATTTATATTGTGTTTCGTTTATCTTGCAACATATAACGATAATGTGACACATGATATCGTCGGCATAAGCAAAAATTCATGCTATGAACGTCTGTGTCGACGTATTTTTTTCATTTCTTTTTTCAATCGAGTGTTCGCTTATTTCGTGTTTACTGTAACTCAAATGTTTTTTTTTTCAAGCGTAGAAAAAACGAATATAATTCAAATCACACACACAAATTGTTCAGCCAAACCGAAAATGTTATAATTCAATTTATAACTATGTCAAAGTTGGTTCATTTGCGATAACACAAGAAATGACGTTGATGTGTAATAGGAATGGAGTATCTTTTAATTTGACGCAATCATATATATGTGTATTTATTTTATAGCGCCAACCCACAGTAAATCGGATGTCCAGCGAAGACATCAAGATTCATAATGGATTTAATGCTGTTTTATATCTCATTCTTTTGTTTAGTTAAATCACATTATAGTGGCTAATCAACGTAATTAATTTGAACGAAGTCTGTCGCGCAGGAGCGCGCACACCCGTCATTGAAACGAATTTCATTGATGGCGAACAAAGAAACTTAATCACTCAAATTGAAAACAAAATTCATCCCGCTCGAGTTAATGTAGGTGTTGATGTACTTTTATTCACATTATTGAATTGATTATCGCTTTGTAAAATCAATGAACCGGTAGCTTATTTTTCCACTCTCACCAGTTACTTTCTCAATGAATGTCTCTCGCACTGAAAACACATGTCCACAGATACTGAACACTTTGCGGGTGTATATATTACATTTCTTTTTTTCTGATTTAATTCTATTTTTCTTTTTTCTTTTCAAAATAGGTCAATTCAACGGAATCGGCGAAACGTGCACACACATTGAATACTGAGCGAATGAACGAGGTAGAGAAAGTGAGACAAAAACCACACTTGGAACTTAGTAATTGAAATCTATTTTCAAAATGATTTTGAAAGAATCAATGTGGAAAGCGTTGACGATTATATATCAAACTAAGATTTTCGATGCGGAATATCTGTCTCTTTTCCGAACATAAAAGATAATCGCTAATTTTAGAAAATCCAACCGTTGTTGCCTGAATGAGAGAAATGTTGAAAGCGACAGTCGCAGCAGGAACAACAAATGCAACAACAACACGTTTTCAAAGAGAGAGACACACACCACCAACTAGATGGAAAAGAAAATCTCTTTGGAATGGATGAATTCGGATATTCAGGACACACCGCCTTCCGTCACAACTGCATCTCAACGACTGTGCCGAACGGCCGATAATCGTCCCCTTTATTAGTGCTTATTATTGATCAATTAGTATCGGTTGCTGTTGTGCTATGTGCATGGTGTCACAATACGCTCGATTAGCCTCCGATAAAATTCCGTATGCTCCGGGAAAACAAAAAACAACCATTTTCCAAAACATGCTTAATAATTTAATAAGGAATACTAGGTGAAAATCTCTTCGATATTCTACGAACAAACAAAAAAAGTTTGCGTTTGTTTGATTGATTGATTAATTGTGTGTGTGTTTTTTTTCTCCATAAATTCCTTCAATCGTATCAAATCTGCTATTCCAAATAGTCGATCAATATGAAAAAGAACCAAACAATATAAAAACAATGATTCTTACCACAACTTTCGAACTGACAAGATAATTCACAACCAAATGAATGAATGGAAATGTATGCCCCGTCCAAAATCATTCTTGAAGAAACGAAAACTCTGATTTTGGAACGTTTTAAAGTGAAGCGCTAACAGAAGAGAGAGAAAAACACACACACACACAATTACCACATGAAGATTACTCAGGAATTCTAAGCAGGCTCGTCTTCGACTTAGCAAAATATAGTGAATGAGCGTACGTACGTGCGCGCACCCGTTTGCCCACTAGTTCCAATGTTAAACTGTGTGATTTACGTTCCGAATTTTGCAATCATCGACGAAGTCAGCCGACGAATTCAGTTGAAAATCACATGTAAATGATACTCTGGATATGTTGTCTGGCTTTCTTTGTGCACTGATTTCTGCATGGCAAACGCACGTTTACAATTGGAATTTCGCGCAAAACAACACACAACGTTTTGGGCCGCCGTTGAAATTCAACTCGCAAAAATGGACGGAACACAAAGTCAAACACTTAATAAATACCGTGCACCAGGTTTTGCTTAAGAAACACACCGACTTAATTGAAATGCTATCTGAGAATCAAGACCGTTAAATGTTTTCTTCACAAAGAGAAGTCGTACATTTCAATGAGATTAAATAAGGAAAAATTGAGCTATATATTTGTTGGGCTGAAATATGTTCATCTCTTTCGGATTGTATTGTTTTCGAATTTGATATCAACAACGTGTGCAGAACCCTGCTGTTTCGTACAAATCACATAAACAGAGTGTGCGAGAGGGCGAGCCTCTGTCGCAGACTCATTATCTGACCAAAAGGTATTCAATTGAAAGAAACGAAAAGTTTTGTGTTCGCTTTGAATAATTGATTTAACAAAACAAAAATCCGAAACCAATAAATTTAGTTTGCGGTAGTTTTTACATGTTCCTACTCCCAAGATGCCAGTAAACGTGTTAGGAGCAAGAAGTGTGGTTTTGAGAAGAAAAAAACAATCATCAAATTCACCGATTGGTTTCCGCATCAATTTCAGCTGATCGCACAGTCGTCGCTTGTGCTTCGCATCTTAAAATGTAATTTCGATGCTATAATTGGAACCACTTGTTCGTGCATTCTAGCAAATTGTGCAATATCATGTGGCATTTTGAACGAACATTGTGCACATAGCTCAAATAAATGGAACAAGTTTATGTTTTGAGCAAATATTTATCGAATATGGCAATTTCTAGTGAGCATATTTCCAATAAATATTCTCTGCATCGCACAAAAGCGCATCAAACCAATTGAAATTGCAATGCAATATTGATTGCAGGTAAGATCCGGAGAATGTCATTTATACAAACAATTTAGAACAAATGCAATTCGAATGAATGATTGATGCAAATCAATTTGCTATTTGCTTGCCGTCGCTTTTTTTTCTCTCTCTTTCGAATTTTATTATTCGTTCGTAACTGTTTAGTTGCGACATGTTAGCTGGTTATATGAATGATTTTGTGAGTGCAAATGCACTCGTTCCCTTATTGTATATATGTGTCTCTCACATGATAACAATAGAACGCGTTATAAAAACATTCTTTTGTGAAAAACTGCTAGCAGCATCGTGTTCTGTGTCGCGCGGATATTTACAATGTTGCAAAAATGAAATTGTTTCCTCTGCTGCCATTCTCCTTCACGTGTCCCGAGAGTGCGGGATAAATGGAATGCAATGTCAAAATCAGCGCATTTCACACTCGTTTGGCGAATTCCATGCAAAATTTCACCACAAATTAAACTTTAATTTCCTACGGAATGTGTGACTTTGAGGTGAACATTATTGTTCAACACCCAACCACTGTATACTGCACATAAAATATTCTGACTTCAAGGGAAAATTTATTAAATTATTCCATTGATTATGACCGCAGAGCAAATTCATTGGAATGGCATCAAAATTGATTGCACTGGGTAAAAATGATGTACAAAAAATGTAAATATGAAACGAATGACCATACCTGGATGGAAGCGCTAACATGCGTACACAATTAATCGCTAAACGCTGCAATAAACAAAGTAATCACCGGCAATTCAGTCATGAAAATTGGTGAGCAATGAACTACAAATTGTAATTACAGGTGCAGTTTTTAATTTTTTGTTCGTTCATTTGGAAGAAACAAAACACAGACACCCACATATATACACACACACACACACACATCACACCACACAGTCGTCAACCTACGAAAAAGGAAATTTTTTTTCGTTCGATTTCAATATTTCGAATCGATCAAAATATTACGTTTATGCACAACCAACAATTGGACTTGTAATCACACTGAACATTCGCTTTGATGTGCGAGGAGAAAACTAATGCGCGCTGGAAAAACTTGCAAATTAAATTCAAACTAAAAAGAAGTAATTAATTTCCAAACAAAAATATGATAAATGAAATATTGGAATGATGATTGCGAATTCGTTTGCGTACGCAATACAGTTCAGATAATAGCTGGCAATTTTTTCCCCTTTTTTCACTCAGTCAGTCGAACAAAATGCAAAATGCACATGCACACAATATTATACTATGAAATTAATGGGTGAACGCAAAAAGCACACAACAAACAAACGAAATGAACAAAACGAATTTGAAAAAAAAATATCAAGAAGAATGCATTGAAATGCAGGCGTAAAAGATGATTACAGACAACACACAATTGAAAATAATCACATTTTTCATGAATACGAAATTAGTACCGAGACACGAGAAACACAAAAGGACAGAATTCAGCGTGTGCACAATAACCTCATCCAGAACCCGACTCAATACGATTTCCGATGTGATAAAAGGTTTGATGTAATTTGTCACACAAAATTAGCTCGAAAAATCGGTTGGAATGCGAAAAATGAAGTAGGAAATGCAATCTATTCGTGGCATAACTCATTCAGTATTTAATGAAACTATTTCAATAAATGTGGGGCGAAATCAATTGATTCTTTTTTTCATTTCGATTTAAATTTCAATTTTCCGACACATGCAAAATATGGTATAATAATATCAAATGAACGTACACAATAGTTTATCAATTTCACTTTGTGTTGCTTTTTTGTTCGGTTATTATTTTTTTTTTTTTTTCAAATTCAACATCAGTTCTTCATGATGTGAAAAACATCTGTGTGAAGCAACAAATTCGTCAATTGTGTCTAGAAATGTGGTCTCACCTCTCTCTATCCCTCAGTCGCTTTGTCTCTCTCTCATAAAGCCAGCAAGTATCGACAAGAAAAAGGTTGTTGTTCTCGCTTTCGATATTCTTGGCGGCAACGAAGCCCAACACTGTCTTCTTACACACACACACACACACACACACTTGGACGCCGTTCCGTGTATATTGTCTTGTTGTTTCAAGAACCGATTTTCAAGACCGTGACTCTTGCCTTCGTTTCCACCACCTGGTTTTCCTTGCTTCGATGCAAAATAATATACGCTCTTTTACTCCTACCGTACCAAGTGCATAGACACCATTCAATTCCGATGTCAATTTTCTGTTGACATTGCACCACAGGAACTTTTCCGCTTTGAACTCTCACTTATTTAATTTAATTGTCTACAGTAAATGCATCATATACGCCGCTGTACACACATTTTAATTTTTCTCGTCAACACCCCGCAAACTCCTATGGTTTTACACACACAATTTTTTTTAATGGTAAACTCATATTTCGCCTACTCAGTAGGTAGTTTCGATGCGATTTGCCTTTTATGCGTTATCGCAATTTATTAAACACAATCCGACAAATCGTTCGATCGGATGTTTTGTTGCAATCGGTGTGAATTCAGAATATTTAGTTTCCGACAAATACGTATAAATTCGGTGGAAATGTGTAAAAATAGCAAACGAACGTCAAAATACGCTAATATCAATGTAGTTCTTTCATTTGAATCAACACTTGCGAATGCATGCGTTCTTTTCTCAGCCAATGTGATGTAACCTCAACATTTGTTTTGACATTATTTTTTTTTTCTCACTTTCGATTGCCAATCAAAGATGGCGGTAGGTGAGTTTGACTGCATATATTAAATTGGCATATAGTATCAGACATGACCAAACTCAACTCAATATACGTTTTTAAAAGTAAATTATTTGCGGAAATATTGCAATCATGTATTTTAATTTCATTTCAGACGAATCAAAATTAGATGAGAAAAATAATTTTTTTAAATTTAGTTGATCGGATTGAACGTACTCAGAGCAAAATACTCTAGTACAATTCTTATCTTACTGTTATTTTTTTACCACCGAAAATATTTTACAATTTGGTAAACAAACATTTGTTTGGAAGATTGTCTAATTTTGAATGCTATTTGAATCGATTACCAATTAGAAAATACACACTCTTTGAAAAAAAATAATTCTGAAAAAGTGCAAATCTAATTATGTTTTTTCAACTTTAAGAAGAATGGCATTAAATAGAATCTTCGCTCTTTCGCAATGGTAACTAAAATGAAATAATGCATCAGCACCTTATGAGATTTATTAGGGAAGATTAGTTCAAATTATCTACAATGAGCATAGAAATTTGGTGTCCATTGTGCCCACCATGGATTGGTAAAATATCACGTCTCATTTCGATCGACTCTTCAACGATCGTTTCAAAAGTATCAAGGCGCAAATTTCCAATGTAGTTGCGCTAAATTGAATAGATCAGAAGGAGAATAGAAGAACAGCAATCGAATTGAGTAAAAGCCAAACATGGTGTCGTTGTCGTATACTCAATGCATTACACATTGGAAAAATGTAATTTAAGTCACCATTTTGTTGGGATCTTCGAATTAATATCGCATGGTAAGGATTTACAATTGTAAACCAAAATGAAATTTCGTTTTTTATTTCCATTTACAATTTACATACACACAAAAACATAAATCTATCCAATCTATCTACCTAAATGTAATTTATTCATCATAAATCTAATTTAGTGGCCCATTCATTTTGGCACTCTCTTGTCGGATCGCATTTATTAGTTCGACATTTATCATAAAGACAACACGAAGTCCCGCAATCTAGAAATCAACGAATTTTTATCCGAATTAAAATCATGTATAACATTTGATATTCTTTAATTTTTCTTCAATTATAAAGACTGCCTTACCTCGATTGTACAGTTGTTGTTCAGTTTGGTTTTGTTACCATGAAGCAATGGCACACCGTCGATGAAAAGCGGCCGTTTACCTTCATTCGTAATGAAGAAATCACCGTTGCTTCGCAATTTGATGGTGCCTTGTCGGCGTGATACTTTATGAGCAGGCCCTTCCAATAACAAATCGACGTCAACATGGTCATGATCCGACTTTCGACCCAATGTAATCTGATTTAAACATGAAATTGATGAATCGGTAGTTCGTTGAATCATTTACAAATTAATTAACAAATCATTTTGATTTAAAACGGAAATTCACCTCTCTCGATCGCATCAAATATCGGACGAGGCGGCCACGCAGAACGGCCAGTGTGATGTTATCAAATTCGGGATGAATTCCAATTCCAGTGATTGAATCAACCAGTACCGTCCATCTCGGCAATTCGTTTTCCAAATGGCGGATTTCCTTTTTACACTTGCGATCGGCCAATGCCAGTTCCAATTCGAGCGCTTCATCTCGAGCATCGGCCAAATCGGCATCGTTGAGTTTATCCTCTTGATCGGAGAAATTGATGTTTGGATCGCCGTCCGGCAATGTTGAAAATGACAATGGATTCTTGTTCGTTATGATTTGTTGGTCGGGCAACAGCATGTACTGTTTCATCATATTCCAATGGTTAAAGAGTGCCTTTGCCGTTCGAGCTGGATAAAATGAGTGTGCATTTTTGTCGAGCAACGTTTGAAATGTATCCAGTGTCGGAGCGTCCGTCTGTAAAACAATACAATTTCCATTAGAAACATATTCGATTTGAAAACAATATGTAAGTAACACATACACTCTTAACGGTGCCGAGTAATTCTTCTTCTTGAGCTGTATAGAGTGCTTTGGCGTGCACACTTTCCACTACTTCTGGGTGTAAGTTGCGCATCGCCGCAACAGCAATACGCGAAATTGCTTCATCGTAGAGCAGAGAATACCATCGATTCTGCATTTCTTGCATGGTAAATTTACATGAAAATTTAACACCTTGATGCACCATACGCAGGTCATTTGTCTGTTGAATGCCAATAATCAATGATAAATCATCGATCGGTTTCCAACGTCCCAAATCTTTGGTTGTGATTTGTTGGCCGGGCCTGTGTTTTTTGCTTTTCTTTGAATTCGTGATCGATTTGACCGATCGACGTTTTTCGGGCACTAAAAATATACAGACAAAATGATCAAATTCCAGTTATTTCATCAACACATAAATAAATTGCATCATACATTTACCTAATGCCGGTGATGCAACAGCCACAGGGGCTGGTGTTGTCGGTTGAATGGAAGGTGTTTGTGGAATCATTGGTGTTGAGTTGACGGCTGGTGGTGTAACGGGTGTATTATTTACAATCGCTTGCTGTGTGAGTGAAACGTTGTTCTGAAGCACAGGTTCGTTTTTGACTGGTTCACAGATTGGCGGTTCGGCACTCACTGTTGTTATTGTTACTGCTGCTACTGATGCTGCTGGTGGTGGTGTTGTTGTTGTTGCTGTTATTACTGTTGCTATTGTTGTTGTGGTTTGTGGTGTTGTTGGCACAACAGGCGTTACTGGTTCGGGTGTTTTCAATGCTTGCGGTGATGATGTGGTTGTTGTGGTTGTTGATGGAGGCGTACTTGTGGTCGATGTATTTGCAGCTGATGCCACCGATTGCCTTCGTGAACGGCCAATTCGATTTACTTGTGCTGACGGTACACCAATACTATACTGAACTATTTCATCGTCGAAACGTTTCCTTTTTATCGATCGCTGTGAACTGCACGCAATTCATTGAATCAAGCAACAGAAAAATCAACGAAAATAAAAACAGAAACTATTAAATTACGAACTTATTCAGGAAAAAGGTTAAAAATGACAATATGACTTGTGTATTCTGTGAATGCTACCATACCTTCGACGCTTCTGATCGTTTGATGTATCGATTGTGGTCGTCGATGGTGATAATTCGACAGAAGCATCTGGTTTCGCCGGACTTGGATGGTCCATATTATGAAACAAAATATTTCTATTTTGTGGGCAAAACACACTCAATCCATAAAACCAAAGAAACCAATGAAAAGAGAGAGGAAGAGAGAAAAAAAACAATGCGCTTACGAAAAAAATTTGATATGAAGTTTTGATGCGTAAACTATGTTGAAGTAATGCAATCCAATATGGCGTCAAATGCCAAACGATGGATGCGTTTCATTCTCAGCGTTTATTCTATTTTAAATTTTGGTGCAGGATTCTAACTATTTTGTTCTATTCAATGATCCAACACAACGTGAATGTGAATAATATTTAAAAATTCATGCGAATTAAAAGAAAAACTCATTGTATAAATTTTAATATTATTTCAATGAAAAAAAAAAAAAAACAGTTTGTATAGTCGACTCTCGTACAACACTAATTGATTGAGGTAAATAATGGGATTGAACTGGTCCGTTGGTTGGATTTGACATTTGAAAATAAAAGGATATTAATAAATGGATTTTCTATGTGAAAATCAGTCTCGGTGTGCAAACGTATCATAATGTTTTGATACCAAATCACCAAAACTACTTTGAATTTATTTTTGGTTAATACAAAAATGAGGTGAGTGTGAGAATAGTTTGACTAATTGCGCTTCAATTGCCAACCCGTATGATAGGTTGGGAGAAGAATCGAAAGAAATAACTGTGATTTTTGAAAATCTATGTATTTGCAGTCAAAACATTGATGATAGCCCAAACTCAGATAACAATATAATGGACATATCAGAACAAACAACAATATCTCAGGAATCGTTTGGTTTATCGCCAGAAACGGAACTAAAAACCAACTCGACGACTGCATCGGATTCAATCGGCTTCATGGGCAGCGATGCCACATCGAAATCAATTGGCAGCGTAAATAAAATTACATCGACGAAGACGAAGACGAAGACGACGACGACGACAACAACAACAGTTACAGAACGTAAAATGGCTACAATAAACTCGTCACTAAGTAATGCAACATCGCGTACATCGAATAGAAACTACTCCAATTCTGATCAGCATGACAATAAATTTGATGATAGTTCCTTAGACAATCGCATACTAGTCAACAAAAATACCCATACGAATTCAACAAAGCAACGGATTGGTATGACATTGGTCGACATGCATCCGCTGATGATGGTGAAAAGCGATGAGGATGACGATTTGTCACCCGATTCATCCACCACATTCGATGGTGTGTGCAATCCGGAATCCGAATTCGCTAATACGGAAAGTGAATCACCAATGCATGTGTCACCCACGCAACGCTACGGCACATTGTGTTTGCCCAAAGTTAAAGAACTGAGCGACAAATCGTATTTGAGCAGTGGCGAATCTGAGCCAGATATTTCACAATATCAGGCATCAGTCGAACCGACATTCCAGTCAGTGTCGTTGATGAACTATAACGGCGGCAAACTAGCTACCGCTCCGAAAGTGAGCGGCCTACGAAAAATTCTGTTGACCGAAGAATTAATGTCAACCAAAGAGGACGATTCATCCGTTGAGACAATATCGAATAATAGTTTCGATGATGACATTGAAGACGAGGATGGTTTAAGTTTTAAGGAAACCAAAAGCAATAGGCAACCAGCATCGAATCATGAAGCGGTTTTAACTAGTGTAAGTGCAACGATAGCCAATGAAAATGGAGCAAAGGTGCAGCAAATGTCTGGCGTGGCGGTCACATTACCAAACGGCCAAACCAGAGATATTGATATGAAAGTGATCGAACCATACAAACGATGTTTATCACATGGTGGTTACATTAAGTCACCCGGCCACAATGCCATCGTCATATTTAGCGCATGCTTTTTACCAGATCGATCGAGAGCTGACTACCATTATGTGATGGAAAATCTGTTTCTGTAAGTGTGTTTTTTTTTCTGTTCATCAATCAGAATAATCAATTGGTGCATCCAACTAAACTGTAATTTAATTCTCTTTCGTTCGATTGTTCAGGTATGTCATCAAAACATTGGACCAGTTTGTAACCGAAGATTATATACTGATCTATCTGCATGGTGGATCAAATCACACGGTGCCACCGTTACCATGGCTCAAAAAGTGCTACCACCTATTGGACCGGAGGATCAGGAAAAAATTGAAAAATTTGTACATGGTTCACCCGACATTTTGGCTAAAATCGGTGGTTTGGATGGCACGGCCCTTCATTAGCTCGAAATTTTGGCGCAAACTAGTCTATATACGAACACTCGATGATCTCTATCAAATAATACCAGTAGAAAAAGCAGCCGTCCCGGAAAAAGTTAAAATATACGATCGAAAACATTCATAAATGCCCGATTGCATCGAGGGACACTTAATTCCACACACACACACCCTCACACACACCCTCACACACACCCTCACACACACCCTCACACACACCCTCACACTTAGACTAGTGATATGATTTTTCTGTATAGTAAATTTGTAATGTTGTGTTATGAACAAAAACCAAAAAAAATTGCACCACGATTTGTGAAATACGTGTGCGTACTTACACCGGATAGGAAGAATGAAACCGAAAAAAAATACTCGCCTTGTAACCATCACACATCACCCAAGCTATTGTACCAATTTGATCTCGTTTATTAAGTGTTATTTAAAGCAAGGAAAACCAAGGGAATATGAAACATTCCACATGCAATCATTCCGACAGTATTTTTGTGGTCAATAGCCAGTAGCATACTGAGAGCATTGAACTATAATTGAGTCTCGTTGATCAATGCCATTGCCACACCATTCTAGTTGATATTTTGATGCAATAATATTTATTTTCCCATCTTGTATATATTTATTTATCCCGTTTTGTGTGATTCACTAATGTAATTGGAATAGTATTTGTAAATAAACGTAGTAAAAAAGCAGATTGAACCAAAACAAAAAAAAAACTTCACATATATGTAAGTTTTTGTTTTTCAAGAAAGCAGCGAAACAATTTTCATCACTTTTAAAGAAAATTAAAACGAAAGAAAATGAAATATGATATACCAAACAGAAAAAATAAGAACATATATATGAATATAGTGCAATGCCCAGATTTTCCATGTATGCATTTGAAATGTGAACAGAAATCAAGAATAATACAAACATGTGTTTTAAGATTGCTGAGCATCTCAGCATTTCGTAAGGCACGGATATATCCGAGCATATCGACGACGCATACTGTATAATACAGTGGCGTGTGTTTTTACGTGCAGCCGCAACGATATGCGTCGTCGATATACTCGGATATATCCGTGCCTTACGAAATGCTGAGATGCTCAGCAATCTTAAAACACATGTTTGGAATAATACTAGTAAAAAAAAATCCACGTTAATTTGTCCTTCCAACCAAACAAATGATCCAAACGGTCAAAAATATGATTATATCTGTTTCCCCTCTTATTGAATATCGCAGACAAAAATTGTACTCAACATAGAAACAACAACAAAGATCTCTCTTTATTTAAACATATGCGCAAAGTACCTCTACTCTCTAAGTAAACCAAAAGAAAAAGCGAACCAAAAAAAAATGAAGCTTTGCATACAAATTACCATCTAATCTTATTTTTTGAATTATTTTGTTGCAAACAACAGTTACCAGAAACAAAACAAAAAACCAACAACAAAAATTGTATCAAATCTGAAAGATGATGATTGTTTATGTGTGTTGTTTACTCTTTTCATAACTGAGGAAAAAAAACAATGATGAAAACAAAAACCGATGAAAAAAATCAAAATGATAACTGAAATGAAGCTAGGCTAAATAGACAAAATACGAACAATATTTTCCAGTGTTTCTTTTTTTTCAAGTTTTTAATTTATTTTCTTTCAAATCATAACAATGATAAATCAAATAGTTGGAAATTTATTTCGATCTTAGCGCGAATGATACAGTTTTTTTTTCTTCATATTTTTCAGCAATGGGGCTGCAATTGACGACACCGTTTCATGATTATTTGGTCGTCGCACAGCCAACGCAAGTGTGTAGTGTTTCATGAATGAATATATCACAATCCATGCAGAAATATTGCTGACATTTTTGACATCGGTATATCGTTTTATCGGCTGCACTATCGGTGAAGATCTTCTGACACGCATAACATTTATCAGTTTGCTGCTTGAACGGACATTCAATGAAATTTCCAATGGGAAACAGATGATGATACGATCGTGCCAAATGTGGTGCCGAAACCAATGTCAAGCCACACGACAAACACTCCAGCGGCAATTCACAATATTTGCTAGCACATTGCGGACAATTGAAACCGCCGGTGGACAATTTACTCGGTTCATCCGTATTATCAATGTGACACATGCACATTGTTAACGGTGGATCTTTGCCTTCTTCGTGCTGTACATGCGGAAAGCCCATTTTGATGAGTGAATTTTCTTGTGTGCGATTTGCTAACGGTGGATCAATGTGTTGCATCAATTGATCACGATAGTGTGCGCCGTCCAAGACAGCGGCATACGAGCCTGGAATTCAGAAAGAAAGTGAATTGAAAACAAACCGAAATCAATGGTCCGAACAATAAAGGATCAACGTATTACAAATATTTTGTTTTTGTTTGCCACTTACCATTTGTTTGTTCGGTCAAATAGCGGCACACATGTATTTCGGCCGATAAACTCACCAACGAGCATCGTATGCCATCCTTTTTCAGATTGTCTATTGTAACTAGAATATCGGTGGGATCGCATGTCGTTAAACTACTCATAATCACAACGATTTCACGGCTCGCGTGTGATGGCAACATTTTCAATGATTGTCGAGCTAAATCTAATCCATTTTGTAGCGATGGTTCACCTTGATTCACATTCATCTCTTTCAATGACCGAACATGTTTTCGAGCGCTTCCAGATAATTCTGACAATTTTTCGGCACGTTTATCTTTCATCACAATGATTCCCAGCTGACAAATTGGATTTTGATCGAAAAATTCTTCAATAAAAATTTCCAGCAACTGAAATTAGATTGGATTTTCATTAGCATATTAGAATTTTTTTTAAATTTCTCCATTGGCTATTGAATTTGTATCATATTGTCAACAGTTCTTCTACCTTAACTGTACAGAGCATTCGTGTTGGCTTTAAATCGGGTAAACTCATCGAATCGGAACAGTCAATAACTAGATAAACATGACGCATCATGCCAAGTCGTCGATGTCCCCGTTTCTTCAGCTGACGTTTCCGTTTAGCCTTCTGTATGATTTCGATGATGGCGCTTTCAACCAAACCCTCTTCATCTTCTTTGATCGATTCCCTGGAAGAAAAAAAACAACAACATCATCGTTAGCAATTACAGTCAACAAAAAATCATCATTAATTTTTACTCACCATGTTCGTTCATAGCCGGTTTCCCAGCGATATTCCTTTGGATCTTCTTCATCTGCCATGTTCAATAAATTGTTTGGATTTACCGGTCAAATATTTGTACGAAAATAAACCGGATGCCGTCTTAGACACTAAGCTTCTGTGTTCAGTGTGTTGCTTCATGCAAAACACATTGCATACTAAACGATGAACAAACATTTGTGCATTGACATTTCATGAAGCAGAGAAGAGAGGCTAACAAACTGTATCCATTCTAGTACAACACATTTTGTTTAGTTGAATGACAGCAGATGATTTGCTCCGAAAATATAAATATTTGTTGCATTGAATAATTGATTCGATTTTAGTTTTTTTTTCCCATAATGTCCGGCTTTCCGCACAATCTATTGACACAATACGAACAGACGTCGAATAAATTGAAGAAAATCCAACGCATCGTTTTCAAGTAAGTGTATTCAGTTGCCATTCAATTAGTCATAGATTGTATTTGTTTACACCTATTTTATCTGTGCAATAGACGATTTGCTCCAAATGTATCCGAAGTGTCTGAGGAATTTCAACGCTTAGCAGCTCAATTTTTTGAAGGTGGAATGCCCGAATATGCCGCACTTTGCTATGATGGAGCCTCAAAATGTGAGAAAGCATTGAATAATCCCATTTTTGAACGACATTTATTGCTAAAAGCAGCTCGTGCATACCGTGAAGCCGATGCCAATCGATTGTGTTTGCGAAGTAATACGAAACCGTACACACAGGGTGCATTGAGTTGTTATCATCGAGTAATAACGCAGTCAAATGATAATTCTGCCATGAAAGCGGCTGTTATTCGTGAAATGAAGGAGATCAATCCCAATTATGAAGTTACAAGTAATTTTGTTTCGCCAGCACATCGAGCCCAAGATTTGGATTTGGCTGCAAATGAGTGTATCACAAATGGAAATTTTGAGAGTGCATTGGAGAAAATCACCGAAATCTGTGACGACATTGTCGAACGAAAAGTCGAAGATTTCTATGAAGACATTTTAGGAAAGCACGAAATTACATTGATTCTTCTCATTTTACTATTGGAATATCCATCGGCACGACAGTCACCGTCAAATGTTAAATTGTATGAATATTTTGCAAACGGTGGCTATCAACACGAATCTTATGTAAATTACCAAAGACATTCCCGGCATACTGTGGAAGTCATCAAAAGTCTGATTGAAGCCTGCAAATGCCAACAATACACTCTGGTTTACAGCAGCGAGATTCCATCATTAGCTAAAATACCTGGACTAACACATCATCAGAAAATTCTTCTAGAAAAGCTCAAAGAAAAATTTTATAATCTCTTGTGATATTTTTATCATAACCATTTATTTAAACTACTCGTTTTAAGTGTAATGTTTGTAATAGAATAAAACCATTTATCAACACGTTATATCCAATGAACTCAAGAGTTTGAACATTTTGTTTGAAGAAATGAAAATTATCTAGCAATCGATTCGACTGCTACTTTTGCTGAGTAAATTGCATCATTCACACCGACACCATCATATGCAGAGCCGCAAAGTTTCAATGGGATCTTATGTTGATCGATATAGTTGTTGATCCGTTCAATTCGCTCAAAGTGACCCACGAGATATTGTGGAATGCACTGTCTCAAAATATTCACTTTGAATGCGTCTGGCTTTTGTTGAATATTCAAAATTTTCCGAATTTGTTCGATGGCCTTCTCATACAAATCCTGTTCATCGCCATTGCCAAATCGTTCACGGAACCATTTGCCACCCATCATAACAGTTAGAACAGTGTTTTCGCCCATGTCAAAGCAACAACTATCGTAGATCACACCCAATATTGGCAGATCTTCAGCTGGTGGAACCAAGAATCCAAAACCAGGTTTCTCTAGCAAATTATTTCCCGTAAATTGGAAATTCACCACAGCCACGTCAACATATGGAATGGCAAGCAGGTCATCAGCTAGTTCTGGATGTTGTTTTTGTACCAATTTTCCAATTTCAAATGCCGGTAGACTGCTGACTAAATTATCTGTGTCATAGCCCTTTCCATTGATCGTAACATTTACACCATTCGAGCCAAATTCAATGTGCTCACATTTGGCGTTTGTGCTTAATTGCACACCATTTGATTCCAAATGATGCGATAGAGTCTTCGGCAATTTCTCCAGACCATCGTTCAACGAATAAATACTCCATAGTTCCATCATGGATCTTTTCGACAAGTTACAATGTTCAGTCGGTTTTTTGCCAGCATTTTTATTTGACATTCGCTCAAGGGTCTTCTTATAAATGCCCATTACAACTGATTTATGCTCCTGTTCATACTCAAACAAATCCTTGAGCAAAAACTTTACACTTATTTCTTTTGCATCGCCGGCACAAATGCCGCAAATCATCGAACTGACCAGATATTTAGCGATTTCGGTGCCAAATCGGCGTTCGACGAAATTATAAATCGTATCATCGTTGAGTGGTTGACCGGCATAACTTCGACTAAAATCACGGACCAAACCATAAATCAGCGGCTTTGTAAATGGTGGCACTGTTCGAAACATTCCAGTAATACTTGCTGGTAGCACATGCAATTCATTTTTAACGGATAACAGACGATTTTTTGCTGCAGGATGGTTTGATGTAATCGGCACGATGTCATTGTTCAGACCCAACTCTGAACAAAGTTCAAGAGTGTTCAATCCCTTCACACCTTTTGGCCGCAACGTTCTTGGACCGCACTCGAAACGTACTTTCTGATCAGCTGGTGAGACCTCTGTTTTGATCCATCCACCAAATCGGCTGCTTGCCTCAAATAGCTTTGGCGCATGATTGCTCTGTTTGAGTAGATAGTATGCCGCCGATAAACCGCTAATTCCACCACCGAGTACGATAGACATCGTATGCTTTTCGTTATTTTCCTAATTATCACACACTCGACTCACATCACCTGTCAACTATTTGGTTAGAATAACAACGTTTGTTATGACAGATCAGTAGTATCAGTATGAAGAGGGAAAAAACACAAAAATGGAAATAAAGAGAGGAAAACATGAAAATGATTTATTTCTCTCTTATTTTCTGAAGTATTCAATTAGTTATTCTTTTTTAAATTAGAAAAAAAATCATTAATCCATATCGTTTCAAAACACAAATTTTTTCCAATAGGGAACAATGAAGTAGTAGCATGCATTGGTGCAAAACGGCGGTATTTTAATGTATTGTCAAATTTTCGCGCCAACCGAAAAGTTTACAGCATTGTTTCAATACACGAGTCGCATATAATAACGCTTCAGTTTTGTGCTCCGGATATAAAGTTAAAAAATTAATTTCGTTTTGTTTGTTCTAAGTTTATTTTGTTGAAAAAAGTGTGAAAAAGTCCTAAAAGAATGTCTGTAAGTATAAAAGAACAAATTATTTCTATAAATAATTATAAAAATTCATTGTAAACGAATCGAATGCGTAGAACAAAAAGCGAGAGCGCGCCTGTCACTTAAATCAGTAGCAGTTGAATTGATTTAATAGAAAAATGTTTGAAAATCTATCAAAAATAGCCAAATCCGTATGAATTAATGATTTTTGGATCATTTTAGGACACACCGAGCTCACCTCCACCGTCGATGGAAGCCGAACGTCGCGAATTGCTGCGTAATCTAATGACATCGCCAGTCGAAGATTTCGAACCATTTGAAAATGAAGATGAAATTCTTGGCGACACAACCGTGCGCCAAGAAGATGAAGAGGAAGAAGATGGAGAGGAATTGTTCGGCGATAACATGGAAAATGACTATCGCCCCAGACCAGAATTGGATCACTATGACATGGATCAATTGGACGAAGACGACTACAGCGATATATCACAGGGTGATCGACGTGCGGCCGAAAGAGAATTGAATAAGCGTGATCGGGCAATGGGCATTCATCGTGATGAACGTAATTTGGTGTACGATCAAAGTGACGATGAAGATGAAATACCGCGTTTGAAGCGGCGCATGGCCGAAAAGGCAATGGAAACGGAAACGGAAGACACCGAAATGATTGAATCCATCGAAAATTTGGAAGACACCAAAGGTTATTCGACAAAGGAATGGGTTTCGATGTTAGGACCACGCACCGAAATCGCAAATCGTTTCAAGAGTTTTTTGCGTACATTTGTTGATGAGAAAGGACAGTATGTGTACCGTGATGCAATTCGTCGGATGTGCGAACAGAATCGTGCCAGTTTTGTGGTATCGTATTCGGATTTGGCCAGCAAAGAGCATGTTCTTGCTTACTTCTTACCGGAAGCCCCATCTCAAATGTTGGCAATTTTCGATAATGTAGCCAAAGATATGGTGCTCAGCATTTTCCCAACATATGATCGTGTTACCAGCGATATTCATGTTCGTATTTCGGACTTGCCACTGATCGAAGAGCTCCGTACATTCCGTAAGTTGCATTTGAATCAATTGGTTCGTACATTGGGTGTTGTCACCGCAACAACGGGCGTCATGCCACAATTATCGGTCATCAAATACGATTGTGTGAAGTGTGGTTACATCCTCGGTCCATTTGTTCAATCACAAGATACCGAAACCAAACCTGGCTCGTGTCCGGAGTGTCAAAGTGGTGGCCCATTCTCAATCAATATGGAACAAACGGTTTATCGTAACTACCAAAAGATCACAATGCAAGAGTCACCCGGTCGCATTCCAGCCGGTCGAATTCCACGAAGCAAAGACTGCATTCTACTGTCGGATCTATGCGATATGGCCAAGCCTGGTGATGAAATCGAAGTGACCGGTGTTTATACAAACAACTATGATGGTTCATTGAATACTGAACATGGTTTCCCCGTTTTCGCTACGGTCATTCTGGCCAATCACATCGTTGTGAAGGACAGCAAACAAGTAGTTTCTTCGTTGACCGATGAAGACATTGCAACCATTCAAAAGCTGAGCAAGGATCCACGCATCGGTGAACGTGTGATTGCTAGCATCGCTCCATCTATCTATGGTCATGATTTCATCAAGCGAGCCCTTGCATTGTCATTGTTTGGCGGTGAATCGAAAAATCCGGGCGAAAAACATCGTATTCGAGGTGACATCAACATTTTGATTATGGGTGATCCAGGTATGTTATGCCAGCATCAAATGTTTTCGTTCGAATTGATGCAAAAAAAATTGTTTGGTTCTTTTGTACTAAATTAAACGTTTTTCAAATGGTCTTTTTTAAAATTTAGGTACCGCCAAGTCGCAATTCTTGAAATATACTGAAAAAATTGCACCACGAGCTATATTCACCACTGGCCAAGGAGCTAGTGCTGTCGGTTTGACGGCCTACGTGCGGCGTAATCCAGTTTCAAAGGAATGGACCTTGGAAGCTGGAGCTCTTGTGCTTGCTGATCAAGGAGTCTGTTTGATTGGTAAGTATCTACAAATTTGAATAAAATTAATGGCTTTTTCGCCACAATGTCAAGAGATATGTGAACAAATCGACAGAAAAGTTTTTCAATGAAATTTCTTTTCTTCAGATGAATTCGACAAAATGAATGATCAAGATCGTACTTCAATTCACGAAGCCATGGAACAGCAATCGATTTCGATTTCCAAAGCTGGTCTTGTGACATCGCTTCAGGCCCGTTGTGCCGTCATCGCAGCTGCCAATCCAATTGGCGGTCGATACGATTCAAGTATGACATTCTCCGAGAATGTCAATTTGTCGGAACCAATTTTGTCTCGTTTCGATATTTTGTGCGTTGTGAAAGATGAATTTGATCCGATGCAAGATCAACTGTTGGCCCAATTCGTTATCAAATCACATCAGAAACATCATCCAAACTATGCTCAATCGAATGACCTGAACTCACAGCAATCACAAAACACTAGCAATGCTTTGGAAATACCACAGGATTTGCTGAAAAAGTACATTGTCTACTCAAAAGTTAATGTTCGCCCAAAACTCACGGTATGTATTTTTGCTTTTCTTAGTTCAATTGTTCTACGAATTTTCCTTCTTATAAAACACACACCAAAATCTGTAGACAATATCAAGAAATGAAATTAATCTCGTAATCATCGTTCATCATTTCAGAATATGGATCAAGACAAAATCGCAAAAATGTATTCACAATTGCGTCAAGAATCGTTGGCCACGGGCAGTCTTCCGATTACAGTTCGTCACATCGAGAGTGTGATTCGTATGTCAGAGGCGCATGCAAGAATGCATCTTCGTGATTCCGTACAAGAGGTCGACGTGAACATGGCCATTCGAATGATGTTGGAGAGTTTTGTCGAAGCGCAAAAATTCAGTGTAATGAAGAAGATGCGTTCGACATTCCAGAAATACCTATCATTCCAAAAGGATCATTCGGAATTGCTGTACTTCATATTGCGTCAATTGACACTGGAACAATTGGCATACATTCGATGCAAAGACGGTCCATCCGCCACTCATGTCGAGGTGTTGGAAAAAGATCTAACCGAACGCGCAAAATCCATCAACATTTTCAATTTCAAAGACTTCTACGACAGTGACACATTCAAAACGCATGGCTACGTTTACGATGCCAAACGCAAAGTTATATTGCAAGTGGTTCCCGAGGCAGGCGTTTAAATACTAAATCATTTCCCATCTCTCAGGCTCACATTATTCATTATTCTACTGCATTGTTTAATGTTCATATACTCATTCCCAAATGCCTGTTTATTGGTTTTCTTTTTTTTATCTCAATACATTAGCTCATAGACCCGTCGTAATGAACAATCTGAAGTAATTTATGCACTCGTTAAAATTAAGTTGACATTATTTTTAGTTATCGTTTTTTTCTCTTTTTCATTTTTTTTCTAAATAGATTTTAGTGTCTTTTTTCTTTTTCGTTTTATTAAATTTATACGAAATACAAATGTTGAATTAAAAAACCCAAGGTATTTGAACTGAGAAAAAGTACACAGCTGGCGCCTTTTTTATTTACGAAAAATCTAGCTCTCGATTGTGTAGAGGACATAAATTGACTCGCAAAAAGGGTATTCGGTGCTTTTGAAGGTGTACAAGCTTGCAAAGCACATTTTATTGTCATAATCATCGTGGTACACGAGTAGTCACACAGTCTGCTATCAGTAGCTTTTGGTTTTTCTTGCACACACACATACACACACACACATACACACACACACACACTCACATGCCAGCATTCGGTTAAATTCCGTTGCATGTGTATTTGTGTGTCACGCTTTTATCCTCATTGCCCATTTCCCCTCTTTTCTCCGCCGTGAACTAAAAACGATTTCATATCATTTCCGAAGCGAAAAAAAAACAGAGAAAAAAAGGATATACATAAACAGTTGTTTTCGAGTTGACTGAACGTATCAAAGGATACCGACAGCAAATCTGCAGTTGCAGCGAATTCTATTCATTCAAACTCTGAATATTATAAATTTCTTTTCATCGAAACGAAGCATTTGAATTAACTCGATCGTTTCGAATCATAATTAAAATCACATGGTTTAGATACAGAAAAAAGGAATGCACTGACTCTGCTGAAAGGATGAAAGCTATACGAAAGTCAAAGAAAACAAAACACACACACATACGCATGCACACACAAACTCAAACACACACACACGCTGCTGTAAATGCATGTGAGTGCGTGCTTGCACGTTAGCCCAGTCCAATCGGCGTGTTTGTATGTTAGCGACACCTAGAGCTTATGTGTATGTATTTGTATTTTTGCGTATGAAAGCATTCCGAGTTGCATGCACAACAGAGAGCAGCCCTAAGTGTTAAAAGTTCGAAATTCGTGCGCCGTCGCAACAGAAATACTTTATTCTGTATCGATTCCCGTGTAGCTACATCGCGCGCGTACAATTTTTTGTTCGTTACTCGAGATCCATGTTAGAATTGTATTCGACTTGGCAGCAGATGGTTCGCGAAAGTGTGTGTCTCTTCTTAGCTCGTTATACTAATTAATCTAGATATATTTAAATAAAAAAAAATAAAAAAAATAAAAGGAAAATCAAGCAGAAAAGCAGAAAAAGAAATTCATTGAATGAATAAATCGAAAATTACAAGAGAATTAAGACGAAAAACGTGTGCTTAGGATTCACTTTGTTTAGAAGTTGTTTAGCAGTCAGATAAAAAATAATAATTTAGGAACCGAAAAAAAATAATAAAATTAAAAATTATTAAAATCAGTATTATAATCCGTCGACTTTTTAACGTAGTTTATCACCATACACACAAACACACATAACAATTCATCACATTCAACAGAAAATTTAACGAAAAAAATTCTTCCAAATGTGAGAGCTTGAGCTGTTTGAATTCAACTCTGAATTTTATTTATTTTGTGTTTTCTTTTTTGTCTTTCGACCCGTGTTTTAAAACCGTAAACCAGTAGGTAATACACGCACACATACCGTTAAGAAAGAGAAAGCGAATCGTTTTGTGAAAGAAAATTTGAAAAGAAAAATGGAATAAAACAGAAAAAAGAAAAGTGTCGCTAAATGTTCACATCTAACAACAACGCATAAATAACGTTTAATATGTTCTGAAAATTTTCATTTCAATTCCGAAGTTTCGAAGTGAAAGAAAAAAGAAAAGAAAATATATATCCGAAACGAAAATTTCAAGAGGAAAAGAACGAAACGAAAAAAAGAAGCAAAGGAGAAGAAAGAAAGAAGAATAAAAAAAAACGTCGAAAATCATTCGGACCGCACATAAAGCTAAGTGAATAGATAGCACAGATCTTGGTCTATCTCACTTTCATCGTTCGTGTGTGTGCTTTTTCTCTGTGTGTCTCTGTGCGTTTGTATCATTTTGTTTGTGACTCGGATCATCATATATCACAACATACTTTGTCGTCGTCGTTATATACGTATCAATGTATATATTATAAAAGTTCGTTCCCTGTGCCTCAGATAGAGTATAGTGACCTATGTAGATGGTATTATTTGATGTGTATTTTAAGTGAACGTTGGCAGCCCTGGAGTGTTACGGTTTCGTAGCGTTTACTAGGTACGACCAATATACAGCGCATTACACACTGAACAAAATACCAACAACCGTACACAGCCATTTGAAATAACAGAACCGAACACAGAAAGAAGAGATAGAAAAAAAAAACCACGAGCGAGGAAAAAAACCAACACCAACAACAAGAAAATCCTCGGAAGAAAAATGGGGCAACAGTGTTGAAGTTGTAACGGAACAGCATAAGAAAATCATATTCTCTGCAAGACAATAATCAAAACAAACGGCGAATAGGGAGCAAAATAACCCAGCAATATTGCGCAATTTCCTTTTTATTTTATTTTTCTCATCGACTTCGAGAGAAGGAAAAAAAATATATATGAAATGCTAGTGGAATATTTTCCAAATGAAAGATTGATTGGTTACATTGAAAAAGTGGCCCAACGGCGAACTTCCATTCGAAAAAACTTGTCGCTTTTTTCATTCACTCACTCACTCACTCGTACTCGCTCTCTTTCTTCTTCTCTTACTCGCGCATTTTTTCCGTGAAGATGTAAAAAAGAAATGTTAATGCTCAAAATGCTGAAATCATGTCGTTTTCAGCCAGCAAATTGTCAAGTCTTCTGAACTATTGATTTTACCAATTTCACATATATATAATTTTTTAGGTTTCTACAGTCAACACATATCTCTGTGTACGTCACGTACGTGTCAAACGTACATCGTTGCACTACTTTGAAATCGAGTGGGTGTAGCACCTACCAAAAGTTCATTTACATTCTCAGTATAAAACTCAGCTGCTACACATTTTATCCTTTTTTTTATATTTGCTCTTTCGACAACCTTTATCGAGTTTCCACATATATTTACGTCGTACATACGTCGTACATACGTGTGTGTGTGTGTGTATGTCCTGGCCACCAAATAGCTACACAATGAGTAACAAGCACACAGGATCACAATTATGAAATATTTAAATGGGTGTCAGTCGTTTTAACTGTCACCAAGTTCTTGTGTTTATTTTCTCTCTCTCACTCTCTCTATCTCGGTTCCACTCAATGGGAATTCATCTAATTTCTCTCGTCAATGTGGCCGATAATATTGATAAATTATTAAGAGCTCAACACAGTACGCGTGCCACTTTGGTTTACGTTTTTCTTTCATTCTTATTCGACTGTTGCTCCGTTTGAGAAATCGATTTTCTTCGTTACTGGCGTACGTTTGTGGTTTCTGTTCAGTTTCGTCTTTTATTATATTGTTTTGTTTTTTCGGCGTTAATATATCGCTAGTGCGGCAGAATTTTCAAAAGCGAAATATACTACTTGTATTAGCGAAACTCACCACTCAATGGATATTTGTTTGCTTTGCTTGCGGTGCACCTGAATAGGGGATGTCGCAAACAATACTTGATTCTTCAACCACAAGAGGTAAGTCGAAAGTTTAATCTTGAACACATCACGTCTATCTAAGTCGAAAAGAAAGATGGAGTACAACATAACCGTTTTACAATTGGATGGTTGTGTGTTTTTTTTTCTCCGTTTCTTTCTCTTCATTTTCATTTTCTCGGTTAGCGTTTCATTGGATAACTGCAATAACTGCAAAGTTTCATTGTATTTATAATTCAGAGATTTCAAGTGCGAGCATTAGATTGAGAAAATGAAAATTTCATTATTCACTATCCATTTTCCCTGTGTTTTGAGTGGGTTTTTGAAATCTAGTTTGGTTTCGTATAAAGTTCAACATTCCATGTAGATCCTTAATATACACTTTTGTCCGGGACAGGGAGACATGGGGGAAATGGAGGCTTGAATTTATGAACATACTTGAAAGAAAAAAAAAACGTCTTTAATATATGCTAATACGTATGAATTCTATTCTCTTCACACAAACTCCATGGTAGCATACGCAACAACAGCAGCCACTCTATCCGATCTCGACGATGAGGAAAAATGTTTGACTGAACGAAAATGGTGGTGTTTTCTGTTGTCGAGCATCTTCACTTTCTTGGCTGGTCTTCTGGTCGTTCTACTGTGGCGTGCCTTTGCTTTTTTGTGCTGTCGTAAGGAGCCAGAACTATCGCCAAATGACCCGAAACAGAAGGAGCAGAAAGCCAATCGGCAGGGGAAGCAGGAGTTCGAGGGCACCTTCATGACCGAAGCCAAAGATTGGGCCGGTGAACTGATATCGGGACAAACAACAACCGGCAGAATTTTGGTAAGTGTATTGCTCCCTTTTCTGCGTTTGCTGGCTCATGAGCGGGCGAATGTTAGAACGAAAACTCTTTGTGTGTGTGTGCACACATATATGTACTACGTGTGTGCTTTTGCCAGTTTATTTTTTTTTTTTTCGTCGTTCTTACTCTTTGTTACTCTCTCTGTGTTTGCATACATTTCATTCGGTTTGCATACATTAATGTCAAATGCACAAAGTTCAATTTATCGAGTGGCGCTAGCACACGAGGCACACAGAAAAAAAGCAGCCCGAAAAAAAGCAATAATGGTGTGCCAAGTGAAAGCAATAAAAACACAGTCACAGTGAGACATTTCACAAAATTACGTTATATAACTAACATATGAACGCGTGCGTCTTCTTCCACCTCTTTTTTTGTTCTAAATATGCACAACACTTTACCTGTGCTCACACATTTCGCTCGTATGGTGAAGGGAAAAAGTAAATTAACCAATTACATGTTGGAATAACGCATTTCAACACGAACATTCCGTTGAAATCGTCGCGCTGTCCATGGACTAATAAAACCTTCTATTTTTATTCATTACCACGCAATGGGTAAAATATAAGCGGCATGGAAAAACTGAAAAACTTGAGAAAAAAAATGTATAATCCATGTCGCATACATGTTAATATATTGACGAGGCAAAACTAAAACTAATGACATGGTACAATATCCCTCCTTCTCCTCTTTCTCCGTCGTCGTCGTCGTCTTCTTCATTTTCTTCGCTTTTGTATACACATGGCGTTTCGTTGACTACATATACCATGCAGCAATGTACATAACGTAAAATACATAGCATTTATCTGAAGGAAATTAGCTGCCAGAATTCGTCCTTGTTAGATACACAGCGATTTTTTTCCTGCTCTTCTCTCTCACTACTGCTTCGCTCTTCTCTTGAAATCATTTCATTAATTACGTTGTAACCGTAAGTCGATCGTTCCCCCCCCCCCCCATGCGAAAGCCGAACTGAAAATGTGGGCCAAACCGTTTTTGATGACTGTTGATGAAGAAATTGATAAGTGCGTTTCATGATTTCAACAGATATATCAACGATGACGGTGACTCTTAAGACATTCTCCCTCGCTCTATTTCTCTTTCGGTGTGTGTGTGTGTGTCTCTCCCTCTCCCATCTCAACTGAAGTACACACTTCATAATGTATAACTGTTCTCAGACGAAGTACTGCTTATATCGGCACCACTGCAATTCAAATGTACCAACATTCGAATTTACCTACCAGAAATTGTGTGAATGAATATTTCTTGTTTCCACTCTTTCTCTTCTACACACATCCAATGACTTAATTCCAGGGAGAGAAAAAAATGTTTGCTGTTATGAAAAATGCAAAACTCATGCAAAATTAAATTGAAAACGCTAAAACATGTGGAATGTGCGTCTCGTGAAAACTGAATGCCAAATTTCAGTTTTGCAAAATTGAATTAATTCGGTTGTTCGGAGTTTCGTTTGAATTTTAATGAAATTATTTCGAAGTCACATCCGATTGTTCAAATGTTACCATTCAAAACGTAGAGCGAGAAAGAGAGACCGATAGAGAGGGTGGGATTTAAAAAGTTTTTGCGAATCATTACTCTTCCATCAAATGCAATCATCGTGCACGTTATTCTCGTGCCATTGTTTTAGTTTTGGCTTGAAAAGCTTCTAATTTGAATTTTATTTAGCCAGCAAAATTTTTGTTGTGAACATAGAAAAGTTCGATCGATGTTCGAATTGAAATTTGTGTCTGTGTTACAATGCCTTTCGAAGTTTTGGCAACAATTCGCCCGAGCATATTGTGGCCCAAAAGTGTATTGCATCAAATTGGTGCGGATTTGTACAAATGAATAGCGCTCTATATTCACATGCTTAATTTTATTTCGCAGAAATTTATTCGTAATTTCCAGAAAATGTATGCGCTAAGCAGAGGGCAATGAAGACGAAAACGAAGACGAAGGTGAATACAGCATAAAATTTATTGCATTCGAATGCAGTTCGCTAAGTAATCAAGCCAAATGTGTTCGTGGCAACCAATTAAGCAAATGTTGTTCGATCGATCTCATTCGATTCTATCTATGTTGAGCACTTTGGGTGACCGCGCTCGATGTTTTCCATGCTCAAATTCAAATCGATCGTCTTATTCATTTCTCTTTTTCTTCTTCTGTTGCTGGTTTTGCCACAACTAGTAAACAAACGTGCAGGCGACAAACAAGAAAAAATAAAATAGCTAATTATAAAAATAGTTCAATCCACAATGAGAGACAAGGAGACAAGTTGAGAATGTTTTACACACCGAAATCGTCGGAGAGAGAGAGAGAGAGAGAGAGAGAGAGAGAGAGAGAGAGAGAGAGAGAGAGAGAACAAAACGATATTAAAAGGAGAGAGTGAGAGAGCGAGAACGGCAGCGTGAAACTACGAAAAAAATCACTTTTATTATTAGCCAATGAATGTATGCGTATGCCGAATGATTGCTTGATTGTAGTCGGCGCTCATTTCGGTCGGTCGTGATTTTCGTTTACAGTCCATTACTCGAATCGCCGTCATTTGCCTACTGCTCTTCATGCATGACGCGAATCATACACATTATATTATTTTGTGTGACATTCGGCCTAGGCAAATGAACGGGACAACACAGGCACACATTTGTGAATGGGTCTGTGTGTGCTGTGCTGTGCGGTCCTGGTGCTTACTAGATGTTGTTTCGCGTCTTCGATCTATTTAACTGTTGTTATTTGTGCGACACAGGCGATGGTTGAGTGTTGCCGCCGCCGCCGTTTATTTGATTTTTTGGTGTGCTGATCTTCGGCAGGCAATTCGGTGATGCACAATACATCCCATTTTATAGATGTAATTTACACAATTATTTTTAAACTTTGTTGACGATATCTTTTCGTTCAAGTACGCACTCTTTTGCTTGGCATCTTTCTAAATATACAAAGTGCGTCTATGCGTCTACACATTCGCAAGCTGATGCCACCGAATTGCTGTCATACACATGTGTTTATGCACGCACATACACAAACGAACGTGAAAAAAACTCAGTACCTTGAATCCCAACTCCGTTAAAAATACCTAGACAATCAACAACATCAAAAAAACAAGCGACATTATCCCATGACTGGACAAAATCAATACAAATCATGAATAAAGAATTATTTGCCACCGACATATTTGACACTTTGGGAAGGACGATGGAAAAAAAAGCGGATGAGACCACATAGATATGGAGAGTTCATCGTTTTTCCAGCGAAGTTATTCATTTGTCTGTGATCGGTGATTGATTCGAATGGAAAACGTGGAAACAAAGAGCTCGATTATAATAAATCGAATATCTTTTATTCACGTTCAATCAAATTGAATGAGGATTATGTGAGGCACATATCAATAGAGCTTGATTCCGAGTCTTGAGAATTCGAATAAACAAAATCGAAATCAATGTAAGCGTACGCCAGCAAATTGGCGTGTGTATGTGGGTGTACTTGTGTGTATGTGTCGTCATTTGGGATAACGAAAATGGTAACATTGGCGGTTCAAGTTTGTAGATGACATTCGTTCTGGCAATAGATAAAACCGAAACCAAAATCGAACAATGACAGCCACTGAACCCAAGCAAACTACTTTCGGACATGCGATAATTTGGTATGCGGTCGGACAAAGCAAAACGTATTAATGTAGATGATTGTAATGTGTATGTGTGTGTGTATATAGCTGTGCGATGTATACGTGAGTGCTGTGTCGACAATTGTGGAAGGCATTTGATTTGTAACAATGAATGACACATTGTCAGCTCCGAATTGAACGATTTACGAAGGCAGCAGGAGGAGAAAAAAAAAATCAAAAATTTCTGGAAAACAAAAGAAAACACCCATTTGATTGCTGGTGCTGGTTGTCGATGATGGCGATGGTAATGGTTGATACACATCGCTACATTTTTATGGGTTTTTATTTATCCTCTATTCGGTTTCATTCCGTATTCCATTGCCGTGGAACATACACAGTCATGAGTGCGTGTTCAGTGCTGAAATCACGTGTGTCACTTGTTCAAAGGCGCAACTTAACTTGGAATACATAAAAGAAAGGCAATCATTTAAAATTGACAATGCACAGATGAAACCATATATCAGTTTCTGTCATAGTTCCCTAGACAGTCGAGTATTATGTGTCTTGATTTTATTTCGCTGAGCTCCCAGGGATTTTTCTATATTGCTTCCATTGTGGCACGCTATTAGGACGAAAGTTGACACCATATTTCATTATAGGCTTGTTCGATTTATTTTTTCTGTTTTCTTTTTGCTTTTCTTTTCGTGTGTCTTCGCGTAATATGTGCGTGCCATCGTCTGTTGACTTTTAATAACTCAATTTAATGGTAAAATTATTGAATGTGTCAGGGAAAAATGCGTTCGTTCCGAAGCTTTCGCTTTTGCTTGTTTTTTTATGTGTGTGTGTGTGTGTGTGCTTTTTTTGCACCGGAAAACAATGCACATCCATTCGTTATACCAGCGGAATGAATTATGTTCACTTGATTGGCCCACATCAATGTGTATTGTGCACATTTTTACCAGCATTTCTTACTTTAATGGACCGACCACACTGCAAAATATGACATTCACCTAAATTAAACACTCCATTCAAACTATAAGGCAGCTCGTTCCTCGGATATTCAGACTACGAATACGCATATCATAAGATTGCTCGAAACACTGGCTGACACAAAGTGAAAGAAAAAAATGCAGAGAAAAAAATAAATCACACTAGCTAGCAATAAATCGCGTTCTACGCACATTTAGCACGCGAAATAGAATGGACTCATTCAATGCATAGCTTCGATATCCTTTTGCCCGGTTATGTTTTTGAAACATCAGCCGTAAGCGAGCGAAACAAAAACAAAACACAAACAGAATTGAGGTTTCCGTTGACTGTCCCATTCTAATTGAACATGATTAAATACGCTGGCATAAATTTATTTTCTATATCGTTTTTGGCTGCTTTTTTCTGTCAGTTCCACTATATTTTTGGCTCGGGACCAGGATTTTTTTCGTGTCGCATGCGACGCACTCACACACACACAGCAATGCGTTAGCGAACGAAAGTGAGTGAGTGTGCTCGCGACACGAATGAACGGCCGACAAATCGATCGAACTGAATTAAAAACCCAAAAGAAAGAAAGAAAAAGCAACAAAACAACAACCAATCAAATAAGAATCACAAATCTAGTTGCAGATACATCGACCGCGGCTACCTTGCTTACTCTGCAGTGATATCCAACAAATGGATTTATTTATTACTATGCACAGGCACACTCACGTGACATTTATCGTCATAAATTTATCGAACTGAATTTTTTTTAAATACAAAACAAAGATTCTTCTCCATGTTTTTTTTGTTTCGCTCTTCATTTGACGGCGATTTATTTAGCATCGTGTCGTGTCGTCTGTGTCGATGATAAAACAACAACAAATGTCAAATGATTTCGCTTTTCACCCGATAGCCACCGTCGCTTTATGTATTCATATCTATATATAAATATTTGAAAATGATACATATGTTTGTGTAATGTACGATCGCATCGTCGACGCTGAAATTTTTTTTTTCACAAATGACAATAACTGGAATGTTGGACTTTATTTTCGTTTCAGGTGGTGCTCGTTTTTATATTAAGTATTGCATCGCTTATTATATATTTTGTTGATGCATCGAATAAATATGTTGAGATGTGCGTCCGGTTTAGCGACAATATCACGCAGCAAATCGACCTCGCCTTCAATATTTTTTTTATGGTTTACTTTTTTATACGAGTAAGTATTGAAATCGATAATTGAGCAAAAGGAGGCCAAATTCAATTGAACAATATTGCAATGTGTTTGTGTGTCATTTTCTCATTTCACTGTTTTTTTTTTCTCTCCCTGTGTGTTCTTTTTTCTTCTTCTTTTTCTATCTGTGTTACGGTGCTCCATTTGGATTATTGTCATGCAGTTCATAGCAGCATCCGATAAACTATGGTTTATGTTAGAAATGTATAGCTTCGTAGATTATTTTACAATACCCCCGTCCTTTGTATCCATATATTTACAGCGAACATGGATCGGTAAGTTGGTTTTGCAGCAAAAAAAATGGCTGTTGCATTGACAAAGTAATAATAATGCATCGATCGTGTATTTATTTTTAATCCGTTCAAAAATCTTTTACCCGCTCATTCGCCACTCAAATTGTCTATTGCGATGCTTTTTTTTGCGGAATATAGGTCTTCGTTTCCTGAGAGCGCTGCGTCTCATGACCGTTCCCGATATATTACAATATTTAAATGTATTAAAAACATCAAGTTCGATACGTCTTGCGCAGCTTGTTTCAATATTTATATCAGTTTGGTTGACAGCAGCCGGAATTATTCACTTGGTAAGCTGAGATTAATTGTAGTCTGAATTGTCTTTTAATTGATTGGAAACAAGATATGGTTTTGACCGCGTGAATGGGTCAAACCATGTAAAATGCAATCCAATATACATATACAAACATACACATACATGTATATTTGCTAAAAAAAAAACTAATTGCTGTGTTCCATCTATTCGTGCCCAATGTCAATTTGTAGCTGGAAAATTCTGGTGATCCATTAACCTTCGACAATTCGCAACCGTTGTCATATTGGACGTGCGTTTATTTTCTAATTGTTACCATGTCAACCGTGGGCTATGGCGACGTGTACTGTGAGACAGTGCTTGGACGAACGTTCTTAGTGTTTTTCCTACTTGTCGGTTTGGTAAGTGTTTCTTATTCAGTTTGTTTGCTATTTTCTTTGATCGTGCATATGCGAAACCAAAAAAAAAAGAAAACAAAAAAATGAACCGCATACGAAAACGATTTATTTTATTTTAATGTCATTTTTAACCAATTTTCATCCATCGAATTTAATCGAATGAATATTCTGGAAGGAAAATTCAATGTGGCGCGATCACAAAACCGAAAAAAAGAAATAGAAAGAACAACGCCACATTTTCATTGATCGATTCGCATACGAAAAATGATGAAACGACCAAGTTTTTTTTCATTTTCTTTTTATTTCGATATGTAGACCGTAATTTTTTTTTCTCTACATATGTATATGGTTTGAAAGTTGTTGATAAAAGCAATAAGTCGCGTCTCAGTCAATGTGGACTCTCCGCAACGGAATAGGGTATCCAAATGTACAGAATTTGGTTAAAATTACTTAATTTTCGCAGAGAAAATGAAACGAATACAAAATTTCATGAGGTGAATTCTTGATGCGTGATCTATATTTTGGTTTTTATACAATCAAATATCGAATGAAGGAACACAAACATATAATAAGAAGAAGCAAGAAAAAAAAGCAAGCAAGCAAACGATGCCATAATAAGTTGAACATTTTTATATATCGCTTTAAATATGTAGGTAGTTTTCAAATACAACAACCAATCTATAAAGAATAACAACGTTTTGAGACTTTGTTTCACTTTTTTCATTATTCAATTTTGATTTTGTGGCCAATACTACCCAAGGAACAATTGTTAACGCAAATACATCCATTACCAAGCGTATGTAAACGGTTGAATTTGGGCCCGCATTTGGGTGTAGTTTCAGTCATTTTTAACGTCACAATGGAAGTAGAAAAAGAGCAGTAAAAACAAATCAATTAGAATGATATAAAAACGATTATGAATCAATATTCAATATGCTAATAAATAGTGATACTCACCTACAGGAATTATCCTGTACTCTACCTACATCTATATAGACTATAGAATATAGATAGCCATCGATATCTGGTATCGATGATGTCTGGGAGACTAAGACCTCAACCAACTACAAATAACATACTGTTACATAAATTCTTTTGAAAAATAAAACATAAATTGCGGCTCCATTGATATTAATGAATGTTGAAGTTGACTCGGAATCGAGTTGGATACACGAGGTGTTGACGTGTGAACGCATCATGCAGCCGATGTCCAAAGAGTTCGCAATGCCCAAAGAGAAAAAAAACAAAGAGAAAAAAAACACACACACATTACTATTGCATCAATTTTAATTCAATGAGTAACATACCTCTGTACAAGATCAATTTTGCAGCTGAAATGTCACGTTGCCAAACTGTCTTCAGTACTGGAGAGTCGTCAACAGGGTCTTCGGGCACATATTCATCTGTGTACTCGATGATACCGAGTTCAGCGTCGTGAATGATTACACCTCTGCGCTCTTCAACATTGTCATCCATACCGTTTGCCGCGTTTTGTTGCCAGTTTTTACGGTAGCAAATCACCTTAGACACAAAACCACGGGGTTGATTTGGATTCTGCACTGCTGCTTGTCGCATCGCTCGTCGCTCTGATCGTAACTTCCGCTTGCTCTTTGCCGCTACAATTTTCTCTGGTAGCTTCATTCCATCAGGCCAATCATCTTGATCGGGCATACACCATTCACACACCTTGACACGATCGTTCAATGTACTCAATGGAAATGGTTCGAAACATCTGGCACACAATCGTGATGATCTGGCTTCGTTCACAAATCGTATGACATTGCCTTCCATTTTCTTGAAACTCTTCACCAATTTCCGCACGCCCGGGCATCGAACGTGTTTCTTGATCTGTATTGGTGAATTTGCAGGTGGTTGGGAAGCTCCAATGTTAATGATGCATCGTTTGCGATTTGTCTGTTGAGCAACAACAAAAACATTCAATTTTTTCAAAAGAAACAAAAATTCAATCGTAAATTCTTACCAGCATTGCGGCCACCTTGTCACTGACACGATTGGACTCGATGTAATGATCAAAACTTAAACGTGTGTACTTTTTGGTTGTGTACACTGCAATGGCTTTCTTCATGATGGTCAATCGATGCCGTATGTAGTCACGCCAATTGCTTCCTTTTGGTGATGGCATTCGGTCATATCGCACACGGTTGTTTCGATCACTCTCTTCGAACTGCCCAAAGGCACGAGTCCATCGCTCTCTCTTTTCTTTACGCACTCCTTCTTCGGTCCCATAATGATACTTCTTGCTGTTGATTGTGAAGTTCATCTGTGAGATGGAAACAAAAATCGAACAATAAAAATTAAACAATGAAATGGATTCACATGACACAATCACAATAGAATGCATTCAATCGCTAACATACCTCTTTGCCATTATGAATTCGCTCTTTGTCATTATTAATCCGTCGCCTAACGGTTGCATTCCACGTCTTCATGCCCCAATCAATGCCCAATTCATAGACATAGAAGCCATCAGAGTACCGTTTACGCACCAAACCATCTTCCACTAACTTGTCGACTACGGTTTTCTTCACTGAGTACAGAATCGATGCCGATACACCATCGCTGAGAATATGTTCGAATTTTTTGTTTGCTTTCAACACTCGATTGATTTTCTCCATGTTAAAAATCATATTGAAATAATACGCTTGATTTGATTTTGACGTGACGTGGCCCACTGTATGTTGCCGACCATATTCATCACGCGGAATGGTACCGGTTTCGCACATCATACGATACAAAACATCAGCGTCTATTCTCACTGCCTTTCGCGTGTGATGACAGATTGGGATGACCACCAAATTCTTGATGTTTGGCAACGCAATGACTTGCACGATGTTGTCGTGGTGTTGTTCAACCCAGTTGAGGTGCGTTTCGATTTCCGATTGCATGATCAACCACATTGGCAATGATGAAAACCATGTATCTTCGTCTTTGGTGAATTTGGCGATATCATCGTCAGCTGGTCCACGAATGTCTCGAACGTAACGCAACAATCGATCTCGTTTGGCCAAGCGATTAGCATCACCTCTTGTTGCGTCATATCGTTTGATTGCCCATGACACTGCATTTGCCACATCTCGTTCATCGTATGTGTCCGGTAGGCCACGAATCCGGTTAGTGTAGTTCTGTCTGAATGCCTTCAATCTCAAGAAATACCGCAATCGTTTCTGTGCATGTGTATCCAAATTCGTCTTAACATTACGGCCATATTGTTGGAACAAATATTTCATCAAGTTGCCGAAGTAATCATTGTTTGGCCATGCGGAGCGATTCTCGATGTCCACATTCTCAAAGCAATGCCGGAACCATGGATCCATAATGAAATCGTCTTCCTTGTAGCGCCGCAACACAGCATAGAAGCAATTTTCGATGATGTGCATTCCATCGCCATCGTCGAAATATTCCCAATTGCCGGTGATGATGGCCTGTTCAGTGGCAGCTCTGACTTTGTTGAGGAATAAAAGCGACGCCAATTCAGATATTTCGGTGCATTTTATGCTGGTTTTTGTGATCCATGGCAGAATACGATCACGATATTCCGGTCGAACAATACTAGTGGCGGCCAACTTGATTGCAAAGTATGCTTTCTCCTCCTTTTGCTTGCCATCTTCAACTTTCCGCGGTTTCGACCTATTGCCACGAATGGTATGTGCCCCTATCCTTTTTCTGCCCATTATTGAACCCTGAAAAAATGGAATGAAAACACAACAATTACTTTAGAACGTACTAGAAATGATTTTTTGTTGCTTCTAAATTACTTAATTTGAATGAAAAACGAAAAAAACAATCACTGTAAATCGAACAGTATTCACAACAAATGACTTGCCTTTCCAAATGCTCAGATCAATGTGAATGTGCAACCGGCATCAGTTTGACACATCAAGCTGAATTTGGTTGTGACACGAACACCGCACACCGTGATAAAATATCGAAACGCTCACGATATTTCGACAGCAGATTTCTTCCACAGGCTACGGATCAAAACTGTAAACAAACAAAAAAACACACAACAATCGATGGTTTGTTGATTTCGAAAATCACATGCACACGGTGGTATTGTTTGGTTCGATCACTCGTTCGATGTCACAACGATAACAATTCAAATGACTTACCCTTTTTCCCTTTTGCTGGCTGTTCAATATGAATTTAGTCGAACGAAGCAAAGATTCATATTTCATGACATGGTGAAATTGTGAACGGCGGTTTGTTTACAATAACAAACTTCAAAATGAACCAACACTAATAGCGGGAATATTCACTACATTAGTTTTGCCTGCCATCTCTGGACAATTTAAAACGTAATCGTTGAAAATCAGAAGAAATGAATTTGAAAATATACTCTCACCATTTAGTTCATTCTCTTTGGATCAATACATGAACAAAAACATGAACAATTTAAATCATAGAATTTTATACTATTTTTGTGAACACTATTAATTGATACATAATTCTTTTCTCTTTAATTTAAAATCTAACATTTTCTCGTTCCCAATATTCATACAGTTGGTTTACACTGAAATTTCAGTCGATTTTGACGGAAAAAAAGTCTGAAAACGTTACATCTTTTAACGTTAAAAATGACTAAATTGCGTTACATGAATGTTTCTTGGGTACATATATCTCTATCTATCTCTCTCTCTCTCTCTTTTATTATTAAACGCAATTTTGCTTACTAAATGAATACTTTCTCTTGTTTTTTTTTTGTTCCTCAGTCAATGTTCCTTAAACACAGAATATATTCATAATAATCGTAAATTTCATTTTAATTCGTTTTTTTTTTAAATTGTGAAATTGAATTTATCGAAAGTTCAAAGTGTTCTCCACATTATTTTTCAAAACCATTTCTCATTGGCTTATCTCTTCTTATTTGAAACCAGAAAAAAAAAATCTACAACAACACAGACAAACAATCAAAATTCGAATGTGTATTTATTTGTGTATGCTTCAAGCAGCAAAATATAAATGTTTAATAGCCTTAAATGTTGAAGCACCAATACAAAAAAATAAACGCTATACATATTTTATTTATTCGATTTGAAAGAGCATTTCTTGAACGAAATTAATGACAATGAGAAAAAAACCACAACAACTACAACAGCAACAACAAAATATATATCTAGTTTAATCTTAATAACGACAATTTTAATATTCTGCAAATTCACATTATCTATAAGCATGAACAGGTCAAATCGTACTTTTTAATTGCGTATTCACTTCACCGAGATATATTATACCATATAAATATATATAAATACAAATATATATATATATATATATATATGTTTTTTGATTCATTTTCACACAAAACACACTATATATCATTTTGGTTGAACCTTAGGTACCAGTCTGATGAAATGTTATAAGTGACGACAATGTGACCACATCACTATTTAGTTTTCACAATTGCAAATTATTTATTAAGCCGATATATCGCGTTGACAATTATTTTATTTGGTTAAATTTTGTTTTCTCTTCTCGAATCGAAATATGTGCAAAAGTCCACATCAAGAACATACAACAAATACAACAACAAAAACGGCTATTTCATATTTGTTTTTTCCTTTATTTCCATCTCAATTTAATGTAGTCAAGATTGTTGTGCACCAACGATTATATTATTATTATCAAATTTTAGTTTTATTTCAAGGATATTAAAGTAACACAAATATAACATGCATATTAATTTATTAGTTCATTAACGATGGCTTTTGAGTGAACGCGAACAGGAGCGTGCGTACGCGCGTGTGCATATATTGCCATTAATGAAAGCAGAAGGATACGTGATTAAAATTAAATACCATCATCATCATTTAGAAAATCGAAAAGCCGGGGGCTCTTTCAAAATGCTCAAATTGTAACATACTCAAGCAATGACTTAAGCTCATTTAGGCATTCGAATGAGAATTGAATTGTGTCAGCTTTCTATTCGATATAAATTTATACAATGCATTTCAGGTTGTTATTCATTTTGCGTTCTCTTTAGTTTTGGGTAAATTTTCATTCGAATTCGAATTCCATATGTTCATTTCTTTATTCCACGAAATGAAGGAAGAATAATTTGAAAACGGACTTGTTTTTTTTTAAACAACAACATATGCAAAATTAAAATTTATGTCAATGAAATAAAGTGTAAAAAAAAAGCTTTATGGAGCCCTTTTTGGATTTAATTTATAAGCATTTACCTTGCGTTTTTGGTTCGTTTTCATTTGATTTTATTAAATTATTTAAATTTTTCAATGGCATGCCATTTACTATTTCGCCTCAATGGTTAACATTTACATTTTGCTTTCGATCTATGTCGTTCCCATTTGAGTTTCGTTTTGTATTTTATTTTTCTTTCTCTACATTTATGTTTTTCGTTTTAATTTTTCTCCTCTTTCTCTCTAATTCTCTTCCTTATTGGCACTTGAGTTTGGTTTTTAATTTCCTTTGATTTTGCATGTGGAGAATGCTGGCTGCGCATACGGTCTTCTGTAATCGTGCTTTTTTTTAATAAAAAAAAAACAAAAACCCATAGCGTTAATCATGAATAATTGCAGTACACGAACATAGTGACGAATTTAGCTTTGACACCATTTTACTTTCCATTTGTTTTACTACACTAATCTCAAAGCAGCTTTGTTATTGTTCTATACTCATTTTTGTCTGCTTTAGCATATATTTTTTTCTCGTTTCTTTCCTCACACAAGCACACAATAGAACTAGATTTTACTTAGTCTTCTTCAGTTCAATTTTCTATATTCCTGCTCACATCCACTGCGTTCCTTTCCTCCAGATTTTTTTTTATTTTTCGTTTAACCATTCGACTGCTTCTCTCGTGTCTGATTTTTTCAGTTGCTTTCCATGTTTGATAAATCTGTCTAATGGTGTCGCGTATTGGTTACGTCACACCCAATGTAAAATTTGATTTGTTTTGTTGTTCATACGAAATGCGGTACCTGCTTAGAATTTATCTAATTTTTTAACCGATGTCGATGAATAAGAGAGACATTTTTGGGTCCATCATCATCTCTGGCTCTCTCTCTCTCTCGTTTCGTTTCATGTTAAGAAAGAAAAGAAAGGAAGAAATTGAATTCAAAATGGAAAAGTGTCGTCTATAGCTTCTTCTTGTCCAGATATAGTTAATTTTCCTTTTTGTTAAACGCCTTTTAGTCCATATTGCCGCTGCTGTTGTGCTACCTGTAAATATTTTTAGAATCTATTATTATTAGTTTTGTTTTCTAACTGCTAAAATAAATCAATTAGCTTTCTACCTTAGTTTAATTATTTCTATTTATTGTGAAATATTATTGATTGCCTCAGACAACGCCAGTTTTAGTGAACACAATCGCAACCAATTCCAATATCTCATTTGTGTTGTTACGCCTATACGTTTTTTTTTCTCTCTGTATTTCATCGTATATTATATCGCGACCGAGCTATGTGGACTAAATTTTTCAGTCAAACAATTCGATTTAATGGGAATCTCATATGAAAAGACAACATTCAAAGCCCACAGACCATTCGCGAGATCCGAAACGATATAAAAACCGAATTCATTCCATTTGCACAATATGAAACTACAAAACCAACCAACCAAAAAAAAACCAGCACACACTTGCTGAATCAGAAAACAAACAAAATATACAAATTGGAACGTGTTTTATAGGCTATGTTTGCCAGCAGTATCCCTGAAATCATTGAACTAGTGGGAAGTGGCAGCAAGTATTCTGGCGAACTTAAGCGAGAGCATGGCAAAAGGTATCCCCATCTACTGTTTTACACTCATTTTATTTGAAAAAAAGAAAAACAAAAACAAAATTATTACGGTAACATAAATTTAAATAACCACTGTTCCAAGCACGCAATGTCAGAGAACAAACATAACAAATATATACACATCGTAACTCGCGTCAAATATCGACAAAACCGTGCGCGCATTGAAATTTTTGTATTTTTCCATTGTTTGGTTGACTCAAGCGAAAAATGACATATCAGAAGTGAAGAAGAAGATTGTGAGCCGAAGAGAGAAAGAAAAAGCAAACAACCTCCGTCAATTCACATTCCCCAACATACAGTTTCGGTGGTTAGATAATAATGAAATTGACACAAAAACATTGTCGACATGCTTCAACAAATTCGCAATGTACCGTAAACACAAAATTTAGTCAGCACATTTGACTCCGAAAATTAATTGACGAAATTGTGACACAACCAAATTTGAACCAATCTCATTCGAATCGATTTTTCCGGTCATTTTAGATCGATTCAGCCCAATTCTTTGTTTTTCTTTCTCTCCGCCAAAAATAAAAACACAAACAAGCAAACAACACACATACACACTAAACAATAATGAAATTGTCACAGATTTTCGAATCCATTTTTTGTTCATCGCTGACTTATTCAATTTCTCGATAACTGTACGAAGTACAGAGTCGGATTGGAACCAGTGATCAAACAATCGAAAAATCATATGCGAAATTAATCAATTCCATACAAATAAAATCATTTGATATTATATTCAAATTTAAATTGCGGTTTATGATATTTTTAAATGTTCATACATTGAAATCGTTTTTAAAAAAAGAACAGGATCAAAATCGATTGCTTTCCATCTTCCCGCCCTCTCAGATATGGTTGATAAATCCCCGTTTCATGTTATTGCTTTTATCATTATGCCGTTGTCGTTTTCTGATTTTTTTTTGACATTTCCCAAAGAAAAAAAAAACTAGAGAACAAAAACAACAACACCAATTCCACCAAATTGTTCGGTTCATTATTCAAAAAACACAACAAAACAAAACAAGCCAATTTCCATCATCAATTTGATTTTTCGAAACGAATTCAACCATTTTTTTTTTGTTTCTGTTTGTTGCATTGTTCTGTGATGCTACACGGTACCACATAATTTTGTTATGCTTTTACGTATTTCTAGTGTGCACCACACAAGTTGCACGTAAATTTCAAAGCGGCCAACCAAACATTGTTTTCACAGAAGAGAAAAAATCAAATCCAGCAATATGGAAAAAAAACGTATTTTTCTTGCCATTTCCGAATGCTTTGAAATTAGTTGTCATTGTTTTTTATTACACACGTAGAATATTGCCTACAATTTATCACAAAAAAGCCTTGTTCGATGACTTGCTAATAGATTTTGTTTGCACCATTTACTCGCGCTAAGAAAATAATACAACTTTTCTTGTTTGTTCACACGTAAATCGAAATGAAGATTTGATGATTGAAACGCCTCACAATACCAACACATACCTATAACATATTTGTATTTCTTTTTTGTACACTCATCTCTGGCTCAATAAAACAAAAATATTTCCGTTTCATTTTGCTCGATTTTTCCGAAGAAATTCTTCGAAGAAGATTGTGTTGGGAATCCTATATTTGAACAAAAATGAAATGGCTAACCGAAAAAATGTCTGTGCGAGTATAACATTCAATGCCACCAAATAATATGATGTGATCCGTGTTGTCGAGATGAATTTAACTGGAATAAAATTGATAAATGCTCAAGTCTGCACCTTTCCCAATAACGTAAAAGAAAAAAAAAACTAACTAAATATGCCTCAATATATATAATGGATGGATCATGCAAAGTAAGTCCCTCCACCC